TCTAGGTCACCTACTGGACTGTATTATTGCAAAAACTTCCTAACTGGTGTCTTTATCACCATCTTTTCCTCTTTCGTAACAAGAGTTTCAAAAGACAAACATCATTTCTGTTAGCTCCTTGTTGAGGCCTCCCCGGGATGAGAAGTAAACGTGACCTAAAAGACCTTTGACCTCTGTTAACCTTCCAGAACTTCCCCGGATGTACTCTGTGCTCTGGTCTTTAAGCTTGGAGCTTCCTTGAGCCGGAAGTTTCCCCATTCTGAAAACAGGTTCTGCTCTCCCTGACTGAAGGGCCTTTCTGTGGCCTTTGTACCGCCTTAACGCGTGCCTGGCGCTCTTCCCTCCTCGTTATTTGGTCTACCTCCAGTTTTTCTTCAGGTCACCACTAAAACGTTATTGCCTCCAGGAAGCTTTATGGGGCTCCTCCCTCGCCCTCCCCAAAGCTGTCAGGCGTCCCCCTTTCACAGCTTTTCAGCACCGGTCACGCCATGTACAATGGTCTCTCCTGTTAGATGGCAGGCCTGTGAGGGGTGGTGCCTGTTTCTTGTTGCTGATTATTCTCATCAAAGAACAGTGCCTGATAGGCAGGCTTAACATTTTTTGGTAAATGAGTAAATAAAATCCTCATCTCTAAATGGCTTCCCTGTGCCAGGCCCTGTTCTTAGCCATTTATGCTTATTGTATATTTAATTCTCATTTCATCATGAAGGTGCTATCATTATTGTTATTTTATTGATGAGGAAAAGCAAGCCCAGAGCCATTAAGTAGCTCACTAAAAGTCATGTAGTTAAGTGGCAGAGCAACAATTTTAATCTATATTATCTTTTTCTTTATTTTTTAAAACTTTTATTAAAGTACAGATTACCAGTTATTTAAAAATGCACGGGAAAAGACAAACCTACAAAGGACGTATCATACAATTGATTTCTAAACTCAATGATTTTGAAGTACAAAACAATGATCATTACCTCCAAAAGTCAGTTTATCGACATACATTGATTTATAGGTTGGTCTGTAACTCTTTTCACTCCATTTTGTTATAAATGTTACAGTTTTTCAGCTTCATCCCATATAAGAACTTTCTTTTCTCTTTTTAATGTATGCATTTCTCAAGAGACTGTATAGTTTTTTCTTGCAATTAATGTCAGTAACTATAGGAATCTTCCCCAAGTCACAAGAATTCAATATGGTTGCTGCTCTGGAAATAGGTACCATTTTGAGTTATCCACACTGAGACCCATGTACTAAAAGGCAAAATATTAATGAGCAAAACATGAGGATAGAGAGCAGGAAGGCAAAGAAAAGACAATGTTACCTTTACTGTAGACCTGCTAGGGAGGACTCCATGACTTACGTTGGTACTACTGCTAGGAAGCAGTTTCTGCCAGACCATGGGTTGGCTGTCAAGTGGTCCATTTTTAATTTCCTTTTCTAAAGACTGACTACCAGTTAAACTGTTCAATCAAGCAAAAACCTTCACATTACTATATATTTTAACTGCGAGAAGTAAATTATTTTCTTAAGTGGTTTAGCAGCCTTGTGTCTGGAAAAGTAGTAAAATTCACTTTGTTCCACAAGTAGAACACTGACTCGGAGGCTGCCTGTAGCTACCTGGCTACCCATCACCAGTCATGAAGGTGGACCTTCACGAACTCTGCAATATAATAAATGTAAAAACAACCTCATCTGCAAACACATTCTACGGAGCCAGCAAGACCAAAAATGTATACTCATAAGGTAGGAACTGGCTTGTACGTAACAAGATGGGGTATATCTTCTTAAATAAAACAAGGGGAAGTATATGGTAATAAAAACAATCTATGATAAACACGTAAAGAAATGATTCTGGTTTATATGTAAATCTGCTTGAACTAACCATGACTGAATGATTGGAAATTTTCTTTTCCTAACGTAATGCCCATTCAATACAACTTAAGTTGGTCCGAGTTTTTCTTTACAAATCTCTTATTTCCTTGGATTTATCTATTACGCCTCATTGTATTGCCATTTAACTTATAGGCTGGGCCTGCCCAGCCTGCCAATCAAGCCTGTCTTCAGAAATATACCAGATGCATTAAACAGAGGCGTCTTTTAGTAGAAATCTGCACTTCCAAACAGCATATGAAGAGCCAGCAGTTGGCCTTCCAATGTAAATACCTCTCATTTTATATTACAGAAACAGTGCAGTTTAAAAAAAAACAGGAGATTCAGTAGCTGCAAACACTTTTATTCAGTATCGAAACATCTCAATACTTACTGTTCCCAAAGATCTGAATACCATGTAGTTGTGGCATTTTGAGAATTAGCACACTCAGGAGAGAAGCTGTGTTTAGGATGAAGGGAGTTGGATCATACTTTGTATAGAAACTTGCCAGAAAATATAAAATTATTGGAGAAACCGTGGAAAATTTCCGTGAAGATGGAAACTGTATTCCATAGTTCTTCCCAGTGAGTTAGGAGCCTTGCTTGACCCTGGTCAAGAGTTTCAAAAGGTGTCCCTTTCACTGCATGCAAAAATACATATGTCCCCAGATTATGTAGAATATTAGTTAAGGTCCAAGCAACAGGAACACTGAAGAAGGGAATGCTGTATAAAACAATATGAAGCAGGCCCACTCCCAGTGCTTAAGTTAGCCACATACCTGGGCTGTTCATTACATGGGTATTTGGATTCACCTCGCTATGGGCAACCCTGACATTGATGTTTGCTCCGCTGCCCCTCTCCCCTGCTAGCATAGACTAAGACCAGCCCAGCGGCAACGGCAGCATCTGCTCACTCTCTTGAGTTTTTGTAGTTTTTCTATAGGGTGCATGTGCTCACTAGAGAGAGACAGAGAGAGGAGAGAAAGAGGGGGGGAAGTGAGAAACACCCCCCAGGGGGAATGGCCATGCTGCAATCCCTTCTTCTCTAGTCTCCTCAAGATTTTGGACATGCCTGTACATGTGCCCAGCATGATTTTCAAGCCACAGGGTCCAGGCTAAGGAGTTGGCCTTGTGAGATCCAGTGCTTTAACCTCCATGCCACTTGCTGGCCCCGAAATCCACATGTTTTAACTATGACTGTAGTCCTCTGATTCTGTGGCATGGTGAACACTACCCTGAAATTCAAACAGGTAGACAAAGTTAGAATGAGGGAAATTCAAGAAGTTCATGTAAAAAAATAGAATCAAAGTGTGATTCTATTTGGTGTAAGAAAAAAATGTTGATGGGCCAGCCAGGTGGTGTGGTGGTTAAGGCAGCTGGATTCCACATGGCTGACTGGATAGTTCAAATCTCGGACCCTGTCAATTAAAAAACACGCTGGGTGTGTGTGCATGAATATGTAAAATCCCAAGAGGAAAATCAAAGAGAAGGGATTGTGGTATAGCCATTCCCCCAGGGGTGATTTCTCACCCTCTTCCCTGTTTCTCTCTGTTGCATGTGGCCTATTGCAAAAACAAAAACAAAAACACCCTCAATAAAGTGAAATCTCTGTATAGCTTTTTATAATATACATTTTCCATAAGCTTTTAGAAAACCCTCCTAGGATGTGAGCAAGGTTTGTTACTGTTAGTGTGTTTGCTTCTCAAGAGACAAAATGTACTGTGGCCGCCCATAGCAGAAAATGAGCAGAAACTGACAAGTGAATGAGAATTTTACTTGGACACCACGGACACCTTGTTTGTGCTATGATAAATGTTTGTATCTGCTAGAAGCGCTATTGAGGATAAACTTTTCTTTGGGCATGTGCCCTTGCTAGAGAGAAACAGAGAGAGGGGAAGTGAGAACTCACCACTCTCTCTGCCCCCCACCCCCAGGCTAAGCCACAATCACTTCTCTTCTCGGGATTTTGGGCACCCTCATCTAGTGTGATTTTCAAGTTGCCAGATCTGGGACTCAAGTCATCTGCTAGAAGCGCTATTGAGGATAAACTTTTCTTTGGGCATGTGCCCTTGCTAGAGAGAAACAGAGAGAGGGGAAGTGAGAACTCACCACTCTCTCTGCCCCCCACCCCCAGGCTAAGCCACAATCACTTCTCTTCTCGGGATTTTGGGCACCCTCATCTAGTGTGATTTTCAAGTTGCCAGATCTGGGACTCAAGTCATTGTTGGCTATGTGGGAGTCCAGTACCTTAACTATATATATATATATATATTCAGTTCATTTTTATATTTAATTTAAAAATTATGCATTACTCTTTCATTGAGCAGTTTTGAAAGAGTAAGGATAAAATTCACTCGTAATTCTACCATCTAGAAAAACTCAATTTTAAAAAATTGCAGCTCATTAAATTTTATTTTTAAGATTTTTACTACAAGGTATATATATGTACTTGCTGGAGATGATACTGAAGAGAGAGAGAAAGAGAAAAATCACCCCCCAGAAGGGATGGCCAGGCTGAAATCCTTTTTTCTCCATTTTGCTCTTGGGATTTTGGGCATGCATGCACAGGTGCTTAGTGTATTTTTCAAGCTACCAGTCTGGGATATGAATTATCCAGTTGGCCATGGGGGACCCAGCTCCCATAACCATCATGCCATGCATAGGCTGGCCTAGTGCATTCTTTACTGAACAGTTTGAATTGGTCAAGCAATGTGTTCAGTCCCTAGTCTATGATAAAATACATTTAGTAAAATTGCATATGAAATTTAAGGGCTTTTCTTCATGTTCTCGATAATTTTTTTACTTGAAAGGAATGATTCTGCAATTTATGGAAAAACCATCTGTTTGACTATTCTGTGTTTGAGAAGAATATTTTTTACATTGCAAAACAATAAAATTTTAAGTCCCCCTCCACCCTTTTTTCCACCCCGAAGAGATCCATGTCCTTGAACATAAAATACAAATAATCCTTGAGCTGTTAATTATTGGCAAATTGTCTCATTTTCAACCTAAGGATACATATGGATATACCAACAGAGGGTTACTAATTAACAGGCATTGCCTGAGAAGACTATAAAAGAATTTCAGGATAATTTGCAATATTCTCACCACTGCTGACAACAAAATAACTAGCAACCATGAGGTGGCTGGTATCAATTTCTTTAATTTTACTACTAAATTTTACTGAATCCAGAACACTGCATAAAAATGCTTATGGCATAGGTGAGATATTTTGTGCTTTTCTGTTTTGTCTGTTCTCTGTATCAAGATGCTTAAAATTCTTAAGCTCATACTTATTAATTTGTCTTGATTTATTTATTACATTTATTGTTTCACATAGAAGAAAAATATTCACTGGTAGATATAGTTAAGTCAAAGATAAACTTGGAACTTTATAAAATTATAGCTGTACTGAGCATCACCAGTGAATGGTTCATATATCCTAGGTTGAATGAGTTTTTTTGTATATCATTTATTTGACTGATGTACATAGTAACTTCGAAAAAGCCATAATTCTCACTTCTTTGCATACCATGCCATCATAGTGGTAAAATAAGTAACATCTTTATTCTTATCAGGAAAATGGACCATTGTTTATTGTCTGATGAAGAAGCGCTGTGATGGGACTATAAATGACAAACTGTGGTATAATCATGTTGAAAAGGTTGACTGAAATATATTTTTTATCATTTGATTTTTAATCCAATTAGAGCATCACAATGCAGGGAAAGCTGAACAACTGGAGGAAAAAATATGGATTTTTGTGCTAATATTTGCTATTTTTCTTGTTAGTTTTATTCTTTAGCCTCTAGTTTTCTCTAGTACAAAATTAAGATATTTAAATATGTGATCTTCTTAGTTCTAAAATGGTATAGTTCTAAATTAAATACAGCTCTTCGTATGTAATAGTAATTACTTTATTGGATGGTGGCTGAAAACACCACTTTTCATTAAATTTATTTTGCTTTCCAGCTTCCGTATTGGATTCATCCCAATGTTCTGCAGAGGTGAATTTAGTCAACATGTAAGTTTCCCTTGTAGAAATGCACATTAAATATGCAAATCAATGATAACCTCTGTAGGTTATTAAATAATGTTGGATAGCCCTATGGTTTTTTGATGTATAAAAACAAACTGGATGATTTCATGAGAAGTTATTTACACTGAATATCAAATTGATATTGAAGGACTTGAACTGTTAGCCAATATATTAGGTAGTAATCTTTAAATTCCTTGAAATTCCATGGGGGAAAATCAAATCAGATTTTAGAAACTAGAAATTAGTGTCTGGTCAGTGGCAACCATGAATAAATTGGTGATATTTTTTCATTAATACCAATAGGGTGATATCATGATGTTCTTTAGTCTGTATACTACTTAAATCTTTGTAACAATTTATAGGAGATGAATTATTCCATTTTCTGTTATTTGAGCAGAATATGCCACTCTCTTGAATGTCGTCTTTCCATTCTGTGTTTCGGAAATTTCTAATGGAAATTTAAAGTAGTGTTTTGCTGCTGCTTCTTGCTCACAGAAATCTGCACTAGCATTGCTTTGAGTCAACTCATGAGCACTATAGTCTTGCTAATGCTGGGAGTAGACACAGACAAAGGTCCAGTGATCAATTCTTTGTTTAAATTTAAAAGAAGAATGCAAAGAATATATATAAATACTTTCCATTCTAGGTGTATTGCAGTGCTTGGGTGACTGTAAGAGGAGAGACCACTCTTCTGAGAAATCTGCTTATTTTGACTGTGTATTGATATATATTTATACTGTGAATTGATATATATTTATACTGTGTATTGATATATATTTATACAGGAAGAGGGTTAGTAAAAGCCTGAAATTTCTTCCTGTGTGGCTAGACTCTAATTCCATACATATATAAATGAAAAAAGTGTGTGTGTGTGTATATATATATATATATAGCGAGAGAGGGAGAGAGAGAGAGATGTTATATATAATTTTATCTCTGATTATTCTCTAAACAGGTCACAACATAAACAGAAAATAAAACAGACCCAAAACCCCAAAATTCTCCTTGAGAAAAATAAGCTTGGTATAAGTCTGTTACTCAAACATTCACATGCATTTTTGTTTCAGTGCTACCATAATTTGCGCCCAATTTGTTAAGGAGGCCACTTACGAGGAAGTAAGCAAAATGGTAAAGGATGTATTGACAGTGATTGAGAAACCCACTGGCAGTGAGCAGGCTTCAGGGTGTTTTGAAAACCAGGTGAGTGGATAAGAAAACAAAGCAAAACCAAACAAAACACTTGGATATTTGACCAAAATTTAGCAGGCAGAAGAGAAGATATAGGGAAGGCTTGTGAAATGTATTTAAATACTTGAAAAGCTGTTTAAAAAGAGAGTTAGATGGATTCTCAATGTTGAAGAGAACAGAAGGAAAAAAAAAACAATGAGTGGCTATAGAAAAAAGATAATACCGGAAGTCTTCAACAAGTTTATGGAAGATGTATTATGAAACGAGTATGGTTAGATTTCAAGGTTTTTTGCACCAAATGAACTTGTACTTTAATTTTATTTTTCCACAACATTTTAAAGAATATAAGTTTATGTTGTTTGTGGTAGTAACACATGCACAATGAAAACCAAAAGCTGAAAAAGTAGTTACATTTCCTACTTAAGTGGACAATTTCATCAATCATTTCCCGCAATGACCACTACATTCTCAAGTTCTCATGAACTACTCTGAACTTACTGTGAGATACAGTCAAAGTCAGAAGAAGCTCATAGGGAGCATATTTATTTTCTGGAGGAAGTTAATTCCTCCAGAATCAGCATGGGAAATAAACATCTTCTTGATTCTAGCAGAAAAAATTAATGGAGTGAATTTCACCTCATGCTGAAGCAACTTTTTTTTTTTTTTTTTTGCTATAGAGCGTATGTATTCACTGGAGAGACACACAGAGAGAGAGACAGAAAGTCAGAAATCGCCCCCTAAGGAAGATGGCTATGCCAAAATCCCTTCTCATCTATTCTCCTCTCTGGATTTTGGGTATGCATGCACACGCGCTTGGTGTAAGATTTTTAAGCCACCTAGTCTGGGACTCGAACCATAGTTGATTACATGGGAGTCCAATGACATACTCATTACACCATCTGCTGGTCCCAGGTATCAGTATTCTAGATCAAGAATGTTTAATTTTTTGAGAACCAGCAGTTAGTGTAATGGCTATGTTGCTGGACTCCCACATAGTCAACCACAGTTCGAGTCCCGGACCCGGTGGCTTAAAACTCACGCCAGGCGCGTGTGTGTACGTGCCCAAGATCCCGAGAGGAGAATGGAGGAGAAGGGATTGCAGTGTGACCATCCCCCCTGGGGGGTGATTTCTCACTTTCTGTCTCGATGTCTCTCTCTGTCTGGCAAGCGCATGCGCCCTATAGCAAAAAACCTCTCCCCCAAAAAAAGAATGTTTAATTTTTCTAGTTTACCCAAATCTTTCCTAGTAAAAGAAGTTTTTATAACAGGAATAGCATCAAGAACTCCCACAAACCTTTTGAAGTACTCGCAGAGTAACTAAGTACAGTAACTAAGAGCAGAGATTTTGAAATAAGATTATGTGGCTAAGATAATTGGGTGACCCTGGGCATGCTTTTTAATTTCTTCAAACTTTAGCTTTCTTATCTTTACATTGAGGAATAATAGCTTCCATTTGGGTTGTTGTAGAGATTGCTATAATCATAGTAGTAGCAGCTAATTTTTATTAAGCAGCCCCTGTGAATGGCATTATTTTGGGTGGTGTTACTCACTGGTCATCAAACTATTTTCTAACACAGAGAACAGCACTGAAGAAGGTGAGCAGTTGTTCACTGAGTCAAGGATGGGCTGTACCAGTGGAGTATCAGCTTTGTTTACAAATCTGAATGTATTAAATCTGTACCATAATCCTAAGAGATACATGCTAATCTTCCAATTGAGAAAACGAAAGCCTGTGCCTTAGGTTAAGCATGTTTTTGAAGGGAACCAACAAAAGTCAGAACAAGGATTTCAACCAACCCAAATGGCTCCAGAACTACCACTGAAAGGCTTTATTTCGCACCATACTACCCTACACTATGGTGAATATGCGGAAAGAGCACATTGGGTTGTCAGATAGCAAACACACAAGAAAATATAATACCCAGTAACATCCGAATTGTAGATAATCATTAAATACTTCATTTTAGTATAAAGATATCCTGGTGTAGAAGCTTAGTAAATAGTAGTTACGATTGTTTATCTTATTTAAGTATCAAAAAGGACTTTATGGGACCAGCAGTTAGCCTAATGGCTATGTCGCTGGACTCCCACGTAGTCGACTGCGGTTCGCGTCCCGGACCCGGTGGCTTAAAACTCACACCGGGCGCGTGTGCATGCGTGCCTAAGATCCCGAGAGAATGGAAGAGAAGGGATTGCAGCATGGCCATCCTCCCTGGGGGATGATTTCTTGCTTTCTGTCTCTCTGTTTCTGTCTGTCTGTCTGGTGAGCGCACGCGCCTTATACTGAAAAGAAAACCTCTCCAAAACAAAAAAAAAGACTTTATAATAATTAGAGCTATCCAATTGTGGAATAAAATACCTCGAGAATCTTCTATCAAGTTTGGGTTGATGAAATGATCAAAACACCAGGATTGGGATATTGTAGAAGGACTTTCTCTTTAAAGCTAAAGTACTTTCCGTCTTCAAAATTTATGATCTTATAAAACTCATAATAAAAATCATCTAGATAATAACGTTATTGGTTGGTGATTTATCATTATAAAGTTAAAAGTATTTTTTAATGTGGGAGTTCAAAGTCTTACTTAAAAGTTCCAGTGTTCTCTAAATATGAACAGTTGCAAAAGCTACATAAAAATTTCCTGAGATGAATGAAACACTTGTATTCTTCAGAAGCTTCCTTTGGAATATTGGTGTTGTCACCTGATTTTGGTGAAGTGAAGGCACCAAGAAAGGAAGCACGTGCATTTTAAAACATTTTAGCTCAATCTTTCTATTTTCATTCCATTTAAAACTCGTTTTAACTGAAATTAATATATAACTTTAGATCAATGTCTTGCCATAAGAATGCCACATGGAATGAGTTTCTGAAACATGGTTGATATAAAAAGGAAAGCTTATGTATCTTGAGGCCAAATTGCTGATAACATAAAAGGGAAAAAGAAAATAATTCAAAGTGAAGGAGACAAAATATTGCATGCCTCTTTTCCTTTGAAAAATAAAACAGCTTTGCCTAGTAGTCACGTATACTACTCAAGGTTGGAAATTAAAATATCATTTTCCAAAAGACAACAAAGAAAGCTATCCCGTCAGGGTAAACTATGGATAAACGTATTGAAATTTATACTGGCAAGTTTCTTAATCTATAGTTCTGATTTGGGATAGTAGAACACTCTTTGTATGCTTTACGGAAGTTTTTCAAAGTCAGTTGTTTCCTACTAAATATAAAATCTTTCCTATAGCTCCCTGCTTTTCTGGAAGAAATTTGCCATGAGAAGGAAATTTCTGAAAAGTATGGATTTTCAGACTGCTGCAGTCGAAGTGAAAAGGAAAGACACGACTGCATGCTCTCACACAAAAAGGCCACTCCGGCATCCATCCGGCCCCACCAAGTCCTAGAACCTGCCACGAGTTGTAAAGCATATGAAGAAAACAGGGAGACATTCATAAACAAGTAAGGATCCGATTTAAAGGGAAGCAAACATCCCAGAATTTAGAATTTAAGTAGAGATCACGATAACTGTATCTGCTGAGGTCTCACTGGGTGTTTAGGAAAGCAATTAAAAAGAAAATTTCCAGAGAGTGTGTGCATTCATTGGAGAGAGACCGAGAGAGAGTGAAAGTAAGAGAGCAGCCCCTGTGGGAGATGCTGCAATCCCTTCTCCTCCATCTCTCCCTTATTCTGGGACTTTGGGCATGCACACACATATGCCTGGTGTTTTTCAAGTTGCCAGGTCTGGGACTCAAACTGAGCAGCTGGCCATGTGGGATAGTGACACCTTAACCACCATGCCACTGGCTGACCCTGGGAGAGCAACTCTTAAGTGTACTTGTCTCCATAGTGTGCTAGATGCAGGACAGCCCACACAACAGACCCGTTAGCTGTTTTTGTCACCTCTTGAGATACAGCCTGTTTCCCACCCCCTCTAATCTCTCAATTTTGCCTTACCCAAGAATCTATTAGTACTGCACAAAATGACTCCTTCTGAAGCCAAATTTTAAGGCTTTGTGTTCACCAAATTGCCTGGAAATAAAAAATGTGAAGGGACGACCTTGTGGCATGGTGGTTAAGGCAGCTGGACCCCACATGACAGACTGTGCAGTTGAGTCCTGGACCCAGTGGCTTAAGAAAGATGCCAGGGATGTGCCTGTGCATGCCCAAATCTCATCAGGATGGAGAAATGGAAGAGAGTGATTTTTGGTGTGCCCATGCCCATTAGAATCTGGTATCATCTGTCGAATTACGTTTTCCCTAAGAATTTTTTTGGGCACATGGGAAAAAAAACCTAACTGTTGTCCCTTTAGGAACACAGTAAAGAAAAAGTCAAGCGCATTTTTGCTCTCGTTGTTCTATGAACTTTAGACGACCAGAAGAGTCCATTTCTAAGGAGAAGTAGTCTTATTTTTATGTGTTTGTAAATTCTCGAGCTCAATTTCATTTTGCAGATACATCTATGAAATATCAAGAAGTCACCCCTTCCTGTATGCACCTACAATTCTTTCTTTGGCTGCTCGGTATGACAAAATTATTCCATCTTGTTGCAAAGCTGAAAATGCAGTTGAATGCTTCCAAACAAAGGTATTGTATTTGGGTGGATATTTAAACTAATCCTGTAATCTGGCTATGGCTCATTAAAACATAACAAAATTAAAAACAGAAACACAGTGGACCAGTAAGTGGCGTGAAGGTTATGGCACGGGATCCCACATGGCTGATCGCAATTCTAGTCCTGGACTGGCGACTTGAAAATCATGCCAGGCACATGTGTGTACATGCCCAAAGTCCCAAGAGGGGATTGGAGGTGAAGGGATTGCTGTCAGCAACTATTTTGTTATTAGAAAGTGAGTTTGGTGGGATAAAGAAGGACAGAGAGAGGAAGAGATGATAATGGAAATAAAATACAGAAATAAGGTGAAAGAAGATGGAAGGAAAAAGAGGAAACAGGAGAGAGGAAAAAAGAGCATTATGATCAAAGTTTTAGATTCATTATGTCTTTGGATCCTTAGGACAAATCTGAAGTATAAGTATCATTATCATTTAAAAAGACAAAGAAACTTAGGTTCAGAGAAGTGAGTAGTTTTCTTAGATTTAAGGAACTAGGATGATGTCCACAATTAATCACTCGATACTAGAAATCCTACCACTGGAACTTCCAGAGAATTGCAACTATTCTCAGAAACAGTCTCAGAAGTCAGGCTGTGATACAATCTTATTTATTTATTTATTTATTTTGTGACTGAGCCGACATTTAAGAAATTTGCAGTGGTCAGCCATGGTGGTGCAGTAACACAATGCTCCACAATAGCGAGGCCCTATGGGTAAGTCCCAGGTTCATGTTCTGATGTCTCCCTGTACAGACAGGGTATTGCCCGTAGGCTGATGATCCTGATTGGCTGAAGTTGAGGGTAGGATGGTAGCACAAGGACCCTGTTGAGGGTTGCCTATCTCTCCTTCTTTCTCTCTGTCTTGGTCTTTCATGAAAGAAGTAAATTTTAAAAATCTTAAAAAAAGAAATTAGCAAACTTTAATCTGTTTTAAGGCTCCTTAAAAGGATGGTTATTCATTCATTATCACATATACAATTTATAATGTTTTAAGATATTTTTAATAAATTCATCCAGCATAGGTACATGTAAACTAACCAAAAAAAAAAATGAATGAATAATATTCTCCAAAAATGTGTGGCATTTGGGCCAGCCCTATGGCCTAGTGTTTAAGGGAGCCAGTTCCCAACATGGCCAACAACACCTGGTCCAGGCAACTTGAAAACTCACTTGATGCAAGTGTGTGGGTGTCCCAAATCCCAACAGTATGAAGAAATGGAGGAGAAAGGCTTGCAGTGTGACCACATCCCAATGGGGGGAGATGCTTTCTCCCTTTCCATCTCTCTTTGGAGAGCACACATGCACACTGACAAATTAAAATGAAAAGGATGGCATTTATAACTTTTAGTAAAACATGTTTTATGGAGGTTCAACTTTTACCTGTACCTGTTGCTTTCCTTATTATGAGAGCTTATGAAAGGAAATCTGTGTTTTCTTGACACCTTGTTTCTTCGACGTCCAGGGAGCACCAATCGCCAAAGAATTAAGAGAAAGCAGCTTGTTAAATCAACACATGTGTGCGGTCATGAGGACTTTCGAACCACGAACCTTCCAGGCCATGTAAGTTTAAGCTGTATCTAAGAAAGAAGGTGAGATCTATGGAACTACCTTTGTGGTTCATTTTCTCCCCTTGTTGCTGTTAGGGAGAAGGAAGTTCTCTTTTTTTGGGGGTAGATTTTTTCTATAGGGCGCGTGCACTCACCAGAAAGATAGAGAGAGACAGAGAGACAGAAAGCGAGAAATCACCCCTTGGGTGTATGTCCACGCCGTGATCCCTTCTCTTCCATTCTCCTCTCAGGATCTTGGGCACGCATGCACACATGACTAGCGTGATTTTAAGCCACTGGGTCTGGGACTCGAACCATGTTGACTACATGGGAGTCCAGTGACATAGCCATTACACCAACTGCTGGTCCCAAGAAGGAAGTCCTCTTTCATGAGGGTTAATAGGATCAGAATCCTGAAATCTTAGAACTGGAAGGGAGCAAAGAATCAGTCTGCTACTTAACACTTACCGAATCCCCACTGAGATAATACTAACAGGAGACTTAACGTTTCTACTATTCTTTTAGACCCCAATTCTGGCCTGCAATCAAATTATACCTCATCAGTAGACTGTGTATTCCAAGCTCCTCCAAAAGTAGCCAGCTTTCACTGATTACCATCTAAAATCCTGGGCTAAACAAGGAGCTCTTTATTTGAATTGTACTTTCTAATTTGCTCTCAAGTTCTTTATGTCAGTTGTTGCTTCTCATGAAAATATTCCCTCAAGACGATGGTATCAGAATATAATATCAAGAGAAAAGAAAATTTTAAATGACATAACTGGTTTAAGTAGTCTTCATTTCCTTGATAGTGAAACATTTCTAGGATAGAAAAAACACCTGAGCTGCTAATCAGAGTGGTTAAGTATATGGATTCAGAGTTTGTTAAATGGCACAGTAAGATATTATACACAGTGGCGACCTAAAATAAAATGGTTAGTCATATAATTCCCAAGACTGGCTATAATTCCTTTTTAGAAGAGGTCAGATTTATCTTTTAACTACTCTCCAAATCTGTAGAAACTTAAGATTGATTCATCAGGCCACATGGCGGTGTGGTGGTGTGGTGGTGAAGGCAGGCCAGATCCCACATGGCTCTCCAGGTGGTTCAAGTCCCTGTTCAGTAGGTTGAGAAATATGTCAGGTGTGTGTGTGCCCAAAATTCCAAAAAAAAGAAATGGAGGAGAAGGGATTGTGGTGTGATTATTCCCCACAGTGGGTGCTTTCTCACCTTCCTTCATTCTGCAATGACTGCACATTCCCTCTAGCAAGTTAAGAAAAAAATTGTATTAGTCGTAAAATAGAAATTAAGATCTTATAGTGACACAACGGCATGTTACTCAGCCATAAAGAATAAGACTGCCATTTGATATGAAGTGGATGAATCTAGAATCTTTAATGCTAAGTGAAGTAAGCCGGACTAGGAAAGACAAACATGGAACTGGGAGGAAGCACAGAGTGTTTGTTCTCACTCAATATATGCCAAATATCTGCCCTCTAGGGCAGAAATGGGAAGATTTGAAGTTGTAATAATGGAGAGAAGTGTACACACCATAGACTGTATGGGTGGGGGTGGATTGTGGAAGGCGGGGAGAGGGTTCAGTGTAACATTTAACAGACACGGAATGTAAGGTTCTGTGTTGAAAACAATGTATGTAGTAATAGCCTTGATTTGATGATCACACCCTGCATGCATGCTTTGAAAAACCATATTGTATGTCATTATGACAATTAAATGGAAATAAGAAAATCTAAAAAATGTATAAAAGATTTGATTATAGTGACTTTATCATTTGCTAAACATAGTGATTAAAGCCACAACAACATTTGTTTGAAGGAGCAATGGCTCCACACAAACAGTCCTTAAAATGAAGTGAAAGAACCCAAGTTTTTACTTCTCACTTCCCTTTTTGGCCACACTACAAGTCTTGGCATGATGCCATGTCAGAAATGTTTAGTCTGCCCCACTTTCTTCTCCCATTTCATCTGTTTGCATGTCTGCACCCCTCTCGGGATTCTCAGAAGTAATTTTTCCCCCAATCAAAAAAATGACTATCATTCTCATGGAATTTTCTATTTCTTCTCTTTTCTTTTTTTTTTTTTAAGAGAGACTTTTGCTATAGGGTGCGTGTGCTCCCAGAAAGAGAAAGTGAGAAATCACTCCCCGGGAGGATGGCCAGAATCCCTTCTTTTCCATCCTCCTCTCAAGACTTTGGGCATGACCACACATGTGCCCAATGTGTTTTAAGCCACCAAGTCTGGGACTTGAACCATAGTTGACTATGTGGGAGTCCAGTGACGTAACCATTATGCCATCCGCTGGTCCCAGGAAATTTCCAATTTCTTAATTATTTCTACCCTTAATATTTTTATTCACTCACTACAAGGATCCCAAATGCTCAGCATCAGGGATGAACAGCAAAAGGCTAGAAATCTTCTTATCCTGGGAAAGGTTTTAAGAAAAGATAAGACACTTCCAAGTCACTTGTAGGGTCAGGTCACAATCCACAGAGCTACTGTATTCAAAGACGGGACTGGAACTGAAAAGACTTAAGCTTTTCATTTTTTAAATCAACAACATTTCAGTTCTTTCCCTTTGGAACTTTAACTATACTCTAAGTGCTGTTTCATTTTTTAAAAGCTTATATATCATTATAGAAAGCACATGTGTGTGTACATATGAGAGAGGGAGAAAGAGACAGAGAAGCACCCTCAGCAGGGTGTCATGATCATGTCGTGATCCCCTTTCCATGGGCCTCTAGCCTGTCAGGATCTTGAAAGTGCATCTGGTATGTTTCAAGACCACCCGGCCAGGGATCCGAACCGACAGTCAGCCATGTGGCTTCCAGCATGGCAGTTCAGTGTACTATCAACTGTGTCACTGGGGCTGGGCCTATAAGCGCTATTTCATTTGGTAGATATCCATCATTGATTTCTAATTCCTTCCTTGTCCCTAGAACTGTTACGAAGCTGAGTCAGAAGTTTACCAGAGCTAATTTTACTGACATTCAGAAACTGGTCCTGGACGTGGCCCACGTGCATGAAGAATGCTGCAGGGGAAACATGCTGGAGTGTCTGCAGGACGGGGTGAAGAGCCTCCTTTCCTAAAAAGATCCACTTCTGCCCCTTTTTCTGTCTTTGGCCTCATTCTAAGAGGCAGAAAGCTGACTGACTTGAGTTAGTGGAAGGGAATGCTAGCCACAGGACTGAAGTTACAAACTTCTTAGTAGTAAAACTTAAACTGTCTTGTATGGATTCTGGTTTTTGATGTCACCCTCTTTTAAGAGTCCAGAGCCTTTCAGTTTCTTACTTTAAAGAAGATGGCAACCTTCCAGGAGGCCGCCACATAGGGTCTTTGGGGACAAACTCTTTACTTTTAATGTACTTGTTTTCCAATACTCTTCATTGATTCGACAAACACATATTGCGTACTTTCCATCCACTAAACACTAGGAGGAATCTGGAATGAAGAGTTGGAGAAGATGAACTGAGGGGAAGGTTCCCCAAAGACAGTTTATTACTTTATATTTTTTTCCCTTTTAGAAGTACTTATGTGACTATGAGGGGCATCAACAATAATTGTGTTCTTTTTCTTTGAGGTCAGATTTTTTTTTTTTTTGGTCTTTTTTAAAATTAATTTTTCACTTTTTGGAGTTCATAACTACCTTTTCCTTTAGACTGAAAAACATTAATTTCAATATGATCTTTACATTGGATTTTAATAGCTGAATAAAGGGCTTTAATTGTCCCTACTGATGCCAACCCCATGACGGATATGTGAGTCGTCCTTCTTTCTGGCCACTTAGGTGCACTGCTATTTCGTTACCCATGGACTGCCCTCTGGAGGTCATTGTGAATCACTGCAGTTTGTTCTGGAAAAGATGGAGCAGAAAGTTTGCTTTCTGCATTCTAACAGCCCTAAATGTTATATAGAGGCAAAGTTGAATATTAATAATATATATATATTATATATATATTATTAATATATATATGAATGCCATTTAATTAGAGAAGTAAGTTTTCCCCTTGTTTTAATTTTATTTAACTTAGAGAGAAAGCATGGAGCAGGGGCATGAGAGATTCTTGATAGTGAAGCTCTCAACTTCCATATCTCAACTTCCCTGGCCCCAGCTCTCAGTTTGCAAGGACCCCGTGCACCACAGTGCCTGGCCTGACTAAGCTGGGATGGGAACGGAAACCAGGTCTCCCATGCAGCCTAGTCACTGTACAGTGCTACTCTCTGCCACTGTGGCTGGGCTTCGCTTATTTTTTTTTTTTTAAATTGTTTTAGATTTAAAAAGTATATTTATTTTTAATTTTTGAATTTGTTATTATTATTTATTTTTAAAATTTGGTCAGAAAGACACAGAGCAAGAAAAAGGGAAAATGAGAAAGCAAGCCAGGACTCAAACCATCGTTGGCCATGTGGGAGTCCAGCGCCTCAACCACCACTCCACTTATTGACCCCAATCTCTCTTGTTTTTAAAGTTTCTTATTAAAACAAAAGAGTAACATTTATTTTTAACAAAAAAAGAACTGAACAGATGAGTGGAAAGGAGTGGGGAAAGGCAAAACTAAGAAGAAAACACAAAAATGCAAGACAAGATAAAATATCTGCTTTGTCCTTTCTCCCATTCTCCATTTTTCTATCCTTCTTCCCTCCCTTCTTTTTATCTCTCTCCCTCTCTCCCTCCCCTAGCATTGGCCCTGAGGTCCTATATTAAAAATTAAGCCCTTAAAATGTATACTTTATCTTTCTCACTGCAGGAGAAAATTATGTCGTACATATGTTCTCAACAAGAGATCCTGTCAAGCAAAATAGGAAAATGCTGCAAATTGCCCATCCTCGAACTTGGGCAGTGCGTAATTCACACAGAAAATGATGACCAACCTGAAGGTCTATCTCCAAACCTAAACAGGTTTTTAGGAGACAGAGATTTCAACCAATTCTCTTCAAGGGAGAAAAATATCTTCTTGGCAAGGTAATGCACTGTAAATGCATGTTCGCACAAGTGGGATTTAGCACATGGCTGGCAGTGGTGTGTTGTTCAAATGGGGAGTGTCGGCTCTGGATTACATGCTCAGCACATGAGGATATTTGGCCAGGATGTTCTCAGTCAAAACAGATTTAAGCAGATTATCTGGAGAATAAGGACTGGGCTCTGTCTTATAATGGAGAAGCCTTTGCCATTATTGTTATTAACGGGCTTGTGTATGAAGCTGCATTTTATTTTATTTGCATTTCTCTGAAATCAAAAACACTGTCATTCTGGATGGATTACTCATACGAAGGCCACCATCGAACTTTCAAATAGGATGTGGATATTTTTATAATAAAGGGCTCATGATTAAGAATGCGTCCTTTTGCTATACAGGTTTAAAATACTTCTCCCCAAACTACAACCCAATAAATAGTGCTAGATAGAAAGCCTTATATTAGAGCAGTGCATCTGCTATTTTTTAAATACGTATTTAATTGTTTAAAGGAAATTAAAACATGTTTAGAAACATTTGCAGCACAATAGTTGGTTTTTATTTATTTATTCATTTATTATCATTATTGTTATTTTAGTTTTATTATAGGGTGCACGTGCTTGCTGGAGAGACACACAGAGAGAGAGAAAGTGAGAAAACACCCTTGCAAGGGAATGGCCATACTGTAATCCCTTCTTTTCCATTCTCTTCTCAGGATTTTGGGCATGCCTGGTGTATTCTCAACAAGAGATCCTGTCAAGCAGGATCCTGTCCAGCCTGGGCATGCCTGGTGTGTCTTTTAAGTTGTCAGTTCCAGGGCTTGATCCGCTCCGTTGGTCATGTAGTATCCAGCCACCTTAACCTTTGTGCCCCCTGCTGGCCCTGTAGTTTGTTTTAATGTAATTAATAGGCCATGTTTTATTACATTTGCCTTTAAGAGACTTGAAGAGTCAAGAAAATATGACTTCCTTTATTGTACTGAGTATCTATGGACACAATCAGAAGAAGAATTTGGGTAGTTCTTAGGACATTAGATTTAATGATCTACAAAAGTCTACATTTAAGAGTAGGAGTCTAATGCATTACTGAAAATAATGATCCAATTTTCTTTTACTATTCCCTGAGGATATTACTCTATCGTCACATTAAAATGAGACATTCACACTTTGTTTGCACTGCTAAATAAAATGATGCAAACTAGAACCAGTGCAAATTTAAGAGACTCATATTGACAATTTATGCTGGCAGAATAAATATGACCAATGTCTATAAACTGAGAGTACACCTAGGAAATTCGATCATTAAAAAAAGAAAATTCAAGAATTATCTCTAAGTTTATGCATTCATGCACACCTCAAGGTGGTTGTTTGTTTAGTAGAAGCAGTTCTTCGACTGCAAAGGGTCATTGCAGTAGAACTTTTCTCAGCTGAGAATTATCTTTCCCACATACTTGAGTGGCTTCCTTTCACCAGATTTCTATTCCAATATCAGTTGCCCAGAGATACTTTTCTTTTTTTAAAAAAGAATTATTTATTTAGTTTAATTTGTTATTATTGTTATTATTATTTTTTAAAATTTGCTATTGGTGTCCATTCCTTGGCATCTTGCTTTCTGCGACACTATGAGACACGTACACTCACCAGATAGAGACAGAAAGAGAGAAATAGAGAGAAAGAGAGGGAAAGTGAGAAAACAAGCCACCAGGTCGGGGACTCAAACCATGGTGAGCCATGTGAAAGTCTAGCCCCTTAACCACCACGCCACCTGCTGCACCCAGAGATACTTTTCCTGACCACCTGCTAAATTAATGGCCCTTTCACCTGGGTGTCTCCCTTTTCCCTCTTTTCCATCTTTGTTTATTTTTCTTTATGGACTTATCATTACCTGAAGTAGATGGCCTATTTCTTGTTTCTGCCTCCCTGTAAGGTATTCTTTTGAGAGGGCAGGCATGTTGTCTTACACATCATTGACTCTTTACTGCTTAAAGCAATGCTAGCATAGAGTAAGCACTGGAAAAAAAATCTGTTGAGTGAATGTGAAGTCCACAACCCAAAAGCCAAAGTGCGATGTACAAAAGAAAACACGACATTACTTTATGAGACAATTCAAGAGATTATAGTTCATAGGAATAGTTTCCCCGTTTATATAGTCCAAAGCATATTTAATTTCCATTTTCAGGTTTATTTATTTGAATTGTAACTTCTACATAGCATGTCATACAGGAATAATTAAGGAAGTAATGGTTTCATTCTGTCTCTTACTTCCCTGAACTTAGGATGTTTCTTTTTTCTAACATATTTCAGTTTTATTCATGAATATTCAAGAAGACATCTTGAGCTTGCTGTCCCAGTCATTCTAAGAGTTGCTAAAGGATACCAAGAGGTATTGGAGAAGTGTTTCCAGTCTGAAAACCCACTTGAATGCCAAGATAAAGGAGTAAGTTGCTTTTGAATTTTAAGGAGCATCTAAAAAAACTACATTGTAACATCCATGAAATATGCTGTTTGTTTTAAAACATCTGTCAAATAGTTATTAACTATTGGTTAGCTAGTTGTATCTATCTACTGATTATCTAGATATTAAATGATTATTAACCATTAGTTGATAGCTAGTGGCTTACTTTAGAAATAAAAATGCTAACCAAAAGTTCTTTGATGCACAGAATAAAAGTAATACTCATTTTAGGGTGCTGCAAAAAAGGCAAGAATTGTAACCTTTTTTTTTTTTGGAGAGGTTTTTTGCTATAGGGTGCGTGTGCTCGCCAGATAGACAGAGAGAGACAGAGAGACAGAAAGCAAGAAATCACCCTCGCAGGGGGGATGGCCTTGCCGCAATCCCTTCTCCTCCATTCTCCTCTCGGGATCTTGGGCACGCACGCACATGCGCCTGGCGTGAGTTTTAAGCCACTGGGTTCGGGACGTGAACTGCGGTCGACTACATGGTAGTCCAGCGACATAGCCATTACAGTAACTGCTGGTCCCAAGTTGCTGTAATTTTCAAAATTCACACTTTGTCATCTTTAATATTTAAAAAGCTTCAAATTGTTTTCTCTAAGCTAGCTTCATAAAAGTGTAACATATAGGTTAGTTTTTACATACAAAATTGTGTGTCCAGGAAGAGAGAAAAATGTGTGTAATAACGCTTGTATTTCCAGGAAGAAGAATTGCAGAAATACGTCCAGGAGAGCCAAGCACTGGCAAAGCAAACCTGTGGCCTTTTCCAGAAATTAGGAGAATATCATTTACAAACTGCGTACGTTTTTGTAAACAATAATTTTAATGATCTAAAATTATTAACAGGTGAGGGAAATTAGTGACCCCCCCCCCCATGGCTACTCTTATCTCAGTCCCTATTTCAGATTAAAAGTCAGTGTGACCTGATTCCCCAGTTTCCCCAAGAGAAGGTAACCCTTCTGAGTCCTCTCTTTTATGGAACAGTAAGAATGGCCTGTGAAGTCTAATTTGTTGCACTGGCTTTAGGTTCCTGAAACTGTGCACACTTTTGCTATAAAGGTACCCTTTTTGTCACAGTTAAAACACCCAAAGATCACAGTGAAAGTTGTAGACGCTTGGAGCGTGGGGACAGGAGCCAGCCTTCTGCCTGGTGTTCACCCTTCTTTGTGGTAGGCTGGTGTTATTATCTGAAGTAGGGACTTCAGAAAGTTCATGGAGAAATGGAATTAAAGTATGAGTTTATTGTGGTGCTAAAGATTTTTGAAATCCGTGCATAGCTTCTTCATAACACGCAATTTTTTTGGAGATATTTTTGCTATAGAGTGTGTGTACTCACCAGAAAGAGAGAGACAGAGATACAGAAAGTGAGAAATCACTCCCCCAGGGGGGATGGCCACGTCACCATCCCTTCTCTTTTTCTCCTCTCGGAGAGGATCTTGGGCATGCATGCACACGCGCCCGGCATGAGTTTAAGCCACCGGGTCTGGTACTTGAACTGTGGTCAGCTACATGGGAGTCCAGCGACACAGCCATTATACCAACTGCTGATCCCCTGTAACACACATTTTTTATACACTTTGGAAGACCTTTGTAAGTGCATCTCCAAAGTCGGCCCAAACACCGTGTAGAGGAAACCAAAGAGCTGACTTCGTCTTCTGAGAGCAGAAGAAGGTCTTTGAGAAGGAGCAAGGAGTCCAAAACACTCATGAAAACTTGGTAAAATGCTTCTTTCAGGTTTCTTGTTACTTATACGAAAAAGGCCCCTCAGCTGACCACGTCAGAGCTGCTGGCCAACACCAGGAGAATGGTGACTGCGGCGGCAACTTGCTGCCAGCTCAGCGAGGACAAGCAATCAGCCTGTATTGAGACAGCGGTGAGTGTCTTCGCCCGGCTTCATTCCTGCCTTGCTAGCCAAGCAATTCTCTGGTGGAAGAGCTGGTACGAACCACCATAAAGATGACTTGTTCGATTGCTTACAGTCGGAGGGGGTATGAGAACCCAGTTCGGCATGGTTGGTACATGGTCCGACTTCCTGTCCTTCTGGAATAGCTGATGGCTGTAGCCAGTTTATTCAGTATTGTCTGAGCAACTTTGTGCAAAGGAAAGATAGAATGACCAGCATGTTATTCGACTTATGATTTCTTCTTTTTGTCCATTTACTTTAGTGTTAAAAACAAACAAAAAAACCTTTATCTTTGATAGATTAAAGTGAGTCATTTTGTCAGACTTTTTTTTTTAACCCTTAAAAAGAAATAAAAAAAACCTGAGTTTAATTTCAAGAGTTTGCATAGGGTAGCGAACACAAGCCATATTTTATACTTTGTAAGCACAAACTATGATATTTAAATACAAAATAAAAATACAAAAGAAGGATAGTATGTTAGCTATTATGAAGAATGGAAACATTACATTAAATTTAATCCAAAAGGCAGCTGCCTACATTTGCATCATTGTAATCCAATGATTCTCTATCTAGTTCAATTACTGAACAATCTCCAGAATCAAATTATCATTCACTTTCATGCCCCTACAAGGGAAGTGGTGGGTGAATATCTGTAGGAATACAACGTATTGTCTGCTCCTCCACTCAGAAGTAACCCCGTGTCTGTCCAGTCTACACTCAGAACTTTGTCTTCATGAGCAGCCAGGTCATAGAGAAGAGCCTTACGACTTCTCATATCTCACAACTCGACCATATTATCTACCGAGCCTGAAGTCAGCTGATGTTCATGGGTAGGAGACCACTTTGCACATGTGGCCCAGCCAAAGAACCCTCTTTAGTTGTGGGATCCCACAGTCTGATATGCCTACCTGTATTTCCAGATGCTAAATATTTACCAAGTGGTTAATAGGAAATACAATTAAACACTTCATTTCCCATCAAAGTAGACTTAACCCTGCCAGACTCAACAACCCACACTCTAATCGTATGGTCCCAGGATGCACTGAAGATTTCCTCCCTATCTGACCACAGAACCGAGGAAATTACTTCCTTGTGGCCAGATAGAGCCACGATAGAAGTCCTTGTCAATCCCAGCTGCTCTGTTTTCTGTTTCTTGGTAGATTAGTAGATTCTTCCATTTCATCTTCTTCATCTGTTGGAACTGTCTACCAGATCTTTAGCATGTTATCCGTGGAGCCACTGCAAAATTTAGTTCCTGAGCTATCAACAGTTGTAGACTCCATACTTTGGAGATATTTTTGCTATAGAGTGTGTGTACTCACCAGAAAGAGAGAGACAGAGATACAGAAAGTGAGAAATCACTCCCCCAGGGGGGATGGCCACGTCACCATCCCTTCTCTTTTTCTCCTCTCGGAGAGGATCTTGGGCATGCATGCACACGCGCCCGGCATGAGTTTAAGCCACCGGGTCTGGTACTTGAACTGTGGTCAGCTACATGGGAGTCCAGCGACACAGCCATTATACCAACTGCTGATCCCCTGTAACACACATTTTTTATACACTTTGGAAGACCTTTGTAAGTGCATCTCCAAAGTCGGCCCAAACACCGTGTAGAGGAAACCAAAGAGCTGACTTCGTCTTCTGAGAGCAGAAGAAGGTCTTTGAGAAGGAGCAAGGAGTCCAAAACACTCATGAAAACTTGGTAAAATGCTTCTTTCAGGTTTCTTGTTACTTATACGAAAAAGGCCCCTCAGCTGACCACGTCAGAGCTGCTGGCCAACACCAGGAGAATGGTGACTGCGGCGGCAACTTGCTGCCAGCTCAGCGAGGACAAGCAATCAGCCTGTATTGAGACAGCGGTGAGTGTCTTCGCCCGGCTTCATTCCTGCCTTGCTAGCCAAGCAATTCTCTGGTGGAAGAGCTGGTACGAACCACCATAAAGATGACTTGTTCGATTGCTTACAGTCGGAGGGGGTATGAGAACCCAGTTCGGCATGGTTGGTACATGGTCCGACTTCCTGTCCTTCTGGAATAGCTGATGGCTGTAGCCAGTTTATTCAGTATTGTCTGAGCAACTTTGTGCAAAGGAAAGATAGAATGACCAGCATGTTATTCGACTTATGATTTCTTCTTTTTGTCCATTTACTTTAGTGTTAAAAACAAACAAAAAAACCTTTATCTTTGATAGATTAAAGTGAGTCATTTTGTCAGACTTTTTTTTTTAACCCTTAAAAAGAAATAAAAAAAACCTGAGTTTAATTTCAAGAGTTTGCATAGGGTAGCGAACACAAGCCATATTTTATACTTTGTAAGCACAAACTATGATATTTAAATACAAAATAAAAATACAAAAGAAGGATAGTATGTTAGCTATTATGAAGAATGGAAACATTACATTAAATTTAATCCAAAAGGCAGCTGCCTACATTTGCATCATTGTAATCCAATGATTCTCTATCTAGTTCAATTACTGAACAATCTCCAGAATCAAATTATCATTCACTTTCATGCCCCTACAAGGGAAGTGGTGGGTGAATATCTGTAGGAATACAACGTATTGTCTGCTCCTCCACTCAGAAGTAACCCCGTGTCTGTCCAGTCTACACTCAGAACTTTGTCTTCATGAGCAGCCAGGTCATAGAGAAGAGCCTTACGACTTCTCATATCTCACAACTCGACCATATTATCTACCGAGCCTGAAGTCAGCTGATGTTCATGGGTAGGAGACCACTTTGCACATGTGGCCCAGCCAAAGAACCCTCTTTAGTTGTGGGATCCCACAGTCTGATATGCCTACCTGTATTTCCAGATGCTAAATATTTACCAAGTGGTTAATAGGAAATACAATTAAACACTTCATTTCCCATCAAAGTAGACTTAACCCTGCCAGACTCAACAACCCACACTCTAATCGTATGGTCCCAGGATGCACTGAAGATTTCCTCCCTATCTGACCACAGAACCGAGGAAATTACTTCCTTGTGGCCAGAGAGAGCCACGATAGAAGTCCTTGTCAATCCCAGCTGCTCTGTTTTCTGTTTCTTGGTAGATTAGTAGATTCTTCCATTTCATCTTCTTCATCTGTTGGAACTGTCTACCAGATCTTTAGCATGTTATCCGTGGAGCCACTGCAAAATTTAGTTCCTGAGCTATCAACAGTTGTAGACTCCATACTTCTAGCATGACCTCTGCAGCAATGCAGAGCTTTCACTTCATTCCTCTCTACGTTCTGCTCCCACGAGATAATTGTCTGATCCTAGAGGCACTCAGTAGTTTGCAAGATAAGTTATCTTTTTTCACCCAGGCCACATCTTTTACAAGATCTGTATGTCCCACAATTGTCATTGTTGACTTCATTTCCAAGGACCAGATCTCAGAAGTCTTCTAAGAACCAGTTAAAATCTACTTCTCTGCCTCTTTAATGTAACTGATCCAGTTGTCATAGAACATGCATTGCAGGGGTGCATGTTCTGGCTGGGGTGCTGTGTATTTCTCCACATATTCTAGTTCCACAACCTCTTCGAATGAGATGTTCTCCAGTTCCATGTGTTTGACCAAGGGCATTCGCAGAAACTGTCCTTTGATAAGGAAATCAAACCCCCCATGTTGGTGGAACTCATTTTTGGCCTCCAGCAGTTTGTCGATGATGTTACTAAGGTTGGCACTTTCAGAGGTGGAAGGGATTGAGAAGGGAACATCTTCGTCAGCCTATCTCTTGTTTTCAGTGTAGAAGCCTGTCTGGAGCTGAGCCATGGTGGGAAAGACTTGCCCAAAGAAACATATGTACTAATAGTCAGAAGATAGGAGCTCTTGTCTTTCAGGATGGTTTTAAACTCCTGACTCCAGCCAACTACCCACTAAATTTGTTCTGCCTTTGGATTTGATTGACTGAAGCCTTGCCCAGTACTTTCCTCATGCGTATCTACGGCTACAGCTCACTCTGCCAGGATGGTCCCTTACTCTAGCCTCGAGCTTCTGGTTTCAGCTATGTCAGACATATTTATAGTTTTGTCATTTGTGGCGTAATTTTCTTATTAGTATATCGTTAGAGACAATTTGTTCTCTTTGGTAGAGTGTAGGGTATAGAACAGGGTGAGTCCCATGTTCTGAATAGTAGAATGACTTTACAGTTAGTAACTGGATGAACGGCACTTGTGTCATACATATGATTGCAAATTGAAATTTTTTTGGAGAGCAAGAAATCACCCCCCAGGGGGATGGCCATGTCACAATCCTCCATTCTCTTCTCAGGATCTTGGGCATGCACACATACATGCCAGGCATGAGTTTAAACCACCAGGTCCAGGATTCCAACTGCTGTCGACTACATGGGAGTCCAGTAACATAGCCGTTATGCCATCTGCTGGTCCTGCTAATTGAAATTTTCAATTATTTTTCTCTTAAAATCGTAATTGTCAACAATTTTGCGTATTTATTTTTCTCTCTTCCTCTTTTTTTTTCATGATGAAGAGTTAAATGTTAGTTAGTCTTCATGTCTTGGAATTTTTCACTGAAGTTTAAGAGTGAAAGGAGAGTTTCCTGTCATTAAGCATCATTTTAATTGCTTATTGAATTCCACATTCAGGGAGACTGTAGGGACACAGGACAGTGACTGGCTCCGGAGTCTAGGCTCTAGTGCCGCCTGTCCATATTTTCAACCTGTATTCACTGCATGCTTGTAATGTCACACAGAAAGTTACTCACATCACTAAACTTAGGCTTCTTCATCTGACATTGGAGAATAAAAATTGTACCGTCATCATAGGATGCTTGTCCTAAGGTAATCTGTGTAACTCACGCAGCATTAGCTTCATGTATACTAAAACACATCAAATATGTTAGCCCTTATTACGAGTTGTTACCAGTTATTACTGCTTAATAAATATCTCTGGGGACCAGCAGCTGGTGTAATGGTTACATCACTGGACTCCCATGTAACCGACTGCTGTTCGTGCCCCCAACCCAGTGACTTAAAACTCATACCAGAAGCATGTGCTCGTGTGCCCCGGATCCCAAGAGTAGAATGGAGGAGAAGGGATTGTGGCATGGCCATCTCCCCAGGGACTGATTTCTTGCTTTCTGTCTCTCTAGTGAGCGCATGCACCCTACAGCCAAAATATCTTTAAAAAATAATATCTCTGAAGTGTGGGAGCTAGGAGGGTTCTACATTTAAAAAGTTTTTTTTCTTTTTAAGATATTCCGCATAGGGCATATGTACTCACTAGAGAGAAACAAAGAGAGAGACGGAAAGTGAGAAAACGTCCCTCAGGTGGATGACCATGCTGAAATTCCTTCTCCTCCATTCTTTGGAATTTTGGGCATGCATGAATACAGACATGCCTGGCATGTTTTTAAGATGCTTGGTCTGGGACTCAGACTGTGGAGTCAGCCATGTGGGATACAGTGCCTTACCCACCACACCCCCTGCTGGTCCAGAAGAGTCTTAAAGACACACACACTGGCCCTGTTTCTTTTTTGTTAGAATTATGTATTATTCACATGCATGTATGCATATATTTATGTGTGTGTATGTGTATGTATGTATGTATGTTTACCTATATATATTCACATATGAGAAGATGGAAAAATAGACTTAAAATACAAGTTTATTTTGATGTAAAAAATTTAGAAATCCAATGCATAGTGTTCTCCTATTATCGATTTTTCCATTAACTTTTTAAAGAACTCTCATATATATGAAAAGGCTAGGTTTATGCTATTCATATATTCAGAAAGTGATTCTCTGCATTGCAAAATTAACACTCAACTAGATTAAACCATGTGTTGATTCTTGTATGTTAGGGTGGAGACTTCTTTCCCCCCCTTTGGAAGGGGGAAACATTGTATATATCTGGAAGCATGTTTCAAATAGGTGACATAAATCACAAAAGGATCGTCCTCAGTATCACACTGGCGACATCTGTCACTACGTGCTGAGGCTATCCCAAACGAATGGTAAATGCTGGAATCTATAAATACAATATACAATCTTGCACATCAAATTTCCTGAAATATTAATTATAAATTGCTGTACATTAGAAAGTATTACAAGACTTTTCTGGAAACCTGAACCAACTGTGTGGCTTCTGCTCAATCTCCTTTCTCATTCTCCTAACTAGACCGACCTCATTATTGGACAGCTGTGTATTAGACATGAAACGACTCCTATAAACCCTGGGATTGGCCAGTGCTGCACTTCTTCATACGCCAACCGGAGGCCATGCTTCAGCAGCTTTGTGCTGGATCCAACATACATCCCGCCATTGTTCTCTGCTGACAAATTCGTCTTCCATAAGGATCTGTGCCAGGCGCAGGGTGTAGCACTGCAAACCATGAAACATGAGTAAGAAATTGTTATTTGCTATCATAGAGAAGACCTGCAATGCCAAAGAGCAGTTGAGGCTTTCATCTCTCACACTAACATTCGTTGGGGTGGGGGGGCACTCGCCAGAAGAACGCTATCTCCCTCGAAGCACTTAATGTGTCTTTCGAAATAGCTTGTCTCAAGATTTTCACAACCTAGTTGGCAAATAGGCCTGGGAAAGTTCATTAGGGCAGACAATTTCTTGTTCATGAAAATAGTCTCCATGATGATTATTGTTGAGATGCATTTGGGGGTTTAGGAAAAATGGACAATCTGTTTCAGGGAATTATGGGATATCTTTGCAGTAAGTCTGGGTACTTCCATTCCAAGTACAGGAAATGCATCTTTCCATATGTTTACACTATCTACACTTTGAAGAAGATAAGTGTAATATTTGCTTCATTCATGCCAGGTGGGTGTTAAGAATTGATGTGCACATTTCTTTTTTTAAATTTCTTTTTATACATTTAGTCACTACATATCATTGCAGTTAACAAAATACATTTCAGTTCATTATGGGAGCTCTTCTTAATGGCAATGGCAATACAAGTCAATGAGACTTGGGCATTCTCCAAACACCTATGCCTTCTAGTACTTGCTTGTTTTGTAAATGGTCTTCCTTCATTGGGAAGCCTGTTCCTCCTTTTTTTTCCTCTATCACTGTCCGAGGCAAGTCCCCAGGTAGAGTAAGAATGCTGCCTGTTGTGGTTAGCAGTTAATATTAGCTTAGCAGTTAATGTTAGCCCCAACATGAAAGCATTACTGAGTGGTGTAGGCAATGGCCAGCGCCCAGGTGAGGGTATGAGGATTGTGGGTGGCATGACTTGAAAATTCAGGCCTTTGAGTATGGATAAGACACTCTTGAGAAGAGAGAACAGGAAAATATATTCTAGGCAAGTAAGAAAAGTATCATTTTGTACTACATGTATGTATACTGGAACAATGAAATAGTGTTTCATCTATAATCTGCACAAATCAGGACCAGTGGGACACTTGGGGTGTTTCCACCTGCCATGTTTCTGATGAAAGTACAAGACCAAGAGTGTGTGGTGAGTCTGAACATGGGCTGATGAAGTGAGGGGTTAGGGTGAGAGTTGCTAGAGTTCAGAAAATTACCTAGTAGGAAGGCTTTAGAAAAATACCACTGCACCATGGACTTCTTTTGCATTTTATTTTGTTTCAAATCATAGGTTTCTCATTAACCTTGTGAAACAAAAGCCACAAATAACAGACGAACAACTTGGGGCTGTCACTGCAGATTTCTCTAGCCTGTTGGAGAAGTGCTGTCAGAGCCAGGAGCAGGACGCCTGTTTTTCAGAAGAGGTATATTTTAACCCTCGAAGTGCTTGGTTCAAGATTTTCTGTAATGAATAATGAAAAGATTTCCCTACTCTATAACTTTAAAATAATTTCAGAGAGAGTTGGCCCCCTAGTACAGTGATTGAGCACAGTGAATAGGGAGCTGAGTTTTACATGGTTGACCTACAGTTTGAATCCCTCCCCTGGTGACTGGAAAAACGTGTTGGACACGTGTGCATGAATGCCCCAAATCTTGACAGGTTGAAAAAAAAAATGCAATGGTCTCATTGCAGTGGGACCATACCCCCCTGGGAGGTGCTTTCTCTCTGTATGGCAAACACACATACCCTCTGGCAATTAAAAATAAGTTTAAGAAATTTAAATTCCACTTAGAAATAGATTGAAAGATTTTATGAACTTTAAAGAATAATCATATTTTTCTCATGAAATACTAGGAAGAATTATAATTTTAAATATATTAAGAGAATAAGTAATTTTGATTTATTTCCTAGTACAGAAAACTATAAAGTGAATGTATAAATAATGGATGATAACGTAGACAGTTTCTGGCCTAAAACTGATTAATTTAGCTAAATAAATGAAAAAGACTTATAGCAAATTCATTGTGCAAACACAATACTGAGAGAGTATAGCAAATGTTTTTGAACTTATTTGGGAGTATGCCTTCACCTATCAACTAAGTAGTTAATAGGGATTATTGTAATCCAATTACCTAGTAATTTTAGCTGGATTTGTAATTGGCTACATTAAAAAAAAGCTGGAAAATTCTAATATTTTTACAGATTTTTTTTCTAGCTTTATTGAGATTTGATTGACAAAAATTTTATATATTTAGGGTATACAATGTGATGTTTTGATATATACCTACATTGTAAAATGATTACCATAATCAAGCTCATTGGTTATACTCTGTAAACCTTTAGTTTATCTTACTAAATATATCTGAATATATATGATCACTATATTTAAAAAATATTCTGCAATTCAGCCTTTTAGTCAATTTTAACTGACTATTTGATAATGTAAAAGTTTGGATGTTATATGCAAACTTCAAAGATGGATGATATTTGGAAATGTAGAGTTTTCACATAAATAATAAATTTAGGTATGATTCAGTGTGTGCACTTATCAGTATGTGTCTATGGGCTGGGGTTGGGGTGAGACACAGATAACCAAATCAGATAAAACAAAACTGATGAAATCGATCTGATGTAAACCATTCTGATCAATATGATACAAAGGTTAATGTCCTCTGATTTTAGGAGACATTCCTTTAGATGTACATAACTAGCAAGTAGTAGCAGTGCTTTCTCTGCAAATCACTTAATTTCAAATGACTTGTGATTTGTAGGAGGAGAAAGTGGGATGAGGGTAGTCAAGGAATTAAAGACTGGTATGAGAAAAAAAATTGCTATTGATATGAGTGGATTTATTTTTTTTTTCTCTTGCTTCTCCTATCCTAGCTTGTTGATGTCAGAGATTTTATGTTTTAAGTTTTTTAACTTCGTCAATCTATAAACCTATGAATTCACCCCAGATTGTAGAGAGTTAAGTATATTGGTGGGCATAATTATCCATTCCTTTATCTGATTATTTTTATTTGTTCTTAACTTTCAGGGTCTAAAACTCATTTCAAAAACTCGTGCTGCTTTGGGAGTTTAAGTTACTCCAGGTAACAAAAGAAATTCAGACAAAACTGAACACTGTTGGTTCTTCCCAAATAACAATCTATAGACAGAGAGATCCTAAGAAGAACTACCAATATTTTTTTTAAAAAATTAATGCAATTTAATTTAAAGCTTTTTAAAAAACACTGGAACAAAATGATGCTCACAATGTTAAATTAGCTTCTCAACTAATGCAAATTGTCATAGGTTATTTCAAAGGCATCGGAAAACATCCTATGTATCTAGCATTCCCCTGATATACATGAAGAGGACTAGTTACCTTCTATACCTATTCTTTTCATTAGTATTCAATATATTTAATATGTTTTAATTAATATTAAATATTAATATAATTTAATTTATATTGTAGGTGAGAAGAAGACAAAATGGATCTTTACGGATTGGTGTGAACTTTTTCCTTTAATTATAACTGGCACAGTATTTTTTATGAATTAATGACGTGATCAAGAGTTTTATGTGAGATTTCCCTATCCTAGAAATAAAATATCTCCAAATATTTTCTTTTCTGAGTCTGCTTCTTTATCAAAATTTACAGATAATTTTGAAAAGATAATTTTTTAATGCTTCTAAAAATAATTGCCAGAGTACATGCATTTGCTAGAGATGAGAGAGAGAGAGAGGGAGAGAGAGAGAGAGAGGAGAGAGAGAAAGCACCCCCCATGGGGAATGATCACATCACAATTTCTTCCACTCTGTATCTTCCTCCTTTTGAGATTTTGAGCTGACATTCATGTGCACCCAGCATGTTACTCCGGCTGCCGGGTCTGATTCAGTCTGCAGAAGCAACTGTGTGGGACCCAGCTGCTTTTAGCACCATGCCACTGGCTAGCCCAGTTGATTCTTAACAAATATGCAGAGGCAAAGAGGGGAGCCGTCACAGCCTTTCCAACAAATAGTGCTGGAATAATTTGGTATCTGCACAAAAAAGGCAAACAAAAAAATAACTTAGATCTATACCTTACACCATATACCAAAATTACTTAAAAATGGATTGTAGCTCTAAAAGTGAAACTTAAAATTTAAAAATTGCTAGAGAAAAATAAGATAAAATATTTAGAACCTCAAGTTGGGTAAATCCTTCTCAGCTATGACACCAAAAATATGGTCTATTACAAAACAAATTAATAAATTGGGCTTCATCAAAATAAAATAACTCTGCTCTTCAAAGATTCTGTTAAGAAAATAAAAAGGTGAAACACAGATTGGAAAAAACTTTTTTTTTTTTTGCAAAGTGTTTATTTGACCAAAAAAAAAAAAAAAGTGTCTTCTTGTATCCAGGTTATATTAGATCCCTCAAAGATACAATAAGAAAACAAATAGAAGAAAAATGATTTTACAAATACTTCAGCAAAGATGTGTTAAATAAGAACAGATGGCAAATAAGCACTTGAAAGATTTATCAGCAGAAAACTACAATGAGTTGGAGCCAGCAGATGGAGTATCAGTTATGTAGTTGTACTTCCACATGGTTGACTGTGGTTCGAGTTCTGGACCTGGAGATTCAAAAATCATGCTGGGCATGTGTGCATGTGTGCCCAAGATCCCAGGAGAAGAATGGAGGAGAAAGAATTGCAGTGTGGCCCTTCCCCCCAGGGGTGATTTCTCACTTTCCTTCTCACTGTCTCTGTCTCTTTTACTCTGTGTGAGTGCGAGCACACTATAGCAAAAACCTTTAAAAAAACACAATGAGATATCATTATGTACCTATTAGAATGACTAGAGTTAAAAATACTGACCATTGTTTAAGAGAATGTGAAGAAATTGGAATTCATACCTGTTGATGGAAATATAGGCTAGTTCAAACAGTTTGATAGATTCTTATCAGTTTAAACACATACCTGTTAGCCCTGACCCATAGGACTGTGGGTGAGGAACCCAGATGCCACATGGCTGACCATGGTTCAAGTCCTACCTAGGTGGCTGGAGAAACATGCTGGGTGTATGAATGTGAGTGTTCAAAGTCCCGACAGGATGGAGAGATGAAGGAGAAGGGATTGCAACATGACCATCCCCCTTTGGGGGTTGCTTTCTCCTTTTCTCTCTGTTTCTCCATCTCTCTGTCTCTCCCTCTCTCTGTCTCTGATGAGTGCACATGCCTCCTAGGAATTAAAAAAATATTTATCTATAATGTTATTCAGGCATTCAATTTCTAGATATTTACCCCAAAGAAAATAAAATATATATGTTCATATAAAGTTACATACACAAATATTCACAGAAACTTTACATATTATAGACCCAAAATAGAAATGAAAAAAATATATATACATTGGGCTAGCAGGTGGTGTGATGATTAAGACAGATCTCATGTGGTCAACTGTGAGGTTTTAATTCCTGACCTGGAGGTTTAATGTATAAACAAATTGTGGTATATCCATACAATGAAAACTACCCAACAATAAAACAACAGATTATTGATACATGCAATAGTATAAGTAAATCTTTTCAAATTGTTATGAATGAAAAAAATCTAGGCAAAAGAGAACATTTTTAATGATTCTGTATATATAAAAAATCTAAAGAATGCATACAAAATTATAAGAAATATTTTGAACATTATCTTTAAAATTCAGTATGTTGAAATTTTGAAAGTTGTTTATTAACTATCAAGCACTATGGCGTATGTGCAAAAATTTTTTGATATGTAAAATAAATTTTTGTAGAAAAATGTAAAAATAAATACATGGAAAAAAATCTAGAGAATGCAAACTAGCCTAGTGATGGAATAATGGCCAGTAGTTGTTTTGGAAGGGAAGCGCTGGGAAGGGAAAGTGGGGAGAGATTGAAGGGAAGGAAACAAAAGATCCTGAGGAAACTTTAGGAAGTGATGGATATGTTCTCTCTCTTGATTATAATGATGGCTTCATGAGTGTATATATATGTCAATATTTATCAACTCATGCACTTTAAATATATGCAGTTTCTTTCTCAGTAAGGCTGATAAAAGTTCACTAAAAAATAAAATTGAAGAATTTCCATTGAACTTTTGTGATCATTTCATCTTATACGTTGACACCTCAGTTCTTAAAAATAGTAACCTAGGGACCAGCAGTTAGCATAATGGCTATGTTGCTGGACTCCCATGTAGTCGACCGCGGATCGTGTCCCGGACCCAGTGGCTTAAACTCACGCCGGGCGCGTGTGCGTGCGTGCCCAAGATCCCGAGAGGAGAATGGAGGAGAAGGGATTGTGGTGTGACCACCCCCCCTGGGGGGTGATTTCTTGCTTTCTGTCTCTCTGTCTCTCACTGTCTGTCTGGCAAGCGCACACACCCCATAGCAAAAACCTCTCCAAAAAAAAAAATTAGTAACCTAATTACTTCTTTGAATTACCCTGTATGATATATAAAAGTTGCAAAATAATATGAAACTAATATCAAAATGAGACTATCTGAAGTTTAAGATTTGTGTGCAGAGGGGTGACATTAGCATGGTGGCAGGTAGGAGATCCAGACTTTCTTCCCCAACAAAGAGCCACAACGTGGCTCCTTGAGGAAAAGTAACTCTGGAAGACCTTAGGATCCACTTGAGGGACCCTAGAAAAATTGTCAGAAAAATGACAAAAAAAAGGAGGGCCTAGGCTGCACTTTCACACCTGGAGTCTCCAAGTAGCAAGTGTCCATAGATGAAAACCCCTCTGTGAAAATCCTAAAACTTGTGAATGAGACTGAGACATCTGTGTGGATCATAGAATTGAACAAACTGCATTAGAAGAGTAAGAGGCTGGATGAGGGGTTAAGTTTCAATTAGACAGGAGGAATAGGTTTTGGGATCTATGGGACAGACAGCACCATGCCCGTAATGAATAACAATGTGTTGTATAATCCCAACTTGCTAACAGTACATTTCAAGTGTTCTCACCACAAAAATTTATAAGTTTGAGTAATTTTATTTATTTATTTGTTTATAATTTGACCAGAGAGGAACAGAGAGAGAGAGAGAGAGAGAGAGAGAAGGAAAGGGAGAAAGCAGGCCACCAGGTCTGGAACTCGGAACAGCCTGTTTGTGAGGCAATGGGTATAATTATAGCTTGATTCAATCATTCAATAATGTATACATGTACCAAAACTTCACATTGTATCCTATATATATATATATACACATATACATAATCATTTGTCGGTTAAATTTTTTTAAAGGTTTTTGCCATAGGTGTATGCACTCACAGGAAAAGACAAAGAGACAGTGAGAGGAAAAGTGAGAAATCACACCCTAGGGGGGATGGCCATGCTACAATCCCTTCTCTTCCATTCTCCGCCTGGGATTTTGGGCACATAATGTACCCAGTCTTTCTTTCTTTCTTTTTTCTTTTTTTTAAAGAGATTTTTGTTAAGGGTGTGTGTGCTCTCCAGAAAGACAGAAAGTGAGATCTCACCCTCCACCCCCTGCCAGGGAGGTCACCCACACTGCAATCCCTTCTCCTCCATTCTTATAGGGATTTTGGGCACACACGCATGCACACCCAGTGTGAGTTTCAGTGCACTGGGTCTTGAATGGTGGTTGACCACGTGGGAATCTAGTGCCTTAATCATTACACCACCTGCTAGCTGCCTTGGCTTTATTTTCAAACTGCAGTTAGCCATGTGGAAGTCCACTGCCTTGACCATTATGCCGCCTGGTGGTCCCCCAATTTTTTTTAAAAGATTTTTTTTGCAGCTGTTTTCCCTGAGACCTTATTCAACTAAGGACTTACAGCCAAAATGCATTGCTCTAAAGTTATTTAAAATAGTTTCTTTACTATGTGTTTATGTCAGAAACTGAATGTACTGCTAGCTAGGATAATTTGTTTCAGTTAATTTTCAAATCGCCTTTTAAATTATTTAAAATTTGATTTTTTATATTTGCAAAATAGATGATTTCAAAACCAAGACTATATGACAAAATACAGTTAGAGAAGTCACACTGTCATGTCTATCCCTTCTAGTTTCCTCTTCCTCCTGTACATAAAAGTTTTTGGGCTTTTTAGTTCTTAGCTTACTCTTCTGCTAGTTCTAAAATTTAAGCAAATATGTATTTAAGTATATTCTATTGTGCCATCCTTCCTTTATTATGTAAAGGGCAGCATATTACATATATTGTTTTATTCCTTGCTTTGTTCACTTAAAAATAATCTTGGTGATCACTCCATTATGCATAAGTTTTTTTCCTCAATTTTTGAAAACAGCCTCATAGAATTCCTTTGTATGCGTTATGTTATAGTTTATTCAACTGATGTTCTGTTGGTGGGCACTTAGGTTATTTCCAGTCTTTTGCTATTTCAAATAATGCCACAAGGATTAACCTAATTACTTAGGAGGAGTATTGGTGGTATATTTTTACTATAAGTACCTATAGTTAGACAGGTTGTGGTCACACCACAACCCCTTCTCTTCCATTTCTCCTTCGCTTTGGGATTTAGGGTATGAATGCATACACACACACACACATGCCTAGTGTGTTTCTCAAGCCACCGGCTCTGGGACTCAAATTGCTCAGTCAGTTATGTGGAATCTATTGCCTTAACCACCATGCTACAGGATAGTCTGCTTATGCTTGATTTATGACGACAGTTTATAAGTTGGCATTCTTCCACAGAGAAGAATTCTTCTTTCATTTTTATTTTAATTTTGTATTGGAATACATTCATGATTTCCAAAATCTTTCACTACATGAGTAATAGTCTAACTGTATGTCTATTAGAATTAGATAGTTTGATTTTCTTTGTTGTTGTTCTAATGCTACCAGATAAATGATATTATTATTTTAAAATTCAACTCTGGACCAGCAGATGGCATGGAGGCTAAAGTGCTGGATCCCACATGGCTGACTCTCTGGTTCAAGTTCTGAACCTGGTATCCTGAAAACCATGTTGGGCACCTGTGTGTGCATACTCAAATTCCTGAGAGGAGAAGGGAGGAGTTAGAACTCTGGCATGGTTCCTCCAGGAGGGTGATTTCTCATTTGTCCTCTCTTCCTCTGTCTCTCTGGAGAGCACATACTCTCCATAACAAAAACAAACAAGCAGATGACAACAACAACAAAATATTAACTTTTTCCTTTAAATATTAGTAAAACTTAATATTCTTCTGGTTATATTTCCTCTTTGGTAAATTACCTGTTCATGTCCTTTTTCCTGTAACAATTTCAGAATTTCATGATTTTTTCGGTTGTCTATTTGGTGAGATATTGTGCATACCCATCCATGGACTTGTGTTCTAATGCAATAGATTTCCCAGATTTTTCCAACCTTTTCTTAGTTAATAAGTAATGAGAATTCTGCAACATGATCAAATAAAACTCAAATATGCAGTATTTCAGAGATAGGTTAAGCAGGTTACTTTTTTACTAGCAATGTCCAAAATATATAAATCTTGATTTTACTCAATCACATTATTATTATTTCTTTTTGTGAATGAGATTTCTAAAAACCAAAATCAAAGATGAAGCAGTTAGAACTTACAAGTTTTGTTCTTTTCTTGTTTTTTTTGACTGAGTCCCTACCCCTGCCCACAAAACCTCAGGATGCAGGTAAGAAATTTGCTTGCATATCAGCTAAGGAATGATTAAATTAGGATGATTTCTATTTCTTTAACCTTGTTTTCTTTCTATTTAATTCTTCACTTTTTTTTCCCTCTTGATTAGTTTCTGTATATTGACCAATTATCCCAAAGTAACCTTTCCAGAATTTGTAATTTGGTAGTCATATTACCTAACCTTTAGGCAGAGACAGTTATCACACTTCAAAAATGGTTAGTAGCCTATGGAAGGATAGAAAGTATAGCTGGGAAATACAGATTGGATTTTGAAATGTTAATATTTCTTGCAAATTTTTATAGTATATGGTAATGATGGGATAATGTATGAGTTGGAACTTTCTAGAACATTTGGTTGTCCAACAAGTCTTCTAATAAACATTCTTAGGAACCGTAGGACCTGATTTCTTTCTTTGTACAGTTTGAACATGCTTCTAAGCCTAACCAAGCCAATAGGAACTGGAGGAAGGGGTAACTTTTACATTTTTTTTCCATCCAAAGGGGAAAAGTTTTACATTTCGTCTTTCTAGAAGAGGTATTTTTTTGTAATCCCTTTGGCCTGGAAGGATCATCTTTCTGGAATGCATGCAAAGATGTTCTCTAAGTGTCACAGTGGCACTGAAGGTGTAGATTATGTCTTCCTTAACTTGAGCGCCCCCCGCGCCCCTCAGAACACCACACCTCACAGTACCTGCTAGTAAGTCCAGCCACAGGGCTTGAGGAGCAGGGTCATTCTTGAGCTCTCTCTCTTTACTTTTCCCTCTTAACAACCTGTTTCAAAATCCTGTCAACTTTCTTCTCTTTATTATCCTTTGGATCTATGTTTTCTTTTTTATTTCTATTACTCTTACTAAAATTTAGATTCCACTGATTTCTCAGTGAGATAAAATAAGATAGAAGTCTTTTAATGGCTTGGTTAATTTTCTCCACCTATTTATTCTTCTATCCATTTATTCAACAAATAGTTCTACTTTCTAGTTGTTAGGTACCGTGAAAGGCCCCAGCACATTAGACATACCAACACATGACTATTACTTCTCAGTGTATAGAAATGATCTGGGGCCAGCAGGTGGTGTAGTGTAATGATCTGGACTCCCATATGGCTGAATGTGGTTCAAATCCTGGACCTGGTGACTTGAGGCTCATGCTGGGTGTGTGTGTGTGTGGTCCAAAATCCTGAGAGGAGAATGAAGGAGAAGGGATTGTGGCAGAGCCATCCCCCTGTGGTGATTTCTCACTTTCTGTCTCTCTGGTACACGCACACATCCTGTGACAAAAAAAATCTCTCTCTCTCAAAACAAAACAAAACAAAACAAAACAAAACAAAACAAAACAAAACAAAAGATCTGATTACTATCTTATATAAATGTTTCAGTAGTACTCTGTGGTTTCAAACTCAAGTCCAAATGCCTCAGCTTTACAAGAAGGACGGCCATGATCAGCACCCAGATCCTTTCTTTGCTAGGTTCCATTACTCTTCTTTATGACCCACTTTATCATGAAAAAGGATGGAGTTTCCCTAACACATCCCAAGACTTCTCACCTTGTGCTCTTACATCAGTTTCTCCACATGGAAATGCTGGACTTCTTATTTTTCTGCTAGCTGAATTTTTCACGTTTTTTTTTTTTTTAAACTCAACTCATATGCTATTATTCCTATAATCTATTTCTGGTTCCTTACCTTGAGATCATAAGGCATTTCTGTCAAAACGTAATCACATTTGAAATTGGATTACAGTCATGTGCGTGAGGCACTTTGACTATGAGAACACAGGAATCAGGTCCCGACAAGACATCTTTGTCATTGTGATGGCCTCAACAAGTTTGTGTGTGTCCAGCACAATATTCTGCAAAAAATAAAGACTCCACAAATGTAGTCAATATGGATGAACAAAAATGTGCTCAGACTAGCGTATGCTCATAGAGCGAATCCATGATTTTAGGTGAGTCTGGAGATCATCTGTGTCCACTAGCACTAGCAACTGTAGGGACCTTAGCATCCTATGATATTTCTCATCAAACCCTGTCATGAACACCTTGCAATCATTACATTATTTCTTTAGTCATAAATGATAGACATTTAGCAGAAAAATGGTGCTTATATTTGACAATTATTGCCAGAGAATCATCAATGACATATCCAAAGTTTGATCAGTTTGAAATGAATTCAAATCAATTCAACTTAATAAAAATGTCTTGAGCCCAGAGTCAGGTGTAGTTAAGATCTCATATTTGGTTCATACGACTTCTATCTTTCTTGTTAAACATGCCAAGTTATTTTCTATTATCAGTGTTCTATTTTATGCTTTGTACTTTGTACACATAAATGTCAATAAATATTCTTTTTTTTGAGAGTTTTTTTTTTGCTATAGGACTCGTGCATTTGCCAGACAGACAGAGAGAGACAGAGAGACAGAAAGTGAGAAATCACTCCCCAAGGGAGATGGCCACACCTCATTCCTTTCTCCTCCATTCTCCTCTTGGGATCTTGGGCACGCACGCACACGCGCCCAGCATGAGTTTAAGCCACTGGGTCCGGGACTCAAACCATGGTTGACTACATGGGAGTCCAGCGACATAGCCATTATGCTAACTGCTGGTCCCAGATGTCAATAAATATTAAGACTTATTGAAAAATATTAAAAAATAGGGTAAGTAATATCCTAAATATCTTTGCTTTTCAGATGACTTCAGTGTCGTTCAGAAATTTATAGAAGAGAACGTTGAATACATGTGAGTTGTGCTGAATTTCCTTGAATGATGATGATTATTGTAATTTTTTTTTTATAGATTTTTGTTATTGGATGTGTGCACTCACTGGAGAGACAGAGAGACAGGAAGTGAAAAATCACCCCCCCCCAGGGGGATGGCTACAATACAATTTCTTCTCCTTCATTCTCCCCTCAGGATCTTAGGCAAGCACACACACATGAGGCGTGAGTTTTAAGCCACCGGGTCTGGGACTTGAACTACAGTCGACTATGTGGGAGTCCAGCAACATAACCATTATTGTAATCTTATCTGATACATTCCAAAACTATCAGTGATTCTCAAAAGTAATGTAATTAAATAGAGAAATAGCTACACCATTAATTATAAAATTTAGGTGTGGCCATTGAATCATCAAGATGTTGTAAAATGTATATAGCCTTGGTGCTTGGGTAATTTCCTGAGGCGACTCAGAAGTGGATGTTCCTGCGTCTGTTGAGCATAAATAATAACACTGCAGATGCTTACTGTGTGTCCACATGGACTGTTGCAGCACCACTATCGTATTTGCGCAATACATTCAGGAAGTAGCCTTTGAAGAACTCCAAGTTATGATAAACAACATGGTGGAATACAGAGATAAATGTGTGGCTGACAGGACACTTCCGGAGTGTTCAAAATCAGCTGTAAGTAAATTGCCTCCCTTTCTTTAACACACAAGACCATTTGGAAATACCAAAAGAGCTTGGCTTGAAAAATATGATCAGAAAGGGGCTCTATGCACGTCATCTTTGTTTTGCCTCCCTTCCGTATTTAGGATAAGGTACTTTTTATTTAAAAAAATGATGATTTACTTCTATTTTATTTATTATTATTTTTTAATTTGACCAGAGAGAAGAAGATAGAGAGAAAGGGAAAGGGAAAGTGAGAAAGCAAGCTGCCAGGTCCAGGACCATAGTCAGCCATGTGGGAGTCCAGCACCTTAACTACCACACCATCTGGTGGCCCCCAGGATAAGGTACTTTCATCAGAAGACATGCAATTCTGTGTTGTGATGCACAAGAGGGCTTGCTATGTCTCTGAAGTATGTAGACAGGCCTCTGCTCACAATATGCCATGTTTGTACAGACAGAGGAGACAGCCAATAGCCCGGAACACCCAGGGAGCCCAGGGGTACCCTTTGTAGCTGCATTTCTCCACATGCACTCTATCGTCACACTCTCTTTATGGGTTTCCTCCCAGTAAAGTCACCATCTGCATCCCTAGAAAACTACTCAACACAGAGCCAATGCATTCTCCTTGTTACCTTGCAAGATGAATAAAGTCATGAAGGAAGAAAGTGTAGGCAGCAAAGAAAGAATACAAAGGCAAGGAATCTCGTGATATGGATAGGGAAATGTTCCTGAGTATGGAATGGCCATCCCCGGTGTGGGCAGAGAAGCTCTGCTGGTCACAGTGGTGAAATCACCATCTCTTTTCCAAAAGAGAACAATGATCATTTAGTGAGTCCATTATGTCTCCTTGGAAGGTAGGGAAGCTTTATCATGACTGAACATCATCCTTCTTCTTGTTACCCAGAATGAGATTTTTCAGGAAAAAACATGCTCTATGGAGGGGCTGCCACAAAAATACAATTTTTCACACTGCTGCAATAAGGTGGACTTTGAGAGACGACTCTGTTTCTTCTATAACAAGAAAGGTGACGGAGAATTTCAGTCTCCTTTCCCGACTCTTGAACCTGAAGAGAAATGTCAGGCTTATCAAAATGTCAGAAAACCTTATCTACATAGGTAAGTTTATTTTTACTGGGAAAATAATATCATTGAAGAATTAGTCTTCTGCTAAATTCAATACCTGTCTCAAAGGAGCATGGCTGGGTTCATTGATTGATTCATTAATTCACTCAGCATGTATTGTGTTCTAGAGTCTGCGCTTAGTATGGATTAAACGCAGCGATATAAATAAGGTATAGGCCTTACTACCAGGACTCTTACATTAAAGACGAGTATGTCCTTTTCCTCTTTTAAAAAACGTTTTTTAATCGCCAGAGAGTGTGTGCACGAGAGGAGAGAGAAAAAGACAGAGATCATTCCCCAGTAGGGCACAGCCATTACACAATAGTTTTTCCTCCATCTCTTCATTTTGTCAGGATTTTGGCCACACGCACACATCTACACATACAGGTTCTTGGTGTAATTTTTTTTTTTCCTTTTTTTCGGAGAGGTTTTTGCTATAGGGCGTGTGTGCTTGCCAGACAGACAGAGAGAGACAGAGATAGAAAGCGAGAAATCACCCCCCAGGAGGGATGGCCATGTCGCAATCCCTTCTCCTCCATTCTCCTCTCAGATCTTGGGCACACACGCACATGCGCCCGGTGTGAGTTTACGCCACTGGGTTTGGGACTCGAACTGCGGTCGACTACGTGGGAGTCCAGCGACATAGCCATTATGCTAACTGCTGGTCCCCTTGGTGTGATTTTTAAGCCATGGGAGCTAGGACTCAAACCGCGGTTGTCCACATGATATCTGTCTCCCTGTGCACAGCACTGACCCACAATGCTATCGGTCTGAACCAGTGGCACCTATGTCCTAATGTAATAAGTCCTACAGCAGAGGGATGTGCTTGGTGCTAGGTTGCTTGTAGCATAGTGGAGGAAATGAGAAGTTGTATCTTTTATTCAGGCAGATATTAAATTACTAGGCGTTTAGCCAAAACAAAACAAAACAAAAAACAAAATTTGCTTTCGATAGTGCAGTAACTGTAGACTTTTCTGGAAGGCTGGTGTGTTCATTGAAACCTAAATCAGAAGTTTCTTTGAATGAAAGTAAATATGATTCCTGCATCTCAGATACAGTCCTTCAAAATGGAGGAGAATACTGCTGACCACCCTGCGGCATGGGGAGAGGAGAACAGCCGTGGCTCAGCGTTCCGGCTGCGAACTGCCATCCTCACTCTTACTCTGCAGTTAGCAATTTTGCGGAAAGGACGTTAAAGGACTCTTATTGGGATAACGCTGCCTTACATTGAAGTTTTCTATAACGGGAAACATTTCCTCTTACCTCCAGTTTTACAACCCACTCTAGTCTCTTCTGATCTTTTCTTTCCCTTCCTTTTCCCCTCCCTGCCCTTGTCCACCAATCATTCCATTCCCATTTCTTCCTTTCCCTTCTTCTCTCCTTTTTAAAAAATTCTTTCATTTTTTTATAGCTATGTGTACGAAGTTGCCAGAAGAAACCCCTTTGTCTTTGCCCCTACGCTTTTAACAGTGGCTGCCAATTTTGAGGAGGTGGCGAAAGCATGTTGCGAAGAGCAAGACAAAGCCACCTGCTTTCGAGCGAAGGTGAGTATAGCTTCCGTTCATTCAAAGGCCAAAGAATTCAGCCAACACACAGATTCAGTCCCCACTTAAGATTAACTTACGGCCAATGTGCCATTTATTAATATGTTCTTTTACTATATTCACTGATTTCCCACTTTTAGTGTGCTGCAGATAGAAATATTCTCTCTTGCTCTTTTAAATTTGCCAGAGGGTATGTGTGCTCATGAGAAAGCGGGGGGGGGGAGAGAGAGAGAGAGAGAAAGAGAGAGAGATATATCGAGGAGGCACCTCTCCAGGGGCATGGTCGTGCTGCAATCCCTTCTTCACCATTTGTCCTTCTTTTCATGATTTTGGACACACACACATACACACACACACACACACACACACACACACACACTCAGGGTGTTTTTCAGGCTGCTGGGCCCAGGACTCAAACTATTGAGTTGACTACGTGGGATCCAGCAGCTTTACTACCATGACACTGGCTGGCCCATAAATATCCTTTTTGTCTGAAACCTTTGGAAGTAGTCACCCATTTCCAGGGTTTTTCTTCTGGCTTTAGTTTCTTTGTAAATTGGAAGAACTAGTAGTGAGTGAATATTGAGGGTGAAAGATGACATTTCATCTTCTACCAGTAATAAGCCCTTTTGTGACTACCCTTAAAACGGTTTAATCCTAGCAGATGGCCAAGCTCACAGACTACTGCCTCCACCACATCCCCTCCAACAGGCGAGCGAGTCATCAAGAAGACTGGCACTCCTTTATAATGTGCCACAAATACCTTTTTCTTTCGATACATAAATTTACCAAAAGGCCAAAGATTTTCTGTCTCTGAATAAGCTCTGCAATAGTTTGATTGGCATGTAGTTAAAAAAATAAGGAAATAAGGAGCAAGTGTGGGGTGGGTTAATGTGGGATATTGTAGCACAGTAAAGAATGTTAGTGATGGGGCCAAGATGGCATAGCGGTTACATTGCTGAACTCTCACATGGTGGATTGAGGTTCGAGTCCCAGACCAGTGACTTGAAACTCACACCGGGTGTGGTGTGTGTGCATGTGTGCCCAAGATCCAAGGAGGAGAATGGAGAAGGGACTCTGGTATGGCCATCCCCCCCGGGGGGGTGATTTTTCACTTTCCTTCTCACTGTCTCTATTTTTCTTTCTTTCTGGCAAGTACATGCACCCTAAGGCAAAAACCTTTACCAAATAAATAAATAAAAAGAAGAAAGTTAATGACAATTTAATATAATATCTCTCTAAATAACCAGTAGTGCAAAATTTGAATGTGCACAATGAAAAGTAATGGTAAATGCTAGAAATGGTGGATATGTTTATTTCTTTGATTTGACTATTACGTATTGTATACATGCTTTGAAAAACAACACAGTAGCCCACAGAGATGTACAGCTACTATATGTAAATCGGAAATCCTAATAAACATTATTATAAAAAAAGCATAGTGAGATTTGCTATTGTTTCAACAAAATCTTCTTTTTGTTCTTTAGGCAGCTCCTATCACACGATATCTAAAAGCATCTTCCTCTTATCAAAAAACTCTCTGTGGAGCATATATGAAGTTTGGACCCAAAATCTTAAAGTCTATGTGAGATTTATATTATGTATCTTGTCTCTACTTGTATTTTCTTGTCTGTGACTTGGTTTTATTAAACGATAGATGGTTTCGTATTTATATTCTTCTTAGTTTCTCATGGGTTATGAGGTGGATCAGAAACAGGACATTAAATCAGAATAAAAGAAGACTTAGGAGGGGGAGATTGAGGCCCAAAAAGAAAAGGGGACTACTTTTAAGATATATGTTGTGGGGCCAGCAGGTGGTGTAGTGGTTAAGATGTTGGACTCCCACATGACTGACCATAGTTTGAGTCCCAGCCCTGGTGACTTGCTTTCTCTTTGTCTGTATCTGGTCAAATAATAAAAACAAAAACAAAACAAAAAATAAATAAATACAATTAAACACCTAATTAAAAAAAAGATATATTTTGGTTACTTGGAAATTCGAACTGGTCTGGGAGCTCCCAACCAGGGTTTTAAGACCTTCCAGATACTTTGGACATGTAATTTGACCTTGATGACTAGGAGAAAACCTTGCAAGGATAAATTTTATCTCTCATGTTTACCCTAACCAAAGGTAGGGTAATCCTTTTTCTCAATATGTCTTGAGAAAAAAAGCTGAGATTTCAAACAGATCAGCAGGAGAAAGTTCTGTGATGGATTACTTATGCCTGCCATGATCTTGCAATAGGAAACAGAGTCATACCCAAGCATCTTACTATAATAATTAGGGAAGAACCTCTTAGTTATTTTCGTATCAGATCTAGGACTCTGGGGAGCCCAAAATAAACACCTAGGAGTTACAACATATCATTGCTATTTGATAAAGACATCTGTGAAACTCTAAGAATACCAATGCCTTTGGCAGTATTCACATTGCATTAACAAAGAATTGCATCTTGTTTTACTTGCTGTTTGAATTATTTTAGTGGCTTCTCTATTCTCTTTCCAGAAATGTCGCTGTATTCAGTCAAAAGTTCCCCAAGGTTGAATTTAAAGAATTGCTCTCTCTCATAGAAGAGATCTCTTCCATGTATGACGGATGCTGTGAAGGAGATGCTGTGCAGTGCATTCGTGATTCGGTAAATAGCATCTAAAACCAAGTAAAAGCAGACTTCCTGCTTTGATCCTATGTGCTTTGTCGGAAGCGTGATACCAGTTCCCATTTCATTTTTCACATCAGTCCCGAGCTTCATTCTCATCTTCATCTTTAATGTTCACCTGAAGATTCCAGGTGGTGGGAACAGCTAGAGCACAGCAGGAAGGCCTGAAATTGCCTGATGTGTTGACGGAACTCAACACCGCTCAATTGAAGCTGATATAGACAATAGGAAGAACGTGGAGCCTCATTCTGGAGAGTCTGGAGCTGGGACCAGGAGCGAGATGAGCTTTTAAAGATATTGCATATAGGGCCTACAGGTGGCATAATGGTTAAGGCGTTGAGCTCCCACATGGCCAACTGTACTTTGAGTCTCAGATATGGTGGCTTGAAACATGCTGGATGTGTGTGTATGAGTGCCCAAAATCCTGAGAGAGAATGGAGGATAAGGGATTGTGATGTGGCCATCCCCACTGTGGGGGGTGACTTCTCACTTTCTCTCTCTGTCTCTTCAGTGAGTGCATGCACACTGTAGCCAAAATCTTTCTTTCTTTCTTTTTCTTTTTTTTTTTTTTTTGAGAGATTTTTGCTATAGGGTGTGTGCACTCACCAGAAAGATGGAGAGAGACAGAGAGACAGAAAGCGGGAAATCAACCCCCGGGGGTGGGGGATGGCCATGCCGCAATCCCTTCTCCTCCATTCTCCTCTCGGGATCTTGGGCGTGCACGCACATGTGCCTGGCTTGAGCTTAAGCCACTGGGTCCGGGACTCGAACCACGATCGACTACATGGGAGTCCAGGGACATAGCCATTATGCTAACTGCTGGTCCCATGTAGCCAAAATCTTTCTAAAAAATAATTTATGCATATAATATGTAAATAATTACCTTGCCTTCCTTCTAACTCCCAAACTTTGTGCAAAGATCAGAACTGGGGTGAAGGGTAGAGATAGGGAACAGACTAGGGCTTTTTATTCCTACATCATTCGATAAATTAAATGACCTTAGATGACTAATACCCATAGGAAAATAATCCCATGAGTGAAATAGCTTCTTATATTTGAGAAGTCTTCATGTGGCAGTTGCTGTAGTGGTCCATTTGCTTTCCATTCTTTCATTCACGTTCCAAATATTTATTGAGCATTTGCTGTGCGCCTGGCAATGTAGTTTCAGGCCATGAGAAGAGACAGGATTATAGCCATTACAATGACATGTGGTCACCATTGATAGTGCAGGTGTACTATTATGGAAAATTAACAACATCTAGAATATAAGATGCTAGTATATCAATGGAGTAGGGACAACATATTTAAAAGAATAATGCTTAAGTAATGTGAATTTATGAGGGAGCCTATTTTTCATAACTATTGCATCTTAAATCCTGAGGAATAAAGCTGGCATGAATGTGAAACTTCATGTATATTAAGTAAGTATGAAATTTAAATGAATATCATTTATCAAATTAGCTTATGAAATGATTCTAGATATTATGCTAATGATTAGTTTTGTGCACAACTATTCCATGATAAAGGAAAATCCACCCTTAAGAAATGTTGAAACTATGGGGGCTGGCAGGTGGTGTGGTGGTTGAGGGCACTGGACTACCACATGGCCGATGGTGGTTCAAGTTCCAGACCTGGTGGCTTGCTTTTTCACTTTCCATCTCTCTCTTCTTCTCATTCTATCCCTCTCTGGTCAAATAAAATAAACAAATAAGTAAATAATGTTAAAAAATTTGGAACCAAAGTAATTGTGCATTCTTATTTGGTACAGGCCAAGGTTATGAACCATATCTGTTCAAAACAAGACTCCATCTCCACCAAAATCAAAGACTGCTGTGGAAAGAAAATGCTAGAACGTGCCGAGTGCATATTTAGGTTGAACAGAGATGACAAACCGAAGGATCTATCTGCAAGAGAACCAAAATTTACTGACAGCAAAAATGCGTGTCAAGAACGAGATATTAACCCAGACAACTTCTTTGCTGAGTAAATAATTTTTGTTGAAATGTATGAGGCAAAAAGAAACATCATATTTGACCCATGTTGGCTAATTTGGGTGGAAGGAGATGGGACCATTTAATTCACTGTGAATCATATAATTGTTAAAAATCATGGCTCTAGACTCTAACAATCTAACAAATGTTTTCACATCATTTTAAGAAAATATAACTGTTATTATGGTGATGGCTAACATTTATGGAATACTTGGTAGGTTTGAAGCAGCGGGCTTTAACAGATTTTGTGTTTTAAACTTTCACAACAATTATGTAAAATAAGTACAATTTCTCCCAATTTTTCCGAATGAGTAAGCTGAGGTACAATGAAGTTAAGTGACTTGTTCAAGATTCACAGCTAATGGGACCAGCAGTTAGCGTAATGGCTATGTCGCTGGACTCCCATGTAGTCGACCGCGGTTCGCGTCCTGGACCCAGTGACTTAAAACTCACGCCAGGCACGTGTGTGTGTGTGCCCAGGATCTGGAGAGGAGAATGGAGGAGAAGGGATTGCGGCATGGCCATCCCCCCTGGGGGGGGATTTCTTGCTTTCTGTCTCTGTCTCTCTGTCTGTCTCTGTCTGTCTGGCGAGTGCATACGCCCTATGGCCAAAATCCCCCCCCCCCAAAAAAAAAAGATTCACAGCTAAAAAAAAGACAGAGTAGGGTTTTTTGGTTTTGGTTTTTATAATTTTTTTTTTCTGCCATAGGGCGCCACCTGCTGGCTCCCAGAGTAGTATTTGACGCCAGGAGATCTGGTCCGAGGGTTGTAGCAGGCTTATTGCGAAGCCATGCCACCCCATAGCCGTTAAGGAGAAGACGAGTGAACTTGTAGCCATAGGGACTAGAACTGAGTCCGGATTGAGTCACTCAGACAAGCTAACCATTCTGTGCTTTATTTCATCATCTATAACATTCATGTAGGAATATTCAAAGTTCATTAGTGATGAAATAGGATCCAGGGATTTTGCTGGGCTCATACATAGGGAATGTGATGTGAGAAGAGGACACATTGTCAAAGCAGGAAGTGCAAAAACTGTTCTTTTAGTTCTGACAGTGTTGTGTGCCAGGTAATGTGAAAGACACAGGAAGAGGGGATTAAGTATATCTGAGGACGTGGCTTAGGAAGGTGGCACTGGAGAACATTCTGGTCATCTGGACTGATGGTAGAGGATGGATAGAAGTAAAAAAAAAAAAGTGCTTGTATTTATGGCTGTGAGTAGGGTATCTGCAGTAAGACACCATGGTAGTGAGTAACGGATACCACTGTTGGGCTTGTACTGAACAACAGCAAGGACAAAATCACTTTTACATTGAGGAACTTTACCTGGAATGAATCCCAGTTTGGGGTTAGGTGACTGGTTGGCATTTTTCTCATTTAATGAGATGAGAGATATGCATGGAGAAGCAGGTGTTGTGGGAAAGAGAAAACGTTTAGTCTGAGCTCATTGACTTCGAGGTGCTAATAAGCAACTAATCGTGACAATCAAGTAACAATTTTTATATGGAGCTGGAGCTCTGGAAGGAGGTGTGAGTTGAAGATACGGGATATAATAACAGCTGATTGTTTTTTGAAATTTTACTAAGTGTTAGGGACTTGTCATCTACTAATGACTCTGACGGTAGTAATCTTTTGTCTTTATTTCATGGGTGATAAAATCGGCACAGAGAGGTTAAGTAGTTTGGCCCGAAGTCACACAGGTACTACGCAGTGCCGCTAGCCGAGACGAACAGTCTGGCTCCAGACTCCTTTTTTTATAACCACTGTGTTCTATTGCTCTGCATGAGTTGTGGATGTTAAATCAAATTATATTGTATTAACCCAAATGATAGATTGTACCTGGCACCCATGCTGGATAAATGAGAGCAATTTTTATCATTATCTGCATTATTAACACTATTATGACAGTGTTCGAAGAGCAGGGGGAAAGGATAGGGTGACAATGGGCGTGCTGGGTCAGAACAGTTTTAAGGTGCAGCCTTGTGGATGTGAATATTTGCTGCAAGACCTTAGTGGACCTCTGTGTCAAATTGGCTTCCAGGGGTTTTTGTTTGCGATGTTATGGGGATGTGTTGTTAGGTGTGGGGTATTTCCTGCTGGGAAGATGTCCATGGCTTAGATATTGAGATACTGATTCTTATGGCCAAAGCTTGATCTAGTGCTTCACACCCCTAAACACTTAGTGTTAGCCTTGTTCTTCTCCCTTTCTCGCTTTTCTCCAAATTATATCCACCTGTCCTCTTAGAGACTCTGACCGAGGCCATGGAAACCACTGCCAATGGTTTAGAGCTGAAGAGCGAGTTATTCCATATTTCACAAGTGACTGGGTGAAGCAGTGGGCAAAGGCTGCTCCCCCTCTCTAAGAGCCCCCTGTATCATGAGGAGTGAGGGCAAAGCCATATTCCCACAGTCCAGAGTTGGAAGTCTGAATGTATTTTCTAGCAGAATGATACTAATGTATTTTCTAAAGTACTGATGGCCACCTTCTTCTTCTTCTTCTCCTTCTCCTCTTCCTCCTCCTCCTCCTTCTCCTTCTACTTCCTTTTTTTCTCCTTTGGAGAGATTTTTGCTATAGGGTGCATGTGCTTGCTGGAGAGATAGAAAGTGAGAAATGATGTCCCAGGGGGAATGGTCATGGTACTATCGCTTCTCCTCTATCCTCCTCTCAGAATTTTGGCCACGCATGCACATGAGCCTGGTGTGAGTTTAAGCTGCCATGTCTGGGACTCCAATCATGGTCGACCAGCTGCTGGTCCCCACTGTATGGTATTTCTAAGGCTTTGAGGATTGAATCATTCCATTAATTAACTCCAATAATGCTATCCTCCAAGTTTAAAAAAAAGTCAGTATAAAACATAACATAGAAGAGAACTTTTGTAAAATTATCTTGTACTGTCAAAATAATATTCTTCCATCACTCCTTACCCAAAGCAGAGGAGGAACTTAGTTTTTGAAACCAGACAAGTACTAGAAGGTCTGACTAGGTTAAAAGATAGTGAGACTTGGTGTTTTGCTCTTTCTCAAAGTTCTAATACACAAACGATCGTACACATGGCAGGTTTACTTATGAATACTCAAGGAGACATCAGGATCTGTCTATACCAGAGATTTTAAGAATTTCTCAAGTGTACGAGGATCTCCTGGGCAATTGTTGCAACACAGAAAATCCTCAGGATTGTTACAGCCACGCGGTAGGTCCCATGGCAGTAGGTTCAGAGAATTAAAAAAGAGGAACAATAACAAAACACTTAAAAATTGATATCAAAGTGTTACTCCAGTCTAGGGGTAGAAAATGGAACTGGCAACGTTGAGTCTACTTTCTTTCTTTTCTTTTTTTTTCTTTTCTTATTTTTACATTTTTTTTTTTGAGAGGTTTTTGCTATAGGGCGCATGCGCTCGCCAGAGAGAGAGACAGAGAGACAGAAAGTGAGAAATCACCCTTCGGGGGAATGGCCACGCCGCAATCCCTTCTCCTCTGTTCTCCTCTCGGGATCTTGGGCACGCACGCACATGTGCCTGGCATGAGTTTTAAGCCACCGGGTCCAGAACGTGAACCGCGGTGGACTACATGGGAGTCCGCGACATAGCCATTACACCAACTGCTGGTCCCAAGACTGGCATTATTAACTGGGTTTATGCATTATGTTTTCACCTACAAATCTAGTGCGTCGATTCTCTCTTCTTATTAAACATTTCACCTTTACATTTCTGTTGATAGAGTTTATTTTATTGACTTATATTAGGCTATCTTATTGTAAAAGTAGCAAATGGTTATTGTAGATCATTAGAAAAATGCCAAAAGTTAACGAAGGAAAAAAAAAAAAACTTTCTAATTGTGTTACCAAGGGTTAACAATAATTAACATGCTCAACTTTTCTGCTCATATGTGCATGTGTGTGTGTTTTGCCACAGGGTGCATGCACCTGCCAGAGAGAGAGAATAAAAAAAGAACCCCCACCACCACCATGGGGAACTGTCATGCTGCAATCCCTTGTCCTCATTTTTTTGGGTGTGTTTCTCAAGCCTGTGAGTCCAAGTTTTAACTGTGCCATCAGCCTTGTGGGATCCCACTGCCTTACCCACCATGCCACAAATGACTCCCGTGTGTGTGCTTTTAAAAATAAGATTGGATTAATATTGTCTTAGAAAAAAACCTGATTTTTTTATTTGGGACCATGGAGAACTTTTTGATTTGTTTGTTATAAATGGTGCTGTATTGGTTTCCTATTTTGGCTGCATTTTTAGTGGCTTAAAACAGCAGACATTTTTTCTCTCTTAGAACAGAAGTTTGAAATCTTGGGAGACTGAAATCAAGGTGTCTAAAGGGCTGTGTTCCCTTCAGCTGTTTTAAGGAGAATCTGTTTCTTGACTTCTTCCGTTTCTAGTATAGAAAACTTTTTATCTTGGGTCAGCCAGGTGGGGCAATGGTCAAGACAGTTGAATCCTACATGGCCAACTATTGTGGTTCAAATCCTGGACCTGGCAGCTTGAAAAACACCCTGGGCATGTGTGTGTACATGTCCAAAACCCCATCCCAAGAGAAGAATGGAGGAAAACAGTTTGCTACAAGGTCAACCCCTTGGGGGTTGATTTCTTATTTCTTACTCCCCCCTCCAGCCCGGGTGTGGGTCTCTCTCTCTCTGGTTAGCATATACACCCTATAGCAAATTATAAAAAAAAGAAAGAAAGAAAATTTCTCATGTCAATAAACAGACTTCAGGGACCAGCAGTTAGTGTAATGGCTATGTTGCTGGACTCCCATGTAGCCGACCACGGTTCGAGTCCTGGACCTGGTGGCTTAAAGTCATGCCAGGCACGTGTACCTGTGTGTGCCCAAAATCCCGAGAGGAGAATGGAGAAGGGATTGTGGTGTGGCCATCCCCCCTGGGGGGGGGTAATTTCTTGCTTTTTGTCTCTCTGTCTCTCTCTGTCTTTCTGGCCAGGGCATGCACCCTATAGCAAAAACCTCTCAAAAAAAAAAAAAAAGACTTCAAAATATATTTCATTTAAATCATGGTATTCCCATCATAATGATGTAAAACAATTTACTTAACTTTCTCTTACCATGTGTTGGACATTTAGGATGTTTAATTAGGTTGATTTTAATTTCATAGGTGACTCTGAAGTGAGTATCTCATTGTGCTTTATTACTATATAATGGCTATTTTTTCAGGATTATTCAAAAGAAAATTATTGGGTCAAAATGAGTAAACTTTTAAACAACATTTAACACAAATTGACAAATTACTTTCTAGAAAGTTTTTGCCAGTGTGTAGTCCCACAGCAGTGCCTGAGAAGGTTACTACAACCTCCCTTTAACAACACTGCCATGAAAGTCGACCTTGCTAGATTTGTATGTGAAAAAGCAGTGGCTCTGTCTCAAGCAAAAATGTATTTGATTTTAATGACATTAAGTTTTTCCATGTGCTTTTAGCTATTACAGTTATAAATTTTCATGAACAATTTGCTCATGGCCATTACTATCCTGTTGAAAGCAATGTGCTTTCTATATCCACTCATATGCATCTCAGATACATTATAGACATTCATTATTTGATATTTTGGATTTATTTTTCTTTCTTTCGATAATGCACCTTTTTTTTTTTGAGAGAGAGATTTTTGATATAGGGCACGTGTTCTTGCTGGAAAGACAGAAAGACAGAGAGACAGAAATCAAGAAATCATCCCCCACTAGAGGGAATGGCCATGCTGCAATCCCTTCTTCTCTATTTTCCTCTCAGGATTTTGGTCACACACACACACACACACACACACACACACACACACACACATGGTGTGAGTTTTAAGCCGCTGAGTCCAGGACTCAAACCACGGTTGACTATGGGAGTCCAGTGATGTAACCATTATGCCATCTGCTGGTCCCAATATGCACCATATTTGCTTTGTTTAAATTTTTTCTTCTGCTTGCCATAAAAACCAGTTTATACCCACTCAGATTAGAACAATGAAGTACGAAGACTTGAGTTTCATTTCTGTTCTGTCACTGTCTCTAACGATTCAAAATGGTCCCGATCTTTTTTTTTCTTTTTCTTTTTTTGGAGACTTTTTTTGTTATAGGGCATGTGCACTCGCCAGAAAGGCAGAGACAGAGAGACAGAAAGCGAGAAATCACCCCCCAGGGGGCATGGCCACACCGCAATCCCTTCTCCTCCATTCTCCTCTCGGGATCCTGGGCATGCACGCACACGCGTGCGGCGTGAGTTTAAGCCACTGGGTTCGGGACTCGAACCGTGGTCGACTACATGGGAGTCCAGCGACACAGCCATTATGCTAACTGCTGGTCCCAAATGGTCCCAATCTTGAAATGAACTGTAATCTTGGGAAATTTTCTTTTTACATGGAGACACAGTTTGTGCCAGAGCTTCATTCACTAGTGTATAGTTCTTGTTCTGATAGCTACTTAGCAGATGTTCAATTCTATGCCAGATGAGAGAGAGTTCATCAAATATTTAAAGACAACTGTTGGAGGTTTTAGGTTTCAAATCTAATTTTCAAAGATATATATGAAAGGTAAAAATGATTTAAAATATCCTGTAGCAATTCTTACTAGCTGGGTTATTCTAGACAAGCCATGTAACTTCACAAGGTCAATTTACTTAAAAATGGAGGCAGTGGTCTGGTCCTACAACCTGGTGCTTAAGGGAGCCAGATCACACATGGCCAACCATGGTTCAAATTCTGACCCCAATTGCTTGAAAAACAAGCTGGGTGCATGAGTGTGCATGCCCAAGACCCTGACAGGATAGAGAAATGGAGGAGAAAGGACTCCAACGCGACCACATTCCCTGGGGAGGTGCTTTCTCTCTGTCTGTCTGTCTCTCTCTAGTGAGTGCAAACACCCTCTAGAAACTAAAAAAAAAGGAGGAATCAACTGTTATAGCCACTTCAAAGTGAGAATTGAATGTGACTATTATCAACATAAAATCTAAATTATAATTTTTTAAATTGGAAAACTCTAAAAAAGGTCATGATGAAAAAATGTGGAATTTTAAGATTTATTAAAAAACCTGTATCTATAATGTAAAAAATCAAAATCTTGTACACTCATATAAGAATGGCCATGATATGGGACCAGCAGTTGGCATAATGGCTATGTCGCTGGACTCCCATATAGTCAACTGCAGTTTGAGTCCCTGACTTGGTGGCTTAGATTTATGCCGGTTGTGTATGCGTGAGTGCGTGCCCAAGATCCCAAGACGAGAATGGAGGAGAAGGGATTGTGGCGGGGGATGGGGTGATTTCTTGCTCTCTCTCTCTGTCATTCTGGTGAGCGCATGCGCCCTATAGCAGAAACATCTTCAAAAAATAAAAATGGCCATGATTTAGTGAGTAATGTGTAATAATAAAAATTTTAAAATACTGTAGATTAAAGAAAGGTATTTGGCAAATTGACCTAAAGCTTATGATTACATTTTAGATAAAATATTTGTAACCATTATTGTTCTTATTTTCAGGAAGAAAAATTCAATGAGACAACTGAGAAAAGCCTCAAGATAGTAAAACAAGAATGTGATTCTTTCCAGAATTTGGGAAAGGAAGACTTGAAATACCAGTATGTTTGCACAAGCACACTAACCTGTGTGACCAGGATAAATACAGAATCCTTCCAAGTGTCAAAAAATTAGCTCAGTCTATCAGTTATGTCCAATTCTTAAACTCTGGGAAAGAATAAAAAAGCCCCTCGAAAGTCAAGTATGCAAGTATGCACATTGAGAGGCACTTTAGTTTTTTTTTTTTTTATTTTTTTTTTTACAGCAGGAAACCCAAGGTTCTGGACAAGGAGATTTTTCTAATGCTTAAGTGTCTGTTTGGACTTGACTTTCTCACTCCTAAACCAGAACTCCCGGATTCCGCCTCACACGGTAGTGGAACGGAACCAAGGTCTGGATGTGAGAGTTTCCTGGGGAAGAAGTCGTGTGTCCATCGGACTTTGGTCCATCTTAATTGAGTTAATGGAAATAACTCCAGGTTTGCTTAACACTTTCATATTTATTCTTTTACTGCAGTTTACTGATGTTTCTTTAATCAATGATCCTGCTCATGTAGTATTTGTTGAAACTAAACATCTTCAAAACAAAACAAAAAATATGATTTCACTACTTCTGAAATCTGGCTAAGAATTCACTCAGTCCATTGAAAGTCTTCATTTTCTTTATCTCAGATTATCCTTTTTCAACATGCGCCTGTTAAATTATTCCTTTAAAATATTTACTAAGTATGCAAAGGATTTCAGGCCAAATTTCCTTACTAGCAAAGTAGTTCCTATACTCAAAGGTAAAACAGGGCGGGCAAAGCTAAGTGCTTCTGAACAAACACTTGACATTAGAAAGGAAGTTATGCAGCTTCTGTAGAGCTGTAGGAGGCTGGAAATAGAAGATGAGACATTTCCTTACCATTTTCTAAGAGAACTAGTTCACATTGCACTTATATTGGTTGACCCTAACCTGGAAGGGTTGGGCTTCAGTAGCGATTTAAGGGAAAATGAACTCTTCTGTTCAGAATCTAACAGGCACAAATGTTCTTTCAGCTTGCTGATCAGAATGACCAAGAAAGTCCCACAGCTCTCCACTGAGGAACTGGTCTTTCTTGGCAAGGAGATGGTGACAGTTTTGACTACCTGCTGCACACAAAGTGAAGAGTTTGCCTGTGTTGATAATTTGGTGAGCATGGGACTTGACCATTCAGCAGACTTGACTGTTCTTTACAAATATACAGGGATATTTGCTCTTACTGATTTATGGTGATTAACTGCCTTCTGTCTTCATTGTTTCAACATCATCAAGCAAAGATGTCAGGTTTTCCTTTTGGTTCACTGTGTGAAATCTTTAAGAAGCAAATGAGAATGTCTTTTTTTTGTATGAGGGAGTGAGGGAAGTCTCCAAATTATCTTTCTTATTTGTATTAGAAGTGATTTGTTGAGGCAAATGATTTAGGAATCACAGTATAGTTTCAGAATGATACAAGACACTTAAAAGTTTGAGTAATATTACAAATTCTTCCTCTTGTCCCAAGGTGCACAGTTCAGGGAGAGAATTACAGACTCCAACTGAATTATGTGCTTGAGTATATCTCCCTAGGGCTGGATTAGAGAGTATGGGGCAGACATCCCATGAGGGGAATAAACTCAAATACTACAACAGTGCTTGGTTGCCCCTTCAGGGGCTGTTTGCAGCTCTCGGCTCACAGTAAGTTTGGATATGTTACTAAGAAATTAAGCCACAGGCATGTAAATTGCTATGGCTTGAATTTTTGTTGTAATACCATTTGGGACTCCAACTTCTACTTTTTTTTTTTATACATAGTATCATGTTATGAGTGCATTCTTTTTTCCTGAAAAAGTTTAACAATGATCTTAGAACAGTCTAGCTATTCACCTAATCATATTTTTGCCTTGGCCTGGGAGTGAAGAGATGGGGTGCCCCCAGGGAAGCAGGCTGTGGATTGAGAAAGGACAGACAGAAAAGTGGGGATTGGGAGGTCTGGTGTCTCTGATGGAGATGGTCTTGGCCTAGAGTCATTCTGTGCTCATTCTTTTATAGGGGGCAGGGTAAAGCCGTGTGCTTTCTATTACTGACTGCAGCTATGGAGCACCTAAACAAGTCTCTTTTGGCCTTCTCTGGTGAACGCTCAGCTTTCTTCTATCTGTTCTGCTCAGCAGTAGATGATGCATTTGTTAGAGCTTTTGCTTGCCCTGCAGGGATAGCACAAAGATCGTGTCTACTTTAAGGCACTCCCTACAATTTTTCAAAACACTGTGACTTTAAAAATCCTGACTGAGCTCCAACTCTCATCGGTACAGGCAGATTTAGTTCTTGGAGAGTTTTGTGGAATAAATAAAAACCGAACTATCAACCCTGCTGTGGACCACTGCTGTCTCACAAACCCTGCCTTCAGAAGACACTGCTTTGAGAGCCTGGAAGCTGATAAAACATACGTACCTCCTCCCACTTCTCGAGATTTATTTATCTTTCACACAGACTTGTGTCAGGCTCCGAATGAGGAGCTTCAGAAGAAGAAAGACAGGTACAAACATTCTCTCCCATTCCTCTTTTTTCATTAGCTTGAAGACACATCATGACTTAATAAGGTTAATCCTAATAAATATGGGTTTTTGGTGTCACGATCCTGTTTCTTTAGCCAAATTGTCTATCTCTCCTATTAAAAAAAGCATTACTGCATATATAGTACCGTTGTTTATACAGTCCCCCCCACCCCCCATAAAAAAACTCCACGTTTTTCCTTTGAGAAAGTCTTGGAGTTTCCAGTAGACTATGGTTTACAAAGGTAAGTCAAAGCAACAAAGAAAGTTCATAATGAATTGGATTTTCTTGAGAATATGGCATTGATGTTTGCCCTAAAAATCTTGTTTATTATTTGAAAAAAGGAGAGGCTCAAAGCGACAGGAATTTTACTTTATTCTATCGGACGATACTATAAATGACAAGAAATAGGATTTTTTTTTTTTGGTTGTAATTAATGTCTGTGTCAAATGAAATGGAGATAGCATTCAGCTACTGATGATAAGGGTTTGGAGGTGGTTTTGTCCATTAATTTTCTAGAAAGATCAAATGTAGTCATGTGTTCTATAATATTGTGAATGATAAAGACTTAGCATTTGTTCACATTGTACAGCACTGTGTCTGTCATCACATGACCTTCATCTTCTTCTTTTTTTATTTTAAGAAAAAAGTCTGCCATAGAATGTGTGTGCTTGCCAGAGAGACAGAGAGAGAAAGAGAAAGAGAGAGAGAGAGAGAGCGAGTGAGAGCGAGAGGGAGAGAGAGATCATCCCCCAGGGAGGATGGCCATGCTGCAATCGCTTCTTCTTCATTCTTCTTTCAGGATTTTGGGCATGCTTCATACAAGCGTGGCATAATTTTCAAGCTGCTAGGTCCAGGACTCAAATCATGGTTGGCTTAACCACTATGCCACCTTTTGGCCCTGACTAAATGACCTTCTAAAGAGTGTTATTATGGAATCCATTCTATAAGTTTAATACAAAAATGTCAGAAGATCCTTTCAAAAATGGAATAGTGGGACCAGCAGATGGCATAGCAGCTATGTTGCTAGACTCCCACATGACCGACTGAAGTTCAAGACCCAGAATAAGCAGCTTCAAACTCATGCTGGGCACATATGTGTGCATGTCCAAGATCCTGAGAGGATAACGGAGGAGAAGAATTGCAGTGTGGCCATCTTCCCTGGGGGATGATTTTTTGTTTTTTGTCTCTCTGTCTCTTTTTGTCTCTCAGGTAAGTGCATGCTCCTTATAGCAAAAATCTCTCTTAAAAAAATAAAAGAAAAGAAAAGGAAGAAGGAAGGAAAGAGAGAAAGAAAAGAGAAAGAAAGAAAAGTGGAATAGTTCAACTCTACACTCCTCCAAGTTTAGGACCCAAGACGTGATTCTGGAATAAGCATTTTGCAGAAGAGTTGCTGTAGAAAGAAATAATGAATTAATTGTATTCGACATCTTTGGGCCACAGGTTTCTTGTTAACCTTGTGAAGCTGAAGCCTGGATTTGCAGATCAGGAGCTGCGGTCTTTGTTCCTGACTTTCACTGCTGCAGTGGAGAAGTGCTGCAAGGCGCAGGAGCCTGAAGCCTGCTTTAATGAAGAGGTCATTTCATTCCTTTTCCACTAAAATTTGACTGGTATTGCTATTTAAATATAATAAGGCAGAACTCCTCATTGGAACCTGCTTCTACCCTGCAATGACTAAGAGGCCCGGGTTTGAGAGCTCAATGTCTACACGACCAACACGTAGGCATCGCTCTGATACAAGCCTTGGGCACGTCTCCTTGGTGACCACACAGTGTAAGAAACGCTGTCAGGAAAACCTGAAGTCTAATACCAGCAGGATTAGTCATGAAACTGGAACTGAAGTGCAGTTCACCATTTGTAAATGAGGATGACAAGGATGACACTCATTATCCTTGAATTATGCCATGGGTCCCTTACTCTTCTGTTTTGAATAACCCATTATCTTTTATTTATTTATTTTTAAAAATCTTTGCCAGAGGGAGTGAGAAAACACCTCCCCCCCATGGGGGATGGTCATACCACAATCCCTTCTGCTCCCTTTTTTTTGGATTTTGAGCACCCACGCACATGTGGCTAGTGTGTTTTCCAAGCCACTGAGTCTGGGACTCCAATTGTGAAGTCACCCATGTGGGATCAAGCTGCCTTGATCACCATGCCTTAGGCTAGCTCTGTGCATTATCTTAATAAGACAGAGTCAAGCATTTTGTCAAAGAGTTGCTGCAGAAAGAAATCATTTAGTAATGCTCTTTGGCAAAGTGACTTGCAAAGAAAATCGTAATAAGCTCCCAAGTGAGGGGAGTAGGAGGTCATTAAAGCCGTCTTTCACAGGTGGTTGTCTTGCCTTCCAGGGGCCTTGTCCCAGCACCTCTTAGCTGAGAGTACACGCAGGAGTGGAAGACAAGGGTAGAGAGAGAGAAGAGGGAAGAAATGTCCCCCTCCTTCTCACTGCTGTGGCTGGAAGTGCCTGCTCAGGAGTTTCCCACTCCCCTTCTCACTGTCTACACCACTCCTGAACTCACTCGTCATCCATGCACTCACATACGTGACGTCATGCACGCTCACAGGTTCACACACAGTCTTCGTTCTGGTTGAGAGCCCTCTATTTTTCTGACTGCTGTCTATGCTGTGGAATTTCTTTTTTTAGGACAATGTTTTAGTTTATTATTTTAAAACTTACTTAATTTTAATTGGAAGGAATTTACTGATATCTAGTACTTACCTGAGTGAGTTTATTGGCAGTTGGTAATATGCCTTGGGTGCTCATTCTCAAGTTTATTGTCTCTCTACACAATGGAGGAGCGGTTTAAGCTTTCTTTCTAAAGTTTAAGGCAATCTGCTCCTCTAAATTTGAATAATAGTATCTTCATTTTTTTTCTTTTATTTGTTCTAACTTTTTTTTTGTTTTCCTTCTCAGGTTTCAAAACTTGGAAACTGAAGCCAGGCTGCTTGAGAGACATTTAAAAAAAGCACCGAAGAGGGGCTGGCAGGTGGCATGATGGCTAAAAGTGCTGGATTCCCACATGGCCGGCCATGGTTCAAGTCCTGGACCTGGTGCCTTGCTTTCTCACTTTCCCTCTCTCTCTCTCTGTGTGTGTGTCTCTCTCTGGTCAAATTAAAATAAAGGAATGAATAAATAAAATTAAAAAAATAAAAAATAAAGTTAAATAAAATAATTCTTTAAAAAGAAAAAAAGCACCAAAGCTGCTCTCTTCTATCTTGATCAGGTGTTAAACATGGGCCCAGCTGCAGCATGCACTGGTAATGATGCTGCTGTTCCACAGGCTGAGGCCACATGGGCAGCCTGGGTTTGATTCCCAATGCACCCTAAAAGCACATCTGCAGTCACAGTTTCCTGCAAAATGGAGACAGGAGAATTGTGACATAGCAAGACTGTCAAAAACAAAAACAAAAAAAAAAAAAAAAAAGCAAGTCAAATGTATTTGCAGCTGACTTGATCTCCCTGGCTTTTCCCTTCTCATGCTTAAATCTTGAATGAAACCTGTTTCCGGATCGTCCCTCATAACAGTCCCCAAAACTGGTCCTGTACGATCTCTCTGGTTTGAGTCACTCATTATGGGATGACAATGCTGCATTCATGCTAGCACTTTTCTTCCTGTTCAAGTGGTTTCCTGAATAGCCAAAGGCACCCACTCTTATACCGTTCTGCCACTGCACACGATATCCAGCTTGGGGATTGGGTGGGCAGATGGGCCTCAGTAGCCCTGTTCTAAAGTACTTTTTTTACTTTTTAAAAATGTTTATTTCTCCTGAGGGAGTGAGAGAGAAAAAAGAAAAAAGTAAGAGAGAAAAAATTACTCTGAAAGAATTGTCACACCATGGTCCATCCCAGGCCCAGCTAGGCAGGCTCACAGGCACCCAATGTGCACAGGGAGAGCTCAGACAGGAACCCAGGGATGTGCCGTATGGGTCTAGCACCCCAGAAATTTCATCACCATGGCCCCAGTGGCTTCTTTCAGAGTCTTTCCCCTTCCCTTTCTTCCTTCTTTCTTTCTCTCTTTTTTCTATCATCAGAGGGCATATACACTCACTGGGCATACACACACACACACACACACACACACACACACACACACGAGGGGGGCGGGGGAGGGAGAAGCCCACCCCAATTAGGTGTGGTCACACTGCCAATGCTTCTCCATTTTGGCATCCTGTCCCAATTTTGGGTATGCACACATTTGTACCTAGTATGCTTTTCTTTTTCAATTTAAAAAACAAATTTTTTTTTGCCTTAGGGCATGTGTGCTCAGAGAGAGAGAGAGAGAGAGAGAGAGAGATCGTCCCCTGGGGGATGGCCACACTGCAATCCTTTCTTCCCTTAGGATCTTGGACTTGCACACACAGGCACCTGGTATAATTTTCAAGCCACTGAGCCTGGGACTCGAACCACAGTCAGTCATGTGGGAGTCCAGTGACATATCTGCTACACCATCTACTGGCCCCATCTGGCGTGCTTTTCAAGATGCCAGGGCTGGGATTGTGATTGGCCATGTGGGTGGAATTTAGTTTTCTTAACCAATAGCTAATGGGCTGACCCACTAAGAGTCTATTAAAAACAAACAAACAAACAAACAAACAAAAACCCCAAAATCTCTCTTTTTGCTCTATTGTCAAATGGTGGTATAGTGGTGAAATGTGACACTGTGAGGCAGGCCATGGGAAGGTTGCTGGTTCAAGTCCGAAGACTTCCCTAAGTACACTGGTCACTTGTGTGCCCATGATCTGACCTAGGCTGGCTGAAGCTGGAGGGTATATTGTGTCAGGAATGTTGTGTATTTGTCTTTCATCTCTTCTTCTTACTCATGGAATAAATAAACTTGAAAAAGAATTTCATTGAGATATAATTGACATATAAACTGAGAGCCTTGCTGTAGCACTTACATAAATAAAAGGTGATGTTTGTGATTTCAAAAAGGTAAGAAAAGATGGCCTCTCTCTTTCAGTCTATGTAAGACTCACAATGCAAACTTCAGGTACAAAGTGTTGCCTAGCTAGAGCAATGTTACAGAGTACCAGGAAAAGAGGCTGGACCTCAGCACAGGTGGGTTAACTAGGAAAGGTCAAATGTATTTATCGTTGACAGTTTAAAAAACATTTTTTAATACATGACTTTCTATCTCCCATGTTATAAAATTTCATATTCTTTTGATGCATAAAATATTATTTTCTTCCCAGCCAAGACCAATGTAGCAGCTGCCTATCTGTCCTGCCGTGAATTTCATTTCCTGAAAAGAACAAAGCCACACGATTCTTCTGTGACCTTCTCCTGACATCACACTGTAGCACCAAACAATAAACACAAAATTATAAAGTGATTTCTCAGACGGAGGTCAGGTCTAACCTGATCACGTGATTAAGTCATCATGATACATTCATCCTGCCTGCTGCTTTTGCTCATTGGCTAAACCTACCCTACTCCGTGGAAGTCAGAACTCTTCTGAACAGCCCCTTTGTGGGTAGAGCCCTCTTAGACCCTCCTCCTGCCACTACTGAAGAGAACATAGGTGTCTCGGGTGCACACCATTCTTACCCAGTGCAGACTCTACCTTCTAGTAAGGTTATGTTAAATGCCTTACAAAGTCTGTTATTCAGAGACAGGGAAGAGCAACTGGGGCCTCAGTGACGGAGAAAAGCGCCTCTGTGCTTCACTGCATGCTCAAATTCCTGCTACCCTGGAGCTGTAAAGTCATGGCAGGGATGTCAAAGGAGAGAGGAACTCAGGAAATGAAGATTGGTCATGGTCTTATGGTCAGATTATCCTGACTATTCTCTAAACATTTAGAGCTCAATGTCTGAAATGAAAGATAATGATCACTTAGCAGAAAATATACAGGCTATTCACCGAGTGCTTTTGGTATAGTGTTTACAGCACAGTCTTTGGGATTCTCTTTCATATATTCAACGAATATTCATTAGAATCCTACTATATGTCGGATGGTGTAGATTCAAGTGTGAGCCAAACAGCCATGCTTCTCATGTCTGGCTGAGTGGGGGTGAAGGAAGGTAAGCAAGCAAGCACATTTCAATGCTGTAGCTGCACAGACCTCTGCTTGTGTGGGCGTGCACATTGCACAGGCAGCCGTCCTACACACTCCCCCTAAGCTGAAGATGCAGAGTGAGAAAGAGGTAGGGGTGAGGGCTTCCAATTCCTACTGCCATCATCTTGCTGCAAGCTCTCGACACCTTCCTCACACTCCACAGCTTCCACTTCTTTGTGTAGGGTGGGATGATCATCACCTCGATGCTTCAGAGAAATGAATGAGTTTATATCTGAAGTACTCAACACATTGACCAGTAGTTGAGAAGCGTTTGTCCTTTTCCCATTTTCTTTAGACACTGACTTACCAATGAGATAACAAGGAAGAAATCTTACTTAAACAATAGATAATAGATTTATCAAACTGTAGTAGAAAAGAGCACAATTAGCTGAGTCAGTTTCATAATGAATCCTGTTGTACGCTTGATACTGTGCTAAGAGCAGCAGAAACAACTCAGGAAGTCGCAGCTCTCAGGAAGACACTAATACCCTGGAGGACGCAGCCATTTTCTACTGCCAGCAGAGAAACCCTGACTTAAAGCAGGTAACCCAGGTGATCTGATAAAGGAGGAAGAGGAGTGGTTTATCCAAAGGACACATTTTGCCTGTAGATGAGAGGGCTCAGAACCAGGGTAAGTCAGAGATTTCGCCAAAGGATTTGGCCTATCTTGATAATGGATACCTTTCTGATAGTAAGATTTCAAGAGAACGGCTCTAAGGATGCACAATGGAAAAGATTCTGAGCATTAGGAGTGCTTAGAAGATCCAAAAAGGAGGATGGAAACCCGTCAAAGACACCTCTTCCCTTGTTGACCTTGACTTTCTGTCACATAGAGCCATCTATAGTCTTTACTAGAAGCCAATGTGTCCCCAATCTAAATGTAAAAGAGTTTTTTTTTTTCTATGATTATTATTTTTTTTTGGAGAAATTTTTGCTACAGGGCATGTGCACTTGCCAGACAGACAGACAGACAGAAAGCGAGAAATCACCCCCGCTCCCCAGGGGGGATGGCCACACCGCAATCCCTTCTCCTCCATTCTCCTCTCAGGATTGTGGGCATGCACGCACATGCACCTGGCGTGAGTTTAAGCCACCGGGTCCAGTCCTCTAATCATGGTCGACTACATGGGAGTCCAGCGACATAACTATTACACCAACTGCTGGTCCCCAAATTTTTATTGTTGTTGTCTCTCAGGCAAGAATATCTCTCTCACTTATTCATCTTCTTTTTCTTTAGAAAACCAGAAATATTAATATTAAATATTAATTTAGAAAACCAGAATCAAGTAATGAACTATGAGCCATAGAGTTTATCTAGTCTAAACCATTCATTTAGAAATGAAGAATGTGAACAAAGAATAGTTAAACTACTAACCAATGATCTTCCCTTTCTAAAATTGTGAACTGTACACTCATTTTTGTGTGTGTGTGTGTGTGTGTGTGCATAATCAGTAATTACCTGTTTCCTGCCTTAGACCCAAGAACTCAGTGATAAGCAAAGCTGACAAAAGTTGAGCCACATTGGACATCAACTTTGAATACTAGCTCTTCAAGAGAGTGGTCTCTGAAATCAGACCTAAATTTTTTGCTGTGTCCATGAGTAAGTCTTAGTTTCTCATTCGAGGAACAGTGATATTGCTATCTACCTGAAAGTCATATAAGGTGCCAGGCCTAGATTCAACACTCAGTGAATAAGGTCCCATTCCCTTGGGTTTGCTCTCAGCTGTTCCTCTCTCAAGGAACAGGACAATCTGCCTTGCTCAGGAACCAGAGCCCTGACTACTTATTTGATCTGGGGTAGAGCCTGTTTTTCTTCTCCCTCGCCACTTTAGAACTTTGTACAGGTCAACAAACATTTCTAGGGGATGAGATATTGCAGATCAATATTTACCCAAAGTGTTTATCAATCACTTGGTTCCAAACCCTGTATGTTGCAATGTTGAAAAAGCAAGTAGGTTGATATGATTTGTTTTAAAATCCAGGATTCATTAATGAATGTAATCCATCACAATATTTCCTCATTGTCATGCATTTTTGTCAAGGTCATAGTGGCTTGGCAAAGTCATTTACCAGAATAAAGGTTAATTGTTAATAGTAGTTACTTGAAAAGAATATAAAGAAATTCTTCCTTTTCACCAATAGCATACCTTCCATAAAGGTTCTTCAGAAATAATGAAGACTGTTACGCTGATAACTTTCTTTGTTTTCTTCAGCTACATTAAATGTCAAACTTTTCAGAGAAGTTTACTAGATGCAGGTAGGTCATCCTATTTACAATCTGTACATCCCATGTGTAAAGAGAATGTAAGTAAGGCAAAGTGACTACTAAAATGTATATAGGAACGTTTATTTTTCTTAGTGGTCATCACTGTCAATACAGTTGTTGAAAATTGTTAATGATTAACCTGTGGAATGAATGCAGAAAGAAAGCTAATATATTGAGACAGCACACACAAGAATATGCCACTTTAGTTTAAATCCACTCTAGGTTAGAGAATGTTACATTTCCAACTTGTATTTGAAGCTAGATATGTGTTTGTAGGGCAATAATGTGAATAATAGCAGGAATAATGTTATGGGCTACATTATTCAGTACCTATGATGTGCTAATACCTCATACATACACTTTCATTTAATCCTAACAACCACCTAAGGTAGTAGAACTTATTCACATTTTACAGTTAGACAAACAGAAACTTGGAGAACTTGAGGTATTTTCCCAAAGTCCCATTAGTTATCAGAGCTAGAAGTTGAACCAGAATAGCTTGTCTCCAACACTTCCTTATTTTGATACAGTGGTTAACAATATAACGACAATAGTATTTTTATTTAAAAGAGCTGCTATGCTTTTTAGAAGACATTGGTATGAGAAGGAAGATATGGTTTTCAACAGAGAACATGTGTACACATATGGGGTGAGTGGAGGTGAGGAGCAAATCCAAGATGTGTGAGATGCTGTCTTCATATTTTATTCCCAGTGATTAACTTGGGTGTGTTAGTAACTTTTTAAAATTTATTTATTATTATTATTTTTTAAAATTATCACATGAGAGAGAGAAAGGGAAAGTGAGAAAGTAAGCTGCCAGGTCCACGACTCAAAATGCAGTTGGCCATGTGAGAGTTCAGCACCCCAACCACCATGCCATCTGCTGGCCCCAGGGTTGTTGGTAACTTCTAATATCAAGAGTTAAATAACCAAGTTATCTAATTCAGTTAATTCAGAAGTTCAACACAAGTACATGTAGCTTATTTGTAGACCAATGATAGGTTTCAGCTATACAATATATTTGACTGTAAATACGTCATTTCTAGAATTTACATACTAGTGAAAATATATTCTGATAAGCTGTTCTCATTTATTATGCTCAATTAGAAAAGATGCAGGAATTTATTAGTGAACAAAGATAGATCGTAGAATTGTGAAAGAATATTTTAATTTGGAAAATGTCCTCTTGTGCAAACATCTTTGACTGAGTTGCTATAGCCAGATAAAATAAACCAGGTAGTTTATAAACAACACACACTTATTTTTGATGGTTCTGGAGACTGGGAAGTATAAGATCAAGGTGTTGACAGATTTGGTACTTGTTAAGGGCCCTTATATAACGTATCTGGTGTGGACTCCTTTTCTAGTTCAGAGATAGTGTCCTTTCTCTGTGTCTTCCCAGGGTAGTAGGGATGAATGAGTTACCTTGGGCCTCTTTCATAAAAGTACTAGTCCTACTCATGAAGTCTCTGCCTCATAGCCCAATTACCTCCCCAAAGGCCCTACCTTCTAATATCATCACCTTAGGGGTTAAGATTTCAATATAATGGGGGCCAGTAGGTAGCAAGTGGTTAAGGCACTGGATTCCCACATGACTCATCATAGCTCAAGATTTGGACCTGGAGGCATGAAAATCATGCCAGGCATGTGTGTGTGTGTGTGTGCTCAAAATCCCAGGAAGGGAATGGAGGAGAAGGGATTGCAGCATGGCCATCCCCCCTGGGGAGTGATTTCTCACTTTCTTTCTGTCTCTCTCTACAAGTGTATGTGCCCTGTGGCAAAAACCTAAAGAAAAAAAAAATCAGGAAATCAGCGTATGAATTTGATTTGGGTGGGTGGGGAGGACACAACATCAGATCATAGCGACAAATAAATGATCTTTTTTTTTTTTCCAGCCATGCTGCATATTAATAGGCAGAATTACTTAGAGGAGAACTTAAGAGACCTGTGAGTTTTATTTATCAATATTCTTTTCTCAAAAATTTGAAATCATGAAGGGACCAGCAGTTAGTGTAATGGCTATGTTGCTGGACTCCCATGTAGTTGACCACAGTTCGCGTCCCAGACGCGGTGGCTTAAAACTCATACCGGGCGCGTGTGCATGCGTGCCCAAGATCCCGAGAGGAGAATGGAGGAGAAGGGATTGCAGCGTGGCCATCCCCTCTGGGGGGTGATTTCTCGCTTTCTATCTCTCTGTCTGTCTGGTGAGAGTACACGCACCCTGTATATTTGGGGAAACGGGATGGTGATATATAACGAAGAATGATGGAGGAATAGAATTTGATTGTATATTTAAAATTCACAAATGTTGTTTTCAGCACCAGCATTATGGTTGCTCAGTTTCTTCAGAAAGCAACTTACGAAGAAGTACAAACCATCGCTAAAGAGCTGCTAGATCTTACAGAGAAATGCAAGAACCTTCAGCCACATGAGTTACCCTCAGAATGTGCTCACCAATTGGTAGGTGGATCATGTTCTGCCTTTTTCTCTTTTTAAAACTAGATTGCAACCAACAGACATTGTTATGAAAGGGACTGGTTGAACGAGTAGGCAGGGGGTTGAAAGGCAAGGTGATGGAGCAGACTCACATCCAAGATGTAATATTTGAAATGTTGTAAACCTACATTGGATTAGTTTATCCTTGGGAGACCAGGCTCTGAGATCCTACCAGGCAAGATTCGGAATTATCAGCCAGATCACCAGTTTGTTAGTTACGCTGGTTGCTTTGTCTCTGTTGCTAGAATACTTATCTTTGTGTAAAGGATCCCAGGAAACCAAACTATTAATTTTTAAGAAGTTTCATAAAAAGTATGAAAAAGAAGAAGCGAATATATTATAGGTTTCTATTCCAAGTCAGCAGAAAGTCTTGGGAATTATTATTGTCTCATTATAAATTTTATCTACATTGTGATTAGCAAATTCCATGAAAATAGCAATTCTCTTGGAATGTTCTTGATAAACCCTAATCATTCTTACAACTTTCATAATTTTTGCTTCTGTTATTCTTATGCTAAATAATTTCATATACAAATGAGTAATTTTCTTCTTTATTATAGATTTTTAAAAAGTTATTTTATTTAGCTTTATTTATTCATGTATTTTTAAATTTGATCAGAAGGGGACAGAGTGAGAGAGAGAGGGAAAGTGAGAAAGCAAACAAACCGCCAGATCCAGGACTTGAACCACAGTCGGCCATGTGGGAGTCCAGCACCCTTAACCACCACGCCACCTGCCGGCCCCTATTTATAGTTTTTTTTACTCCATCTCCTTGTGGACTAAAGCCTACCTATATTTATTAGGCTCAGAATAAATATACAAAGTCATCAGTTTTATGAGAAATGAAGTACTTCTGCCAGTTGCCAGCCTCGCTTATTTAATAATGATTTCTATTTATTTTCATTTCAAAAGAGGGCCTCTTTTTACCCTTTTCCTCCAAATCTGAATGTACACGTCACTGAAGTTTATAGTATCCCACACATTTACTGCCACCCAAAGGTATTCAAGAACTAATTGTATTATTCATTTCCATTTGATACTGCATATGCATTGCTCCAGAGTTTACTTCTTAAAATACATTCCCATGGAAACCAAGGAAGAGCAATTAGGAAGCAAAACAAGCAAATTATCATCTATTTCTTGGTGGATATTTTTCATTAAAAATACATTTTCCTGGACATTTTTGGTTATGTTTAGTTTGGCAACTCTGAATTGTATGAAAGTGAAGCAATTATATACCACAAGGGAGAAAGATAAATTCTATTTCAGAATGTTGAACATTCTGAAAATTTGGACTTAGAAACCTAAAGGCTTTTGTTCAACAGAGGTATACCCAAGGACTATTGGATCCAAAGTTTAACATTATGCACTCAGATGCCATATATATATATATATATTAGGTTTATTGCCATAGGCATGTGTGCTTGCTGTAGAGAGACAGAGAGAGAAAAAAAGTGAGAAATCCCTCCTGAGGGCATGGTAACACCACAACCCCTTCTCCTTTCATGATTTTGGGCATGCATGTGCACAGTTTGGTATGATTTTCAAGCCACCAGATCTGGAGCTTGAACCATGGAGTCGACCATGTAGGAGTCCCACACCACAACCATCACATCACCTACTGGCCTGCAGATGCCTTTTATTTATTTATTTATTTTTGAAGAGGTTTTTGCTATAGGGCACGTGTGCTCGCCAGACAGACAGAGAGAGCCAGAGAGACAGAAAGCAAGAAATCACACCCCATGGGGGATGGCCACGCTGTAATCCCTTCTCCTCCATTCTCCTCTCAGGATCTTGGGCACACACGCACACGCGCCTGGTGTGAGTTTTAAGCCACTGGGTCTGGGGCATGAACCGCGGTCGACTATGTGGGAGTCCAGCAACATAGCCATTACGCTAACTGCTGGTCCCGAGATGCCTTTTTTTAATAGCAACTCCTTAACTTTCCTGTGGTTAGAAATGTAGACCACATTTGATTCATGTTCTAGTCCTTTATTATGTTGCTAAACAAAAATACCTGAGATTGAATGATTTATAAAGAGTAGAGGTTTCATTGGTTCATGATTCTGGTGGCTGGACAGTCTGAGAGCATGGGGTCAGCATCTGGCCAGTCTCTGGTCCTATGTTACAACATGGGTGACAGAAGCAGAAAGGTCAGTGCACATATACAAAGAGAGAGACAGAGACCTTTGAGCAACCATCTTCCTTTTATAACAACCTGCTCTTGTGAGGAATAACCTCTTCCACTGAGAGAAAAAGGTAGCTCCCTCTTGAGAGACAACATTAATCTGTTCATGAGCACGGTGTCTCCATGATCCAAATACTGCCCACTAGGCACCCACACCCACCTTCCGAGGTTTTTGACATTATACTGGGGACCAAGCTTCCAGTACATAAACTTTAAGGGGACAAACCACTAGTCAATTTATTGCACTTCCTCCCATTAAGTAAGCCACCGAGACTCCCAAAATTATAGTTTCCTTATCTGTCATATGGTGGGTTTTTTAACAGATGTATTGAGATACAATTCATATAACATGCAATTCATGCATTTAAAGTGTAAAATTCACTAGTTTTCAGTATATTCACAGATAATGTGCAACCCTGATGAAGTTCAGATTTAGAAAATTTTCACCAATTCAAAAATGATAACGGTAATACCCTTGATTTGATATCCTTTAGCTATTACTCTCATATCCTCTTTTCCCCTCCACTATGCCTAAGCAACCAATTTTCTACTGTCTGTCTCATTTAGCAGAATGTTTTCAAGATTTATAGCTTGTACCAATACTTTATTCTTTTTTACGACTAAACAATTTCCATTGCATGAAAACAGTTATGTATAACATTGTTAAAATGTTCTGAGAAATGTGTCATTAGTTGATTTTGTTATTGAGGGATCAGAGAGTTTAACAGACCTAGATGGTGCAGCCTACTACCCACCTAGGATATATGGTATAGCCTATTGCTTCTAGGTTGCAGACCAGTACAGCATATTACTATATTGGAAAATTTCCCTATATGTGAAAAATTTAAAGGACACTCAAACAAACAATGGGTAAAATAAGAAGGTGCAATCGATATTTTTTTTTTATACTTTGAAATACATTAAATATAGAAAGTGGAGAAGCTCTGATCACAATAATTCCCACGTCTTTCATGAGACCAGGTAGGTTTGTACAAGTTAAATGCCCAAAGAGACTCGATCACTTTGGGATAAAATAAAAAGAGAATTTAGTGATGATTCATTCTGTAGGATCATAGGAAAGCACATCAGACACTCAGACACTGCCACAGTCAACTCTTTATAGTAATCAGAAAGTATAAATTCATCCTCAGAAAGAGACAGGAAACAATCTCCGTTTTAGTAGGAGTCATATACTTAAAAACCTGACTTTTACCATTTCTAAATATTGATGAGACAAATTATTGGTTTTGGGAGAAAGTCATGACACATTTCTGCATAGAAAAAAAAAACACAGAAAAATACACCATGACTTTCCCTTCTCCACCCTGCTGGGACATTGGGTATGCATGCATATGCACTCAGTATGTTCTTCAGGCCACTGGGATTTGAACTACGTTACATGGGATTTGGTTGCCTTAATGACTGGGCCACAGAACTGGTCCCATAGGTGCATTTTCAATCTCAAACTCTGATTCTGTAATCCTACCTAGAGTGGATAGTTCCACAGCAAATGCATAGCCAAACTTAGGTTGGGTTTCCTGCTTGGTGTGGAAGTCTGTTGATAGTTGGGTACTGACAAATGGTTGGATACAGTCAGGAAAACATTAAGAGAAATGTAAGACATCAGCATTCAAGGAATGTGTTAAATAGTTCTAGTCATTTTATCAAGACAGGCTCAGACGACAGGATTAGGGCAGAGATCTGATGCCTAGATTTGTGATGATTTGATTTTAGATGGTAGACATGAAACTTTAGACCAGAGATGAATGAGGCAACAGGATGATTTGATATTGGGTAACCTAAAATCCTTTCATTTGCCCCAAAGGAGTCAGAACTACTCCAGAAATTACTGAGCCTTCAAGAAAGAATTAAGTGGCACTAGCCAAATAGGGAAAAAGAACTAAGGAACAGAGCACTGGGCAGAGCCCAACATGTCTGACGTTAAAGGACACCAGATTGGAACCAAAATGTGAACTTAGCTACCCACTTAATAAAGCATTGCACACTCTAGATGGGAATTAGAGAGTCAGTTTTGGGGTTGAACTTTCAAAGATTATAAAATCTAACCAGTAGTCAATGAATCTAACCTCTTCTTGAACATTTACAGTGAAAGTAGTATTAAGGAGTTATTGTATACAATAATTTCAATTTACAAGTGTATAACTATACATATAAGAATGATAAATAATGATCTAACTGCTTAATTAAATGAAATAAGCCAACAGCTTTACTTTATTCTCAATCAATGAAATATGAACCTATATTAATGCTAGAGAAAAAAAAATCATATTTTGGACTTATGAAAGAGTATTATATATAATACACACACACACACACACACACACACACACATATATATATATATATATATATATATATATATAACCATAGTTACTGAATTCTAATGAGTTATGAAAATTAAAATATGTAAAAAATTGAATTTTAAATGATGTAAGAAATTCTCAATAAAATTTTTATTGTCTAAAATTTTATTGTACTTCTGACTCTAGAAGTTGGGTACTAATTGTGATCCTTCTTTACCTTACAATAGGGATGTTCTACATTTTAATGACTCCAGTTATTAGAAAACTTCGTCTTATACTAAGTTAAATCTTGCCTTTGGAGGGTTGAAATTAGACTGGTTCATTTTGGATATCTTCTAACAGAACTAAGTTACTGTAGCACAAAAATGAACCTTTAATTTGGTATAGGACTCAATACAGAGCAGAATTATAGATGACTCTAGTGAAATTTCATTTTGACCAAGAATTTTGCCTTGACTTGGAAAGAAGTGGTACGTTGATAATATATCTTCTTTGCTCTGTTTCTGTAAGTTGAACTTGACAAACTCTATGGATACAGATACAGAAATTTTGACTGAACTTTCAGGGACAAGGTTTGGAGTCCCTTTGTGAGAATGAAGGAGGGGTTTCCTGTGAAGCACAGACCTGCTTTCCTAAGTCCTCAGCTGCTAATGGATCAGAGTCAGCCCTTGTATCTGACCTATTTCCCAGCTCCATGACTGGAGGACGATTCTTTTCCTTTATGACTTCTTAAAAAGAAAACGTAATAATTCAAGGACAGGCAAAGTTGTACCTTGGTAACAAATTACCTATCATTTCCATTGGCTTACTTAATGTAAGAGAAGTTTTATTTTTCATTCATGCTATCTGCCTAATGTAGATTGGGAGTCACTTAGTGACCGGATTGATAAAGACCTCATTCGATCTCTGCCTCCTTGATTCTGTGGCAAAAAGATAGGATGAGGGCAGATCATGCATCGTCTCTTAAGCTTTTATCAGTAAACCCACAATTTCTACCCCCCCATCACTAACCACAGCAAGTCACATGGCCATGTTTTACTTTTGAAGAGGTGGGAATGTACAATCCTGCCATATGTCTCGAATAAGAGGAGCTGGAAATATCTGGTAAAAACTCTAATAGCCACTACCTCAATTATACATCAACAAAAAAGGATTTCTTATTTTTAACCTAGAGAAAATATCACTGTAGGATTGCTCTACGCATTAATTGTTAGACAAGGTATCTTCTGATGCTTGGTTAGTGCTTCATATCTCCCACAAAATCTCTCACCTTTTATTTTGGAGACATTATTCTGTAACTGGATCTAGCCTCCAGAGAGCAGCAGGAAAAAGTTACGTATGGATATAATCCCTGACTCTAGAAACTTGTCACATTCTTTGCTGTGGTTTAGTGTCTCAGATTCTGTATAATTGAGGGACTTTTATGCAAATATTTTAAGTATTTGTTATGCAACATAATTTCTTTTTCAATTGCAAGGCACCAGTAGAAAACTTGACCATTGACTGGACTCCCAGGGTTGGTGCAATTTTGTCTTTAGTTGCATCCCAAGAGAAGTGGGAGGGAGTTAGGGCAGTTACAGGAATCCAGATTTATATATTACTCAAGGAACTAGGGGTGGAAGATTTTCTTTCTTATATCACTGTCTAAATTAGGTGGTTGTTTTAAGTGAACTCTTGAGGAGTCTGGCTCCTGCCTAAAAAAGCAATATGTGATTATTTTTTCCATGTTGGACCACAGGCCATCACAAAGCTGCCCTACCCATACCAGCCTGGGTGCAGCATCAATGTGATGTCTGAAGGAAGAGGCAGTCAAGGACTCAGGTCTCCTGTGAACTCACTCCTGTGCATAGCTGCAGTCCTAGCTCTGTGGCCTCCATCTGGGGGCCGCTTTGTAGGGGAACTTCAGTAGGAACTTTCCTCAGACACCTCTGCTGAGGCTTCCTTATTAGGGGTTGAAGAGGATACCTTCTGACTCAGTACTTAGGACTTGTTCACTCCCAGCCCTTCCTTTCTACAACTATTTCCCTTGCTCTAGAGTCCATAAAACTGCAGAAGCCAGTTTCTTGGGGGGAGTGGGGTGGTCTTTCAGAACTATGCCGACCCCATGTCTATGCTGATCTCCTAATCCTTGGCTGGTTCCATGGGGAAAACGGGACAGAAAGGAGGTGGCACTTTCTCTCGTTTAGCCTCATGCTTATACCACCCCAGTAAGTGTAAGGCCTTACTGTTGCTTTCACTTTGACTTCTTGCCTCAGCTGGTTACTATGAAACCTGGTGGCTCAGCTCTTTCCAGCTCAGCTCAGCTCAGCTCAGCTGAGTTCAGTTCCGGACAGTTCTCTACTAATGGTTAACTCAGGAGTCCAAGGCATTTCTATCCAGGAGCTCTTCCACCTGGAGCACTTTTCCAGCATCACTGTGAAACAGAAAGAGAATAGGGAATTGTAAAAATAATAATAATAATAATAATTAATGGCCAAGTCTAGGAAACTAGAAAAGTAGTCTTTTTGTTCACATAGGAAGAGAAAATAGATTTGTGTGAGCATAGTGAATTTCTGTCTATAATATCAACTCCTGTTGTGTACGTTGGTGTATATGTGGTTGTGTTTTGAACAAGCTTGGCAGATTACTGTGAGGAGGTAAGATATGGATGAGAGGCAGGCCTGATGCCCAGCTTCTGTACTGAGCCTGAGGAATGGATTAAAGAAGGGAACAAAGAGTGAGGATTTGATAACACACCAACATATCGAATGAGACTTATATTGGAGGCCAATGGCATTGACCTGTCTGGCTCAGAAAGAACTTCTAGATGACCTTGAGAGGCTGACCTCCACCCACCAATAACTCTATATTTAATTCCTTTGCACCAACTGTACAAGCCTGTATTTACAATTCAGCCTAAACTATTGGACTTTGTACTTCCCACTCCCTATGAAAAAGGGAATGACTTTAATTACTGTTTCCTCCCACCCCACCAGCCCAGAAGGTGTAGTTTGGTCACATTATGGACACTCAGGAAATGTCTGACCAACCTCATGGTGATCTGTCCTAGTGAACACTTGATGCCTTCATGTATGGCCCTACCTCATCTTCATCACCATGAAGTTCAAGGATTCATGCCAACAAGACTGAATAAATCCTAAATGTTTAAGAAATAGTTTCAGTATATTACAAATTATATTCCTCATATTCCAAATTATACAACTTTGTGTTTGTCAAATTACAGGTATAATTATGAAACTTCTAGAAGGCATCCATTCTTGTACGGGCCCACTATCCTGACCACGTCTGCCTGCTATGAAGCTGCTATTCAGTCATGTTGCCAAAAAGAAAATAAGACTGAATGCCTCCAGATAAAGGTATAATATTCGTATGTCGACTATTACTTGTTATGCAAAATGTGGACTGTGGATGACACCATATGTCAGCTTGTAGCTTGTTAGAAATGCAGAATCTGGGGTCCAGCAAGTGGCATAATGGTTAGGGCACTGGATTCCCTCACTGTCTAAGGTGATTCAAGTCCTGGACCCAGTGGCTTGAAACACACTGGATGCGCATGCATGCATGTTCGAAATCCCGAGAGGAGAGTGGAGAAGGGATTGCATCATGGCAATCTTGCTTAGGGAGACTTCTCGTGTTCTATCTCTTTGTCTCTGGCTCTCTAGTGAGTGCACATGCCCTATAGCAATAACAACAAAACTCTAAAAAAAAAAATAAAACAAAAAAAAAAAAAAAAGAAAAACCAACCCTTGCAGAATCTGAATCTCTTCTCCAGACCTACTAAGTAGACGTTGTGTTGACAAGTGTCCAGACAATTCATATAGTCATTAACACTTGAGAAGCCTGGTGGAGCATAGATGTTACTCATAATAGGTACATAATGTTCTAGTTGCTACTGCGGCATTATAAATTTAGTGACTTAAAATAATAGTCATTTAATCACTCTTGAGTTCTGAGTCAGTAATTCAAGAAGGGCTCACCTGAAGGATGTATCTGGCTCCCGTTCTGTCACGTGGTTACAGTCAGGCAGTGGCTGAACGTGGACTCTGGGGAGCCTGAAACACCTGGGCACTGCTCCAAATATCTCTTTCTTCATGTGAGATCAATCCCAGGGCCTCTCCATGCAGTGTCTTCCTGGGCTACTCTGGGCTTCCTCACAGCATGCTAACCTGAGGGCACGTGGACTGCTTGCTTGTGGCCAAAGACTTCAAGGAGTGTCCCAGTGGATATAGCAAAAATTGCAAGAGCTTTTCTGACTTAGCCTAGGAAGTCACTTTCACTGTGCTCTACTGCATGAAATACTGTCAAACCTCACTGACTTGAAGGGGACAGTATGTGTACCTTATTTCTTAATGTAACAGTTGTCCAAGTCTCATTACAGGAGGAATATGGGGCAGGAGATATTACTGTAGCCACCTTTGGAAAATGTAATGTGACACAATTTAACCATGGACGCTTTTCTCCTTTATTGGATAGATGTAAATCCAATTCTAGTTCCAGGATCAAAGTACTCTTCCCTGCTTATTAAAGTTTCTATTAATAAATAACCACACAAGATAACTATCTTTATCATTTGGATTTTACAAAAGTCATGCTGAAAATGAGCAGTATTTTTGGTAACTATTTGGATGACTTTCTCAAGGCTAACCAGAGTGCCATTTATTTGTTGCCACTTTCTTTGATCTTCTCGGTGAGAAATGATCTCTTTTCCTCTAAACCCCATTAGAATTTTATCTATTTATCTTATTGATTGCCTTGCCATCTACCAGAAATGAAAGAACATATCTAAAGAGTTTCTGGTATATGCTGAGTAAGTACTCAAAGATTGTACCCACTTTCATTAAATGTATTTATATATATTTTGTATTCCCTTTTCCATTCTTTCCTTGGTGAATTCCCATTCCTTCAGAGGCAAGTTTGGAATCTCTAAGCAGAATAGTCATTTTTTTTCCTTTTGGTTAGTATTAATTAAAAATTAAAAAGGAGGGGCCAGCAGGTGGCACGAAGGTTAAGGTAGCTGGACCCCACGTGGCCAACTGTGTGGTTCGGGTGCTGTACCTGGAGGCTTGAAAAACACTCCCAGTGTGTGTGTGTGTGTATGTGTGTGTGTGTGTGTGTGTGCGCGTGCGCATGTCCAAAATCTCAAGATGGGAATGGAGGAGAAGGGGTTACCACATAGCCATTCCTGCCTGGTGGGTGATTTCTCACTGTCCCTCTCTCTATCTCTATTACCAGAGAATATGATCTCTGAATTAAGATCTCAGAAATTTTCTTGTAAGGAGGAAGAGAAGCTTGCATGTATTTGAATTCAAATAACTATAGTACAACAAAGTAAGGATAATAGTAATAGTAGTGATTCATAATGAATTATATTATATAATTAACTTGCACTTACAAATACTTATTAAATAGAATTGTTGCTATCATTGTTATTATTATTCCACTTTAGCAGTTTGAATATTGCCTCTGCATACATTTTCTAACTTGTTTTTGAAACTATCACTTGACGATGCAGTTATCCATAGACTAATACATGATCAATATAATATTGTAAATGAAAATACAGATTTGTTATGAAATTTAAAAATATTACTTATATTTATACCACACAGAAATACCAATTTTGGTAGATTTTATTTCCTTTTTTCTTTTCTTTTTTTTTGAGAAGCTTTTGCTGTACGGTGCAAGTGCTCGCCAGACAGAGAGAAACAGAGAGACAGAAAGTGAGAAATCACCCCCCGGGGGATGGCCACACTGCAATCCCTTCTTTTCCATTCTCCTCTTGGGATCTTGGGCATGCACACAAACATGCCTGGCATGAGTTTAAGCCACTGGGTCCGGGACTCTAACCGCGGTCGACTAGTGACATAGCCATTATGCTAACTACTGGTCCCTATTGCCTTTTATTAACTTTTTCTATTCATAGATTTTTATTTTATACATGATTGTGATCTTAGTGAATACATAGTTTTGGTTAGTGATGTAAACATAGTAGGTTTTTAATTAGAAGTATAAATCTTCTCCAAAATAATGTGTCATTATTTATTAAATTAATCACCCTGCAGTTAAACCATCTTATTTGCATCTATAATCTTGCTATCTTAAAAAAATGCATGTAGATCTTTTTACACAATTATATTTGTATTTATTTAGAAAAAAATATATATGCATGATGGAATGTCAAATGTATGAGCATCAGGGGTGGGGGAGTCCATTAATATATACTGTACAACTGGGACATACATTTTCAATAAGCAGTATGATCCATATACAAGATGACAAGTTTAGTAACTTGTATAGAAGCAAAATGCAATTGTAAGACATTATTGAAATTTACTTTGGTGGCTCTCTGGATTTTCGTTTTCTCATTTTCTTGTTCTCATTTTTGTTCCAAAAGTTTGAGGTTATAGAATAAGTGTTCTCTGGTAAATGAGCTATTATTCTATAAAAGAACCATGTGATGTGTTTACATTGTAGCCTCTTTTAAGCAATTTAGTAGATTCCAGTTTTGAGGAGATACACAATTTTTGCTTTTCTTTCCTCTACTGATGGTGAGATCAGCTTTTCTGTTACTATGAAATTTCTTTGATGAGTTGTTTTTTCTAATTATAGCTTGCACCCATCAGAAAATACATCAGAGGAATATCTTTGAGACATTATCATTTATGTGAAATTGGGAATAACTTCAGCCACAAAGTAGCAAAAGCAGTGTAAGTAACATCGCGACTAGTGACACTTCCTTTCTTCCTTCCTTCTTTCCTTCCTTCCTTCCTCCCTTCCTTCCTTCCTTTCTTTTCTTTCTTTCTTACTTTCTTTTTTTTTTTTTTTTGAGAGATTTTTGCTATAGGGCACACATGTGCTCATCAGAGACGTGAAGAGAGACGGAAAGACAAAAAGCGAGAAATCAACCCCCAGGAGGAATGGCCATGCCACAATCTCTTCTCTTTTATTCTCCTCTCTGGACTTTGGGCATGTATGCACACATGCCCAGCATGAGTTTCAAGTCGCTAGGTCTGAAATGTCGTCGACCACGTGTGAGTTCAGTTTCTTAACCACTATGCCACCTGCTTGGCTTCTAAGTAACCTATTTCGTTTTCTTTTCTTTCTTCTTTTTCCTTTCTCTCTCTCTCTCTCTCTCTCTCTCTCTCTCTTTTCAGAGAGTTTTACTCTAAGGTGTGTGCACGCAAGTGAGAAATTACCCCCCAGCAATTTAGCAGAAAATTTTCTAATCTTCTACTACAGCCCCAGGGGGGCTGGTCACTCTGCAATCCCTTCTCCTCCATTCTCCTCTTGGGATTTTGGGCATGCTAGCACACACACTTGGTGTGAGTTTCAAGCCACTGGATTCAAGGCTTGAATTGTGGTTGACCACGTGGGAGTTCAGCGACATAACCATTATGCTGTCTACTGGTTCCCATTTGTGGACTTGGTTGCTGCTGGGTCATCACTTCTGGTTACACCCATTTAAAAATCATTGATCCCTCATATAACAACTGCTGATAGGAATGCGACTCATTTCTCTACACATTTGTTACTTGGCTGTTCAGATAGAGCACAGGGCTGTGGATGAAACTGCACGGTCCTCAGCTGCCTGGACCCATTACCCCCCGCCTCTACTCCTTCCATCCACTCAAATCCTTTGGTCTCTTTCTTAGTGTGCAAAAGATTCTGGGAACTCAGATGCAGGCCCTTACTGAATTTTTCTTCATGGTAAAGGCTGGAAGACAAAAGGTATTCTTTTCTCTGGAAGGGTAGGAACAATTTTGGCCCCAGCACACATAAAACGAGAAAAGTCAGTGGTGCTTGTGGGAGTGGGGATGGATGTGAACTTGGTGTTCCTGACCAACCTTTCCTGGCTGGTCCAGATTATGTTTTGTTCAACTTTATCTCTGAAGAAGTGCATCTTTGGCTCCAGTTTTGGACAATTGGAGATTCTCAGAAGCTCAGTTTGGGGCCAACAGGTGGCATGGTGTTTAAGGCAGCTGGATTCCTACATGACCAACCACTGTTCAGGTCCTGGACCTGGTGGCTTGAAAAATCACTCTGGGTGCATGTGATTGCATGTCCAAAATCCCAAGAGGTGAATGGAAGAGAAAAAGGATTGTGGTGTGGCCATTCCCCGCCCCCCCCCAGGGGGGGTGATTTCTCACTTTTCCTCTCTCTGTATCTTTCTATCTTTCTCCTCTCTGGTGAGCACATGTGCCCTATGGCAAAAACTTATAATAAAGAAGCCCAGTTCTCCATGCAGAACAGGACCAATCTCCTTCAGAGAAATGTCAAGAATACGACTTAGTTTCAACGGAAGCCAGGAACACCCAAGGCAAAGCGTTAATGGCACAAAGAGGTGTGGTATTATCTGTTGAAGATATTTCATAATTTTATCAACAGTACTAGGGAGAAATGTTCACCTGTTGAAATATCCATTTTGTAAGACAAATAATAATGTGATTGAATGTATGGAAGAAAATGAAATGAAAAAAATAAAAGGAAAAAAAAATGTCTTTATAGTGAAGACATTTACGTGAAAGTCTGGTCAGATACATTTCCCAGGCTGGCTGGTTTCCCAGTCCTTTGTCTATCTAAGCAGCACAACTTCTTTAAGCAATCATTAAATAATGGATAGAAATCAGTTGTATTTTTATGTGATTATGAAATAACTCGTGCTCATTTTGTGGCTTAGAGCTTTGCATGGCTGTGGGTACTCCCGTAAGAAAAAGAATGAGTTTGCATTATCCCATCTTCTCCCTGCGTTTGCAAATGTGTTTCCATTCTTTTGATTATTCAGTGAACGAGGACTAAGTTGAAAAGGGACTGGACTCAAAATACTCTTTAAAATGTCCTTATTTTCCTTTTAAGGGAACTAGTTCTGCTGACTAAAAAACAACCGAAAGCTGACTTTTCTGAAATCGCCAAACTGACCACAGACACTAAAAATCTGCATCAGATCTGTTGTGATGGAAACGCAGTAGCATGTGCTCTGGGCAGGGTAAGAGCCTCTCTGTTCTCTTCTTTTATTATTTTTTTTAAGGCTTTTGCCATAGGGCGCATGCACTCACTGAGGAGAGACAGAGAGGGAGAGAGAGAGAGAGAGAGAGAGAGAGAGGAGAGTGAGAAATCACCCCCGGGGGAATGGCCACACCACAAGCTCTTCTCCTCTGTTCTCTTCCTGGGATTTTGGGCATGCACACACACAGGCCCAGTGTGATTACAAGTCACTGGGTCCAGGATTTGTATGAGGGTCCTGTGTGGGAGTCCAGTTCTTTAACTATGTCCCCTGCTGACTCTGATCCTCTCTGTTCTTAAAACTCACTTCAGCCATTTAAAAACTGATCATTCCTTTATCTTATTATTTGCTTATTTAGTTATTTATTTTTATTACCAGAAGGCATGTGTGCAATGGGGCCTGTTCACACTGCCATCTCTTCTGAGACAGGCACACATACGTACCTGGTGTTTTCAAGCTGCTGCAGCTGGGATTCTAACTGTGGCTGGTCACGTGTGCTCCAGTTCCCTATGAGCAGCACTTAATGGCTGTGCTGAGTTGGCTCTTAAACTCGTTCTTCTTAAATAAACGTGGCAGGGGTAAATAATGAATCTAAAAAAGGAACGATTGTTTCTCAGTATTATCTGTAGAATAGAGTCCCTTTCCTCTCTTCTCAGCTCATAAACACTTTTTTCTTCCTCTCTCCCTCCTCCCCTCCCTTCTTTCTTTCTCTTTTCTCACTTTACTTCTCTGACCTTAAGTCTTTGGAATGGGTCTCTACTTTCCTTCTAAATTGGGATCGTATGTTGTATTCATCTTTGAGTCTTGCACAATCCTGGAATTGCTATCTGCATCCCAGGCCACACCAGCCTGGCGGGAAGGAGAAGCCATCACAGACAAGGATGTGGCACTGAGGGGCACAGGGCACAGGACGCGGGGGCAGGGACAGCACTGAGTCAACTGCTCCATACCCAAATGTAAAGTTCCAGAACCCAGAGCAGGAGGAAGAAAATTGAACTGTCCAAACAGACACAAGGCTGTGTAGTATGTCACAAATTGTGTTGCAATTCATTACATAAGCTTGGAAATGGAATGATTTTCACTCAGGATTAAACAGAAAACAGAAACAAAGGAAGACTAATAGCACAATTTCATGGAGAGATCCACCTCTATGAGCAAGGACCCCTGCCCCCAACCATTTTAATCTCATTATACAACAGATTAAGGGATGTAGGTAACTATAGCAATCAAAATGGAAAAACCACTGAATAGAACATTTGGCGGAATCCCTGGGATCCTAAGCTTTCCAATCGCTGTTTTGCTGGACAGAGTCCGGATGAGATCACAGCCGCCCCTGGCCAGCCATTGCAGTCCATATCCTGGGTCAGTGTGGCATTCAGCGCTACCACTTAGCAAAGATAGCCGCTGCCCCTGCCCATTCCATTCTGGAGAGAGTTATGGAAAGTTTTCCTTGAATTGCCATTTTTTTTTTTTTTGGAGAGTATTTTTGCTATAGAGCATGTGTTCTCGCCAGAAAGACAGAGAGAGACAGAGAAACAGGAAGTGAGAAATCACCCCTCATGGGGGATGACCATGCAGCCACAATCCCTTCTCCTCCATTCTCCTCTCAGGTTGTCTTTTTTTCTTTTCTTTTCTTCCCTTCTTCTTCTTCTTCTTCTTCTTCTTCTTCTTCTTCTTCTTCTTCTTCTTCTTCTTCTTCTTCTTCTTCTTCTTCTTCTCTTTTTGTTTTTAATGGCAAGAGTCTCAGCACAGGTAGGAACATATCTCACATAGTCAGGAGTACTAGCTCTTCAGACAGGCTGTCAGAATCCTATTTGCATGACCATTAGATGAATTCTGGGAAAGGTGAAGGAAATTTTTGAGGCCTTACAGAATCCATCCTAAGCAAAACAAGAACATCGCAAAATCTATGAAACCTCTTAAGGCAAACTGTATCGATATTAAACTAGGAACTCCAAAATTGTTTCAAAGCATTTCACCTTTCTGTGCCTCAATTTCTTAATCTACAAAATGAGCAAGAAAATAACATTCACTTCCTAATAATATTTACTGTAATGTGGACTATGGAAAGAATGCAGAACATGGTAAAATTAGTTCATTTATGTCTAACATTCATGAATAATATTAAATAACTATAGGTTGTTGGGTTAATCCTGTCTTGGTCTAAACTGCAATGGAAAATGGTTTAGGATTATTGGCGTGACAAAGATAATGTTTATGTATTCAAGGAATTTTAATTCTATTTATAGGTTTTCTTTTCTTTAGTTTTGAGGGCTCTTGTGCTCATTAGAGATAGAGAGAAATAGAAAGTGAGAAATCATTCTCCAAAGTGGGTTGGCCATGCTGCAATCCCTTCTCCTCCATTCTTCTCTCTAACTTTTGGCATCCATGCACATGTGCCTGGCATGTTTTTCAAGTGGTTGGATCTAGGACTCAAACTTCACAGTGGACCAGGTGGATTCCGACCACCTTAATCTTTGTGCCACCTGTTGCCCCAGATTTTTCTTTTTCTTTTTTTAAATTAGGATGAATTCTGGGTGCATGTGCATCCATGCCCAAAATCTCAAAAGGAGACTGGAGGAGAAGAGATTGCATCATGGCTATTCTTCCTAGAGAGTGACTTCTCACTTTCTGTCTGTCTGTCTGTCTGTCTCTGGCAGGCACATGCACCTTATAGCACAAATCTCTCTCTTAAAAAAATTAGGTGGATTCTAACATTATTAAGTTTCTTTCATAATTTTGGGATGATGATTTGGTTTTAATTCTTTGACTTATTCATTGGAGAATTTTATTAAGTGATTGCTTAATTATTAACCATCTTCACATTCCTTAAGTCAATCTCATTTTACTGTATCTCTGGACTTCAGATATATCTCGATATATATTCAAAACTATACATGTACATTTAGACTTCTAACTTTTTTTGGTGCATATTTTAGTAGGTTTTGGTATTCATCTATGCTAGCTTCCAAAAAATGAATTAGAATTTTTCCTTTTGAATTCTCTGAAACAAAGTATACAGTATTGAGATCCTCTGTTTTACGAAGGTTTGAAATAGCTTATCTTGAAACAGCGGTTAAGATGAAGACAAAGAAATCTGTAGCAGCTTTTTCCTTTTTTTTTTGCTGTGGGTCATTTTTTATTATGTATTTGTTTTAGAGATTTTTGCTATAGGGCATGTGTGCTTCCTGGAGAGACAGAGAAAGACAGAGAGAGAGAGAGAGAAAAAAATGAGAAATCACTTCCTGGGAGATGGCTATGCTGCAATCCCTTCTCCTTCAGGAGAAGGAGGGATTTGGGACATACACGCATGACGCAGGTCTAAGACTTGCAGTCAACCCTGTGGGAGCCTAGCACCTTAACCACTACCCCACCCGCTGGCCTTACTGTAGGTCAGTTGTAACGTTTTCTCAGTTAATCATCAGTATTCATGGATATTGTACTTTGAAATTCACCTACTTTCCAAAGTTTATTTGTAATGCCCAAAATCAATACTCACAGCACTTTTGATTATTCACATAAGCAAGCTTGTGCATACTCAAAGCAACAACAACAAAAAAACCTTTGCTGCTTGATACACACATTCTCAAACTAGGCAGTGCTCCACCTTCTTATTTAAGTAAGCACTTATGTGTAAATAAGTGTCCTTTCTGTGGCTTATTTAATAACACATTTCTTCCATTCCTTTTGTTGTTGCTGTTGTTGTTGGTGGTGGTGGTGGTGGTGATTTTACTGTTTAAAATGACTCCCGAGTGTAGTAGAGTAGTGATGAGGTGCTGGCTAGGGTTCGTAAGCAGAAGAAAGCCCTGATGTGACTTACTGAGAAGTCTGGGTACAAAGTAATCTGTGTTCCTGCAGAAGGCACTGAGCTGTTGGCTGTGAGCTCAGTGGTAATGAACTGACCCTATACATTACGGCAGGAGTCTTTAAAGAGACCTGCGCATAGAGCAAGATGATGTCTTGATGGGCCAAAAAAAGTGTGGTGGCCAGAGACTCACGAGGACCCTGTGTTTCTTTTAAGGGTGATGATTCATTATTCAATAATTCAGTGTGTATAACTACGGTTAATAGTGAGAATTGACTGAACTTACCTGTTATCAGGTTTTGTAATACACATTTTTCTAAAGTATCCTGTGTTCACATTATATCATTTAGGAATATAGAGTACTATAGAATACATAGGGTGCTATGTATGTCTCTCACTGGAGAGACAGAGAGAAGAAAAGTGGAAAATCGCTCCCCAGGGGGGATGGCCACACTGCAATTCCTTGTCCTCCGTGCTCCTCGTAGGATTTTGGGCACACACGCACATGTATCCGGTGTGATTTATAAACGGTCAGATCCAGGACTCAAGTCGAAGAATCAGTCATGTGGGATTCAGCTGCCTTAACCTCTATGCCTTCTGCTCTCCCTAGAACAAGTATATTTTAATGGATTTTTAAAATATTAAGTGACATAAATTAATATAATTTTTGGGGAGAGTTTTATTTATTTATTTATTTTTTTGCTGTAGGGCACATGCGCTCACCAGACAGACAGAGAGAGACAGAGAGACAGAAAGCGAGAAATCACCCCCCAGGGGGGATGGTCATGCTGCAATCCCTTCTCCTTCAGTCTCCTCTCGGGATCTTGGGAACGCACATGTGCCCGGTGTGAGTTTTAAGCCACAGGGTCCGGGATGCGAACCGTGGTCGACTACATGGGAGTCCAGCAACACAGCCATTACGCTAACTGCTGGTCCCCTAAATTAATATAATTTAACATTCTGTGGTATAAGCCAATCTATATAATTCAGCTTTACATGCTGAAGTTCCCTGTTCCTCTTTGACTTCATGACACTGTAGGACATGTATAATACTTTCAAGTTTTCTGTGTGGCAAGTACTGATTCTAAGCATTTTCTTTTTATTACACTAGCACTTTTATAGCATTTCCTCTAGACTGGGCTCTGTTGTTTATTCTTAACAAATATAATTCATTTACTTGCTACAACCTTAGGATGTAAATATTATTTTCATCCTCATTTTATAGATTTGGAAATTTGAAGTATAAAAAGGCATAGGGACTTGTCTAGAGTCACACAGCTAAAAAGTAGCAAAGTCAGGATTTGAACTCAGGAAGTCTGACTTTAGAGCTTCATTTGTCAACCATTCTATTATTTAATTTTCCAAAAACAACCACATAGATGTTTTCTGGAAGATAATAAAGGAGGGAAAAGTTTTTCATCTTGGAACATCAGTATTGTTATAATTTCTTCCATAGGCCCCCATACCTGCCCCAGAACTTTTAAAAAATGGATATTTTGGATACATCTGTTTGTGGCCTTTTCCTTTTTTACTTCACACATTGGGTAGTCATCTAGCAAAGATGGCCTCTTCCATGGCCTAGAGCAGCGGCTGACCTTGAACTACATTTTCTACCTATTTTGAAATTAGGTTGGTTCACCTGACCGAGTTCTGCTCAGCGTGATTTATGCTGTTTCTAGATCTGGCCTATAAAAATCTGCTGGGCTCTCCTACACCACCACCTAATCCAAGGCTGGGTTTCAACTCCGACGGCAGTATTGAGAGCCATAGGTTGAAGACGACTCTGTCTCCCAGCCTGGTTTCTGGAGCTGCCGCCTGGAGGAGATATACCTTTGCTCCTCCATAGGAGTTCCCTGAGAGAAGATTAATTCGATTCTGTTCAGCTTCTGAGCACATGCTGGTAGCTTAGCTAGTGTACACACTCTCCCTTATCAGTCTCAGCCTGACCCCGTAATGTAGTTTCAGTTTATTGCTCTCAAATTCAAACCTTCATCCCGTTTTTCTTTTATGAGCCCTCATTTTTTTTTTCCCCAAGTTTTTGCCGTAAGTTGTGTGTGTGCTTCTTTACTCCCCTTCTCAGATGGACCTGGTGTGATTTTCAAGCTGCCAGGTCTGGGACTTGAACCGCAGTCAGCCATGGGAGTGGGAGTCTAAAACCTCAGCTACCACGCCACCTGCTGGCCCCATATGAGCCCTAAATTGATACCAATTACTTAAAGAAAATCTGCATGCAGATGCCTTGTAGATGCCTTAATTCATTTTAAACCTTGAATTCAGTTAATTTCTTACCTTTTTTTTTAGCCAACCTCCTCAAACCTGTTCTTTTCTCTTAAATATCAATTTTATTGAACTGTACTACCATCAACCCAGTCTCCTCTTTCATCCTAGATTATTTTCCCTCACACCTATTTGCTTGCTGCACAATTATTGTTTATTAAAATCTTTTCAGTTCTACTTTCTGTAGCTCTTAAGTTCAAAAAATTTGGTTCAAATCTAAATTTTCAATTAGATTTTCTCAATAACCTTCAAATAATCTAAATGCCACTTCAAAAAATGTCATGCTTTCTTACGTCTAAGATTCTTTATATGTGAAAATGAATAACCATAGAATACTCTTCCTCTTCACCTGTTTCAAGTTAGCTTCTATTTGTCCTTCAAGATTCAAATTATTCAAGATTTTTTTTCTCTTATTTTTTTTTTCCATAGAGCAGACGTGTTCACTGGAGAGAGACAGAGAGAGAGGAAAAGTAGGAAATCATCCCCCTGGAGGGATGGCCATGCCACAACCCCTTCTCTTCCATTCTCCTCAGGATTCTGGGCATGCATACACATGTACCTGGGATGTTTTTCAAGCCACCAGGTCCAGGACTTGAATCGCACAAAGCCTACATTTGCATATGGCAACAGGGCTGGCGCTGAACAGTAGCTGCCAACTTTTAGCTCCACAAAGCAACTCCTCACTATAGTTTGGGAGACTGGAACCACGGTCAGTCATGTGGATGCAGCTCCTTAACTACCAGGCCAACTGCAGGCCCCTCATTCAAGGTTTCCTGTTCGTTTCTTTTAAAGTAATTATTTAATAATTTTATTTATTATTATTATTTTAAAAAATTGCTACGAGACATGTGTGTTCCCCAGAAAGAGAGAGGGAGAGAGAGAGAGAGAGAGAGAGAGAGAGAGCGAGCGAGCGAGCCAGAGAGAGTGAGAAGACAAGTCACTAGGCTTGGAACTCGAACTACAGTAGACCACTTGGGAGTTGCCTTAACCACCAGGCCACTTGCTGACCCTTCATTCAAGGTCTTTACTGTGACCTTCATCCAGTCTTAATTTCCCATTTCTCTTTTTTTTTCCAAAGCATCATATGTGTACTTCTCTCACAATTTTTATTATGATGTTTTATGATGATGAGCGTTTAGTTATTTCATTCCCCAACTGGATCGTGAATTCCTAAATGTAGAGATTAGCTTATTCACACACACACACGAGTAAAATGTGAGTGTGATGCTAATAGTGCATATTGCAAATTAACGAGTTGTCATGTGGTTCATAGAGAAAGCACTTCTTACACTGGGGCCTCACAACAGCAACGGCAATGACGATGAAAAGACAATAAAACTCTTCGTTTGTATTTTGTTGGGCTAAACAGGGAAAGAAATAACATAGTCTGTCTCCCTCTATGTTTTTAAAGACATATTAAAAGGTCAAATAGAGAAATTTTTCTTATTAAAGTAAATCACTATGAATGATTTTTTTGGTCTCTGTTTGCCAAGATTAAAGCAATATAAGATGTCAAGTTTTTCCTGTTGTTTTTTTTTCCCCCTACTAATAACAATAAAAACAAAAAGTTCAGAATGAGGTCATGAAAAATAACTGCTCCCTTTTCCATTTTATAGGCTCAGCTTATGAGCTACATCTGCTCTAACCAGGCTATGCTATCCAGCAAGATCACCCAGTGCTGCGAGCAGCCAGCGCCCTTCCGCGGGGAGTGCATTATCAACTCAGAGAACGACAGACCTGCCCTTTCTTCCCTGCCACTCAGCAGGTTTACAGAAGACCCGTTTGTGTGCAAACACTTTGCCGACAAGGAAGATGACTTCCTGCAGGAGTAATACAGCTTTTTGTAAAATTTAGTGACAGGTTATATGCACTTAGGAATCATCGGAGTGACTAAGAGCGAACGATAAGAAGGAGGAGTTGCTTTGTGGAACCCAATGTTGGCAGCTACTGCTTGGTGCCAGCCATGTTGCTATACGGGAATGCAGGCTTTGGGTGGTTGGGTCCACTGTATTTTGAGAGGAGTTAGAAATCCCTTTTAATTTTAGATGTTGACAACTAATACAGGAATTTTTAAAAAGCACAGTGAGGGTCAAGTGTTTGCAAGTTGTACTCCAAGAAACTGAAATGAGCGAAAGCTTCAGACTGGCCTATCTGGTCAGCTTTTTAATTCTGGTTAACTTAACGTCTATTATCAAAGCCACAGTGAAATCTTAGAGTGGGGGATTAACACCACTGGTGTCCATTTAGAAGCATATATTAATTTGTATACAAGGCAATCTGACTTCACTGTGTATAATAACATTAAGACAATATTGCCTTGGGATTGAAATACTTCCAGTCACTTCGTTAAGCATTTTTAGAACAATTAAATTCCACCAAAAACGAACATTCGTGTTTCCCTCAAAATTCTTTGTAAAATGGCCTTAGTTCTATCTCCTACTACGTTTGATTCTGGCTAATAAGAGTAAGTGCTCTAGCAGAACCCACTGATTACAAATCCCTGAACTTGGATTTGGCACTGAAGAGTGGACAGGCACACCTTCCTACTGGAAAACGCATGGTCCTGTCAGAGGAAGACTTGAGTTCCTATACCAGCTGTGACTTGCTGGAGTTGTGGAATGTAGGTCAGGCCACTTGATTGTCCCGGGCTTTTGTGTTTCAACTGTACATTGAAGCAGTTGGACAAGAGGCCTTCAAAAATCTTGTCTATAATTCTACTATTCCTTCAAAATTATTCTAGAGTCCAAATTTCTCTTGCAGCTTAGCAATGTTAAGTTAGGTCATATTAATCACACTTGAAGGTTCACTTGAAAAAGGAGGGAAGGTGGTGATTCAATACCTTGTCAGTTACTTTCTTAGGAAAAAAATACTTATAAAATTCATACTTTGATGCTCAAAGATCAAACTGTATTCTTACCCAAACACTTGAAATTAATTTCTAGTAAAAGTAAGTAGAGACTGAGCCAGAAATGATAGTTAATCAGGATGTTTTAGGTTCAAATTGTGGATTTGCTGTTCATTATTGTGTTACTCCAGAAAATTAGAATTTTTTAAAAAAATTGGTTTCTTTATCTCAAAATGTAGACACTAAACCCTCTGTCAGCTTTCCAAGATTCCCAAATGCCTAAAAGTCACTTGAAATTTTTATAGTCATGGTACCAGCAGATGGTGTAATGGTTACATCGCTGGATTCCCATGTAGTTGACCATGGTTGAAGTCCTGGACCTGGCGTCTTAAAACTCACCCTGGGTGCTTGTGTGTGCATTCCCAAGATCCCAGGAAGAGAATGGAGGAGATGGGATCATGGCATGACCATTTCCCCTGGGGGTGTGTGATTTCTCTCTTTCTGGCTCTCTCTCTCTCTACTGAACTCATGTGCCCTATAGCAAATAATCTCTAAAAAAAATTCATAGTCATAATGGGGTTTTGATAAAACAAACAAAAAAAAACCAAAAAAAAATCTGGCTTCTGAATTTGCTTTTTGTTTACCTTTGAATTTGATACAGGTTTCTTTATGAATATTCAAGAAGACATCCAGAATTGGCAGTTACAGTGATTTTAAGAGTGGAGGAAGCATATAAAAAGGAATTGGAAAATTGCTGTAAATTAGAAAACCCTCTGGAATGCTATAGTCATGGGGTAAACTCTTTTTTTTATTATTAAAAACTGTTTCTCATAAGCGATTACATAGAAAACTCCAGTGCTGTGAGCACAACATACATTTGTGGGACGATGATGCACGTTCTTGCTAACTGCAAGCACTAGGCAGGAAATCAAATTTCTTTCTAAACCAAAGGCCACATTATCAGACCTGAGCAACTCTTACAGAGATTGTTTTATGAACTTCTGCAACCTCTCTTTTTTTTTCTTTAATTTTGCCAATTGGTGATTGTGCTTGCCAGAGAGAGACAGAGGGAGAGAGAGGGAGGGAGGGAGGGAGAGAGAGAGAAATGAGAAAGTATCCCCTCCCCATGGGGAATGGTCACACTGCAATTCCTTCTCCATTTCTTCCTTCTTTCAGGATTTTGGCCATGCATGCCTGATGTGTTTCTCAAGTTGCCGGGTCTGGGACTTGAACTACTCAGTCAGCCATGTGGGATCCAGCCCCCTTAACCCCCACACCACGGGGTGGTTCTGCAAACTTTCTTTTAGAGCAAATGTTGCTTTTGCTTGGCACAGTAGCAGGTAGCATGAATATAGAGGCTATTAGCTGTGGGAGGGTCTGCCAGTTCACCAATAAGTCCTGGAAACAGTCTCTGTTTGAGTCCACGAGTCATACTGTTCCCAGGCATGAGTTGTTCATTTGTTATTGAAAGCCAGTTGGCCTAATAAGCCTCTGATGATCAGCCATCCATGGGTTCCTGTGAGCCAGGGTGGGTGTTATTCTAATCAATGGCTTACTCACAGAGGGCTGGGGAAGAGCCTGGAGAGTGAGGATGCAGAGCCAAGGCATCTTTTATCCAGTCTGGGCTCAAGCAGCTACTTGAGCATCTTTCATCTCCCAGAATGAAGGATAGGAGGGAGATTTAATCTCCTGTAGGAGGGCACCCTCCCATAGCACCACCGTTAGGTGTCCACAATAATCACTGTGATAATAGCACCACACAGGGGTGGATACTTGGAGTGTACAAAGCAGCGTTACAATCTCCTATTTGAGTCTTACAACAACCTGGAAAGATAGAGGTAGTGCCAGAATTACCGAGTACAGTTTTTGTTTGTTTGTTTTTAGAGAGAGGTTTTTTTTTTTTTTTTTTTTTTTTTTTTTTTTTTTTTTTGCTATCGGGGTGTGTGCACTCACTGGAGAGACAGAAAGTGAGAAGTCACTTTCCAGGTGGGGTGGCCACACCACAATTCCCTCTCCTCCTTCCACCTCTTGGGATTTTCGGCATTTTCGGCACACACACGTACACATCTGGCCTGAGTTTTAAACCACCAGGTCTGGGACTCAAACCACCGTCGAGTATGTGGGAGTCCAGCGATGTAATCATCATGCTATCTGCTGGTCCTACTAAGTACATTTTTTGAGTGTATTGAGCTTCAGAAGTTTCAAGTGACTTATATAATGTCCAATAGGCAGTAAGAACAGAAGAATTAAGAGTAAATTCCAGGAGAGAAACTGTTTGTTGATAAAATCTGACAAAATTGTCACTTTAAGAACCACTGCTTCTGGGACTAGCAGATGGAGTAATGGTTACATTGTTGGACTCCCACACAGCTGACCATGGTTTGAGTCCCAAACCTGGTGGCTTGAACCTCATGCTGGGTGCATGTGCGTGCATGCCCCGAATCCCTAGAGGACAGTAGAGGAGAAGGAATTGCACTGTGGCCATCCCCCTAGGTCACTGATATCTTCCCACTGGGTTCTTATTTTTGTATTTTTGTGACCAAGGTCTCTTTAAGTTTGCCTTTAGCACTGAACATTTCATTTGGTTCACGTCAATGTGTATTTGTGGAATGCTTTACTATTTCACAGCTGTGTGTATTTTTATTAAACCAGGACTTGTTAATATGTATCTGTATCTCTATGCCTATATTTATATCCCCATATGTGGGCCATTTATGTAAAAAGCCTACATTACTAAATTACTGATATGCACACCCACGGCTCCAATCAAATTTGCATCAATAAACTACTTCTAAGGTTCTCTTTCTTGGCTTGACGAGTGATTTGCCTCGTGCTTGTAAAATTTTCCATTAAAGCTCACAAATAAGTTTGATCACAAAAAACTGAATATCAATCTTGTTGTCCCACTTTTTTCCCCACACGTACACGCTAGTTCCTCTTTTATCAAAACATGATTTTCAAGATTTCCAAACTCACTAAGTAAATAAAGGCCTGGGTGTAGAAAAACAGCTATATTAATTATAGAGCATGGTTATGCAATCTTACTTCCAGATGTATTGTTGCAACAATAAACACTGATTATTTTTCAGGAAGACATGTTCCAAACGGTGGTGCGTGAAGGCCGTGACCGTGTAAAACATCACTGTGATTTACGTGAGAAGTTAGGAGACAGTGACTTCCACGACAGGTATGCCTGTGAAATATTGTTCTTGTGCTTGCTAATGAGGGTTAGTTCATTCCTAATGCTGAGAGTTGCTAAGAGTTTACATCCAACTTTAAAAATCTCAGGGGCTGAGGAAAAAAGTCAGTTCTGAATTGATCTAGCTCTCTGGGTCGGCGAATGGCCTGGCGGTTCAGGCAGCTGGATGCCACGTGCCTACTGGGCAGTCTGTGTCTTGGACCCGGCAGCTTGAAAAAGCATGCTGGATGCATGTGTGTGTGTGTGTGTGTGTGTGTGTGTGTGCATGCCCCAAATCCTGAAAGGAGAAATGGAGGAGGGATTGTGATGCGACTATCCCCCATGGGGGTACTTTCTCGCTTTCCCTCTCTTACTTCCTCCTATCTCTCTCCCGCCCTTTCTCTTTCTCCCTGTTTCTCTCCAGAGAGTGAGCACTTGTTACCTCTAGCATATTAAAAAAGAAAAGAAAAGAATGACTCTAGTTTTCTTTGCCTTGTTAAGCAGATGTATACTTAACCTTGAGAGCTTCCACACTGCTTTCCGGATCAGTTCCCCACATGCCAAATCTAAGCGAAGAAGTTAGTTAGGGAACAAAGTAGGTCCCAATTGCCCTCCTGCAATCCCACAGGGGCCTGCCTCTCACACCTGAACATCTAGTTTGGGGCTCTGCCTGGGATTTTGAGTCAAGGCTGTAACACAACTCTATTCTAGAGTTTCATCCTCTGAATCAAGTCAGGTTTATTTTGACTACCAAGAGTAGAGATATACCTTAGTTATTTGCCAAAGGGAGCACACATCCTTCCTCGCATGCAACGAGTCTGATACATTCCATTGCACTTCAAAGATTAAGTTCTGAAAAAAGAAATGTTTGTGTTTAGTCATCTTTAAGAACTTGCTGTAATACGAATCTATATACAAGCAAAAGATGGGGGGGGGGATTCAGTTATCCCCATAATGTAAAGCTTAAATGAAATGTTCAGAACAATGAATTCAGATGAAGGATTCTTGTTCTACAGAGACTGTGTAGCCTATTATTTTTCTTTTAGATGTATCAGTTGCTAATGTTGTGTGAGGATTAAATCTGTGGTTCTCAAGAGGTAGGGTCATCAAAGTTACCTGGAAGAATTGTCAAAACCAGACCTCAGCACCAGAGAGTTTCATTCTATAATCTGGAACAGGGCCTGAGAATCTGCATTTCTTTTTTCTTTAGGAGAGATTTTTTGCTATGGAGTGTGTGTGTGCTCGCCGGAGAGACAGAGAGACAGCTAGACAGAAAGTGAGAAATTACCCCCAGAGGGCATGGTCATGTCACTATCCATTCTCCTCCATTCTCTTGGGATTTGGGGCATGCTTGCATATGTGTCCAGCATGAGTCTTAAGCTGCCGGGTTTGGGACTCAAACCACAGATAAATACTTGGGAGTCCAGGAACATAACCATTACTCCATCTAAGATCCCTGGAATCTGATACTGCTGGTCTGGGATTCACACTCTGGAAATCATTTGATTGGGCTATTTCATTGGAAGTTATAAAAATGAAACTCTTCTCCCAACTCCATTTCTATTATACATGCAGGAATTGATTCTAATTCTTCATTGCCCTCAACATCCAGTTCTATAGAACCTTTCTCTTCCAAACCTCTCCCCATATCTTTTTATTTCCCCACCATTCTCCTTGTTCAGATCATCCTTATCTCTCACTGGATTTCTGTAGTAGGATTTTTACTGTTTCTTCCTCACTGTGCCTCTTGCCCACCTCTAATCCATTCTTTATAAAGAAGTCATAATTATCTTAAAAGCAATGTAAATCTGATTTTGTAACCAATTCCCCCACCAACTTTTCCAGCCACTCCCAACCAAGAAAACAAAATCATAATCTCTTCCCCAATTCTCCCCTTTCATCTTCACTCATTCCCTGTCACCTGGTCCATTCAGTCATTGTCAGATTTCAGCTCAGATGCCATGTTCTGTGGGGAGCCGCCTGACCTCCCTGGATGGGATTAGATGACATCCTTTGTGCCCTGTTAGGGAAATACAATTAAAACCAAAATATTCGGGCTAGTAGATGGCATAGTGGTTAAGGCACTGGACGCCCATGTGGTCGACCATAGTTTGAGTCCAGATCTGGTGGCTCGAAACTCACACCAGACATTGTGTGTGTGTGTGTGTGTGTGTGTGTGTGTGTGCCCAAAATCTTCAGAGGAAAATGGAGAAGGGATTGTGGTGTGGCCATTCTCCCGGGGGGTGTGGGGGGAGAGGCATCTTTCTGTTTTTCATTTTCTGTCTCTCTGGTGAGTGAACATGCCCTATAGCAAAAATCTCTCAAAACAACCAACCAAATAAAAACCCAAATCTTCTCCAACCCAGAGAACCTCACCACAGAGGAAGTGGAGAGTTGTAAAATAAGCATTAGACCAGAATGTAATGGGCAACACAGGTCACCTGCTAGAGATTGCAAGGCAGAAAGAAATCTCATTGCCTCATAGATAGTCAAGCAGATACAACCACGATAAACATATTTTCAATATACGTAACTATTCCTAAATGAGGAGACTTGATAGTACTTATATACATAGTTACCCTAACTTAACCCAGTAGTTAGGGTGACCATTTATGTTAGCTGAGAGGTTTTACCAGAGGAGAGAAACAAACTCTTTTTATACCTTCATGAGAGGAGTTAGTTTTTGCAATTGTCTGTCAACAAAGTTAGGCTTTTATCCTTCCACAGAAACTAGGAGATTGGGGGACCAGCAGTTGGCATAATGGCTATGTCGCTGGATTCCCATGTAGTTGACTGCAGTTCAAGTCCCCGACCCAGTGGCTTAAACTCACGCATGTGCGTGCATGCCCGAGATCCCAAGAGAATGGAGGAGAAGGGATTGCAGCATGGCCATCAGCTCTGGGGGGTGATTTCTTGCTTTCTGTTTCTCTGTCTCTCTGTCTTTCTGGTGAGCGCATGCACCCTATAGCAAAAAAAACACAAAAAAACAAAAAAACAAAAACAAAACTCCCCGACAACATCCCCCCCCCCAAAAAAAAATAAAAGAAACTGGGAGATAGAAATGCAATCTTCTTTGTTCATATTTCAAAATGATGGTTCTCAAGTCTTTAATCAAGACATTTCTTGATCATAAGATACCAAACCTGTATCTAAAGATTTATATATATTTCAAAGTAGAGAAAGCACTTAAAATTTTAAGTTGTCTAAAGTAAGAATAAAGGAAGGAAAGGTGTTCCCTTCCTTGTTTTCAACATTTTAATTTCTAATTGTCTTTCATTTTATATTAGTTCTTACTACAGCAGCAGTTTGTATTCCTTTCAGCTCGTGGAATGTACTTGTCTATCTGCCTGCTGGGTGTGAGCCCCCTGAAAAATGGGACTATTTCCTGATGATTATTGTAGTCTATATTCCTATTCACAGTAGACACACAATAAAGGTTTTTTTCTTCTTCTTTTTTATTTTTTTTTTGAGAGGTTTTCGCTATAGGGCGCGTGCACTCGCCAGACAGAGAGAGACAGAGAGACAGAAAGCGAGAAATCACCCCCCAGGGGCGATGGCCACGCCACAATCCCTTCTCCTCCATTCTCCTCTCGGGATCTTGGGCACGCATGCACATGCGCCCGGCATGAGTTTTAAGCCACTGGGTCCAGGACGCGAACCGCGGTCGACTACGTGGGAGTCCAGCGACATAGCCATTACGCTAACTGCTGGCCCCAATAAAAGTTTTTTTCAAAGAGAATTATTTATGTCATTTTATTTATTATTATTATTTTAAATTTGTTATAGGGCACATGCACTCACCAGAGAGAGACAGAGAGAGGGAAAGTGAGAAAGGAAGCCACCAGGTCCGAGGTTCGAACTGTGGTCAACCATGTGGGAGATCAACAACTCAACCTCCATGCCGCCTCCTGATCCCAACAATCAATAAAGATTTAATGGCTGGTGTATATATTTATTTCAGAAGTCACTCACTTTAAGCTTGATTTTACAGCTGTCAAAGTAGTTCTCAAGGTAACCTGGAGGAGTAGATGAAAGACGGCTCAGGGGAGAACAAAGCGCGAAGTGGGAAGAGAATCCCGGGTGTAATGAATAAGCATTGAGTCATTAGAATAAGGATGGAAGCTAGAAGGATGTCGGGCATTGAGGAGAACTGTGGGATTCATGTTTGGGCACATAGCCATCACCGGGAGTAAAAAGAAATGGTTCTTTCAGGCTCGTGGTCCTTTACACTAAGAAAGCCCCTCAACTATCTGCTCAAGAGCTGGTTTCATTCACAACGAAGATGGCAGCTATTGCCACCAAGTGTTGCCCGCTGAGTGATGAGCAGCAGTTTTTCTGCATGGAAGACTCGGTAAGCACCTCTCAGGCTCTACGTCTGCCTGTTCTTGAAAGTTCTAACCACTTACCTCTTCAGCAATCAGTTTCACTTCTGTAGACACGTTTAAGACCTGTCAATGGAGCCTCCTAATTCTCTCCGGCCAGCTCATGCCAATCGTCTTTGGAGGTAAGACTGTCGCATCCCTGACTTTGGGAACGTCAGATTCACCAGGCCTTTCCCTGGCTCTATTGCTTTGATTTTAAGTCAAGAAAAATGATTTTGCCAGCAACTTGCAAGATAATGATGATTTTAGACTAATGTATCCTTATCAAACTTACAAGCACTAAGTGTATCAGATAGAATATAGGTGTGTTTATTTACAATGAGCAGTGTCTTTCCAATGGCAGGAATAATTTGGTGCAATAACTAGGCTATACATTCAGAAGCTGGCTTAGGATGTGGGTATCGGTGCAAATGGAATCAGGGAGGAGCAAGGCTAGATTTGAGGGCTATTTCCTTGAGGTAATCAGGAAACTTGATCCACTGTTCCTTACTTGCAGTGGAAAATCTCTCTCTCTGGGGACCAGGATACTCAAGTCTGCAATCTAGTAATACAGATATTTTTTCAAGATTTATTTATTTATTTATTTATTTATTTTAATTTGACCACAGAGAGACAAAGTCAGAGAGAGAGAGAGAGAGAGAGAGAGAGAGAGAGAGAGAAAGCCGCCAGTTCCAGGACTCAAAACACGGTTGGGAATCCAGGCCCTTCAAGTATTATTTTAACACTACTGAATTGCTTATTGACAGCTTTCTCTACCCTATGTTCTTGGTAAATAGAGCATCTCCTTTACTAATACCTGATAACTTAGCAATGTTTCAGCTGCAGATGTAAAATATTTTATTCTTTATCTCTATCTTCCTTTTTTTTACATTAGCAATTTTTATTATCTAGTTATGCCTTCTGAAGAGGTCTTTTGATTAGACTTGTGTATTCCTAAATTCTGGGCCCTCCCTTTGGTTACTTCTAAAGTGAATCATAAACTCATGTGTTAAATATTGAAGCTTACTCGGTTCAATTGACTTGAAAACATAAGTGACAGGGAGTTTGGGTAGTCACTATAATAGAAGGGGCCTAGAAGAAGACTTGTAGATAGCAGCAGGATAATATTAGTGTCCCGGACACCAAGCTGGGAGGAAGGAAGAGTGACTGTTTCAAAAAGGGCTAAGAAAATAAAGGAGATAACTGAAATAGGACCCAAGGATGTTTCCTCACTTTATCCATTCAATGAATATTCATAGAACATCTACCAATGAGTGCCAAGTTCAGTCATTGGCTACAGATTTCCAGTTATAAGAAATAGAAACAAATAGGATTTAAATTTCTTAAGAACTCAAATGAATTGGTCTGAGTCAAATTAGCAGTAGCGTTGACCCGAGGCTTGATTTTAATTTAGTGGTGCATGAGAAAACTCCTGCCTCAAGTTGACACTGGCCTATAAACTGGACCAGGCAGGAACCTGAAGATGGGGGTCCATGAAAGCTCAACTTAATGATGACAGAAAGAGGGGGGAATAAGGCTGGGTACTTGCTTTTTCTCAAACAGTGAAATCTGAGTGGAACTAGCATGAACTAGTTTGAAAACATTTCATTATCATTTTATTTTCTGTGGGTTAAAAAAACATGACCATAAAGATCATAACTCTCATTTTAATTCTCTTCTGGGAAAGACAAAACTAATTGTTGGAGATTTATGCAGAAGACATGAGGCTGAGCCTATCAATGCTGGTGTGGGTCACTGCTGTAATGGCTCCTATGCCTTCAGGAAGCCATGCTTTGATGACCTGCAAGTTGATGGGACTTATGTTTCTCCGTCTTTATCTTGTGACCAAGTCATCAGTCTTAAAGAGGAATTGTGCGAAGCTCAGGAGGAGGAACTTCAAATTGAAAAGCAAAAGTAAGAACTTTTGTTTACTATTTTTTTTTAAATCACAACAAGGGAGTAGGTATAAAGAAGTTTAAGCAGGGCACAGGTATGTCTATTGCATAATGAAAAGAGCAGCTAAATGTTATATTGGAGGAATTAATAATATGCTGTAATTTTGCAATTATGGCTATCATGCTTGATACCTCTGATTAGTTTACAAGACCGAAGAACACTGATCAAAATTTTTGACAGGGAACCAGCAGTTAGCGTAATGGCTGTGTTGCTGGACTCCCACGTAGTTGACTGCGGTTCGTGTCCCGGACCCGGTGGCTTAAAACTCACGCTGGGCACGTGTGCATGCGTGCTCAAGATCCCGAGAGGAGAATGGGGGAGAAGGGATTGCGGCGTGACCATCCCCCCTGGGGGGTGATTTCTCGCTTCCTGTCTCTATGTCTCTCTCTCTGTCTGTCTGGTGAGTGCATGCGACCTATAGCGAAAACCTCTAAAAAAAAATTTTTTTTTGACAGAGCAATGTATTAAGGTATTAAGGTATTCTTACTAAAATGTGAATTTGAAACATTAGTTTTTATAAGGTGTTACATGTAAAAAGTGTTCTGTGGTAAAATAAATTTCAAAAGGGCCAACAGGTGGCATGGTGGTTAAAACACTGAACTCTCATTGTTGGTTAGAGTCCCAGACCTGGCAACTGCCTTTCTCACTTTCTCTCTCTCATCTCTCTCTGGTGAGTGCTTGGGCTCTATGGGAAATTATAAAATAATTATAATAATAAATAAAATTAAATGGATAATTCTTTTAAAAAAATTAAATTTCAAAATACATTGTTTCCTTTATTCTCTTAGAAAGTAATACTTTCCATGAAAAAAAATGGATGTTGGACCAGCGCATGGTGTGGTGGTTAAAGAAGCTGGTACCCACATGGCCAACTGCACAGTTTGAATCCTGGACCCAGTGGTTTGAAAAACATGCCCAGTACAAGTGCATGCATGTACAAAATCCTGAGAAGAAAATGGGGGACGAAAGGGATTGTGACCTGGCCCTCTCCCTGTAGTGTGTTTTCTGACTTTCTCTCTGTCTGTCCAGCAAGCACATACCCCCTCTGGCAATTTTTTTTATAAAGGATATCGGAGAAGGCCTGCAATAAAGTAATTCAGTTCTTTTTTCCAGCCCAGAATCATTTGGGCCACTGAACCTATTAGATTCTGCAGGACCCATGTGCTGGGAAAGTGCTTTGGGACATGTTTTCAGAATCATGTGCATCACTGCATAATATGTGCAGTCATCCCTAAGTACCTTGGGAGATGGGTTGCAAGAGCCCTCACCAATACAAAATTTCAAGAAGGTTCAAGTCCTTATATAAGACGGTGCTGAATTTGCATAAAACCTATGCACATTCTCCTGTGTATTTAAATCATCCCTAGATTACTTATAATACAAAATATAATGTAAATGATATGTAAATAGTTTGTGTGTTTCTTTGTTTTTTTAGAAAGATTTTTGCTATAGGGCACATATGCTTGCTGGAGAGACAGAAAGTGAGAAATCACCCTCCCCGGGAGGCGGTTGGGGGGGAGTTTGGCCATGCCACAATCTCTTCTCCTCCATTCTCCTCTTAGGATTTTAGGCACACGCGCACACATGCTCGATGTGAATTTCAAGCCTTCTGGTCCAGGACTCGAATCACGGTTGACTATGTGGTCCGTGATGTAACCATTATGCCATCTGCTGGTCCCTGTAAATAGTTATTTTACTGTGTTGTTTGGGGAAAAGGAAGGAAAAAAAGTCTACACATGTTCACTATGGCTGCAAGCATTTTTTTTGTTGTTGAGAGATTTTTGCTATAGGACATGTATGCTTGCCAGAGAGACAGAGAGAGATGGCGAGAGAGTGAGAAATCACTCATCCTGGGAAGGGGGGGTGGGTATGCTGTAATCCCTTCTCCTTCATTCTTCTCTTTAAATTTTGGGGACACATGCACACGCACCCAGCATAAGTATCGAGCAGCCAGTTCCAGGACTTGAACTGCAGTCAGTCATGTGGGAATCTAACCCCCCAACCACTATGCCACCTGCTGGCCCCTGCAATCATTTTTTAAAACTTATTTTCAATCATGGTTGGTTGAATCTACTGAAGTAGGACCTGCAGATACAAAGGGCCAGCCACAATTACTTTTAGTACCGCTTCTACTACTACTGCTGGGAGTGCTTATTTAATTTGTTTGGAAGAATAGTTTGGGTGTGATTAGTAGGTGTAATGCCTGTGAGGTCTGCTCCTTGAATTCTTGATTTTATTCCCTTCCCCTCCCTTCTCCCAACCCTATAATATCATTCTTTGCACCAGATAGGGATTTGTAGTTACTTCTAAGATGCAGGAAACAGGATAGCACTAGAAATTCACAATACAGGAAACAAACATTTAAGTGATATATATCTTCTGTAGGAAACTATAAAATCAAAGCACTCTAAAAACAAAAGGAATTTGAGCTCTTAATCAATCCTCCCTACTGCAAGTTTAGGAAATCTTTCTAAAATACAGTGCGTTTTCTCTATAAATATTTCCGGTGATGGAAAGACCATAGGCTTAAAGCAGCTTATGTTATCCTTAGAGATGTTTAATTATTAAAAGCTCATCTTTTTTTAAAGTGGAAATCTAGTTCCTTGCCACTTCCAACCAAATTTCTACTTTTGAAACTATAAAGAGAAATTCTTTATAGACCTTCTATGCTGTGGAGTAAGGATAAATTCCTATTATTTCCCAGTCAACTGTGGATGAGACAGCGGAGGGGGGGCTATAACTCTTAATCTACGAGTACATCGCCAGGGGAAGTTGAGAGAAATGGTGTACTTATTTATGATCGCGGAAATACATGTATATATATATGACATATAATATATGGAAATGTGTATAAATTAGAAAACTTTATAAGTTATTACTTTTAAAAGTGCTGTTCTGCTTTACTGATACTGATTACATATCAATTACATTATATTATTGGTCAGAAATGATGCCAGGACAATGCAATCTCTGTAAATATGAGCAGGATTTTCCAATGTGTGTTTTATATCAAACGGTTTCTGTGTGAAGTCAGCCAAAGAATTCAGTTTAGTCCCCGTTCTCCTCCCTGTCCCACAGCATCTGTGAGAAGAGCCAGTCAGCCCTCTCTGCCTTCTTTCCCCCCTGCTTCTCTAATCCATTAGTGGGTCTTTTTCCTCCTCTGAGTCTCAGATGGGAAATTGTGCAATGCCGATGCTCCTGTAAGGTAGGTTTCAAGGCCAGCCCTGATGAAAGAAGTTTGGAACTAGATATCACTTCTTGATGGGAGGTGCTTAATAACGTCGCATTGCAAAGGATGTGAGTACCGGGAAAGGCAGACAACGGGGCCCATTTTTGCAATGAGTCTGCCACATGTGGATCATTACCGCAGTTGCTGAAATGATAGAAAATGATGAAGGGCAGGTTGGTGGTGGGAAGTGAAGCAATGAAAGGGTCTGAAATCATCACAAACAAGGGGACGTTTCCAGGCTTTCTCTAGGGGGCAGAAATAAATAGGGATAGAGGATAGCCATGTTTGATGACATGTATTTCAAAAGAGCAGTGGCTTTTGTTTGTTTGTGTTTTTGTTTTAAGTTTTTGCCATAGGGTGTCTGTGCTTGTTGGAGAGAGACAACAGAGAAAGAAGTGAGGAATCACCCCCATAAGAGGGATGGCTATGCCTCAATCCCTTCTCCTTTATTCTCCTCTTGGAATTTTGGGTACACGTATACACACACACACACACACACACACACACACACACATACACACATACCGTTTCCAGGCTTTCTCTAGGGGGCAGAAATAAATAGGGATAGAGGATAGCCATGTTTGATGACATGTATTTCAAAAGAGCAGTGGCTTTTGTTTGTTTGTGTTTTTGTTTTAAGTTTTTGCCATAGGGTGTCTGTGCTTGTTGGAGAGAGACAACAGAGAAAGAAGTGAGGAATCACCCCCATAAGAGGGATGGCTATGCCTCAATCCCTTCTCCTTTATTCTCCTCTTGGAATTTTGGGTACACGTATACACACACACACACACACACACACACACACACACACATACACACATACACATGTCTGCCAGGTCTGGGACTTGAACTATGGTTGGCCATGTGGGAGTTAAATGTCTTAATCACCACACCACACCACCTGCTGGTCCCTGAGCTGTAGCTTTTAAAAGAGGATAAAAGAGAGAGAGAGATTGAAAGCTATAAAAAGAAACTAGGGGCTTAGGTAAGTGATGTTTAAGCAAAAATGGGCTCCTCTTGAGATTTCTTGGAGGAAACTGCATCATCAGGAGAGCCTTGTGTCTTGCATAGAACAAGAAAGAGACATTCAGAGAAAAGGCAGTGGATATAGGGGAGTTTTCTGTGAGAAAACCCCGAGTTACCAAGGAGACGGAGGAAGAGCTTGGGTGGGCAGGATATGGGTAAGTTCAGGGATGTAGAAAACATCTGTGTGATGACCGATGAGTTGGGAGACAGATTTCTGATGGTGACTGGGAGAATGGGGTATGATGGGCTTGGCCATGGTGGTCGCACACGCAGCACACACAGCCATGGGGCAGCTGGTCTTGCCCTTGGGTAGTGAGATCTCACCAGGGCTGGCATTTTCCCCATTCTCTGTGTCCTATCCACAAAGATAGATGGAATAAACACTTGTGATCAGGTCTTAGAAAAGAAGAGAGGCAGCGTTTTTTGCTGCTACCAACATCTTTCTTAGAGGCACCAGTCACCCCTGACTCCGCTCTGTCCTACCAGAGCCCAGAGCCAAGATGGTGCCTAAACCAGGCTTCTCCTTTGGAATTAGTGTCATTGGTAATGAACGTGATCTTAGATGTCCCTGTTGGAATCTACAAAAAGCAATTGTTCTAGGAGACATCAAGGAACAAAGCTTTATTTTCCCTGATCCAGCAGGATATACCCAAAGCACTCCAATCCCAGACAGCAGAGCCATTCCCATACACCGCCCACCCACCTTCCTGTTCTAGCCTGACCTGCTCCTGTCTTCACGGGGCAGACCCTGGGCCTCATGTTTCTTCCCTTCCAAGAACAGCAGAGACGGCAGCTTATTTCTGGTTAGTAAATTTACTCCAAGACTCGCTGTTAAAGCAGTCTGAATGTTAATGGTCCAACAATAGCATCTTGCTGAGCGAGGCAGAGTTTTTGCTGCCTTTGGAATGAACACATCCTTATGATCAGTAAGTATGAAACGGACAGTTTTACTGTTTTATCACGTTTTTGCCATTTAAAAATCGATCGACCCTTTAAGTCCTGCCTTCATTTTCCAATGTGAACATAGATCACAAACTAAACTTTAAAATGTTCCACTAAGCACCCAAAGACCATTGTAACATTTTGTTAGGTGTTTTCCCATTCCCCAGCCCCTGCACACCCCCGGGCTTAACGTGAGAACATGGGAAAAAGAAGTCTATTTTACTTCCAGAGAGAAGGCTTTGCTGCTTCTTGCAGAAGTTCCATGGACAAGATGGGCACCGCTTGGTAAATACCATCTCACCAATCCTTACCACAAGTTCATGAGGTAGACAATATTATTCCTCCCTTTTAATTACGAGGAAACTGAAACTGTGAGGACAAAGGACCTGCTATGAGATCAAATGGCAGGTTCAGAGGTAATTGAGCTGGGATTCAAACCCTGACTATGTGGCTTTACATGCATATGCTTAGCAATCAGCATTTATAATGTTATAATGCCTACCTCTATAGTTTTTAAAACATGGACCTCTTCATATAAGGGTTAGATAATAGAAAGTGTGAAATATTAGGAAGCACCTCTGTTCTAGTAAATTCACTGAGTTCTTTGTACAGAGGAAAAGTAGCATAGAGGCATCTAATGTGGCGATTTCTGTGAGGTCATTGGACAGTTCGTACTGGCAGTCAAAGCTCAGGCTCGGGACATGCAGATGGTGTAATGGCTATGTCACCAGACTCCCATAAGGTTGAAGCTCAGGCTAGAAAAAAGTCCTCCAACTTGCCAGAATAGTGGCAAGGGCTGCTCTCCCCATGGCTCTCCCCTGCTTTAAGTCATTCTGGCCATCATAGTACATGTCCACAAAATCAAGCAATATAAGGCAAGGGTCTCTTGGTGGGGAAAGAATACTTTAGTGGGTTAATAAAGAGAACGTAGGGATCAGCAGATGGCATAGCAGTTACGTCGCTCACTCCCACTTGGCTGACTGTGTTTCGAGTACTGGACCTGGTGGCTTGAAAAATCATGCCAGGTACGTGTGCGTGTGCGTGCATGCCCAAGATCCCAAGAGGAGATTGGAGGAGAAGGGATTGTGGCGTGGCCATCCCCCCTGGGGGGTGATTTCTCGCTTCCTGTCTCTCTGTCTCTGTCTGTCTGGCAAGCACATGTGCCCTATAGCAAAAACCTCTCCAAAAAAAAGGAAAAAAAAAAAAGAAAACAAAAATGTTTACCTTAGTAATAATTGCATAAAGAGAATTAAATTTAATTACATTGAGGATTAATAAGGATAGCAAAGGGATGTACTGGCAGAAAACATGTTTAATAATAAATATAAAAATAGGAATGGACTTTGTGGGGGCCAGTAGGCATAGTGGTGGTTGAAATGCTGGACTCCCACATGGTCGGCCACGGTTTGAGTCTTGGACCTGGTGGGTTGCCTTCTCTCTCTCTTTCCATGTCTCTGGTGAGTGCATATGCCCTGTAGCCATTTTTAAAAAATGATGATAAATAAAATAAATAATTCATTAAAAAAAAAGAAACGGACTTTGTGAACACTTTGAAGATGTCAGAAAGTTTCAGGGCCTTTCACCTCAAGCATGAGAACTAAGAAAAGGTATACATCTCTAACTAAGTAAGGTAGGTTTGCAAGCGGTCCTTCTAGAACTCATGGAGGGCTTGTACATTGGTTCTTCACTTCTGACTTAGGCTCCTCAGCGACTTTGTGAGGCAGAAACGGTATGCAGCGGAGATGCAGTTACAATCAATTGTCATGGATTTTACTCACCTGGTGGAGAAGTGCTGTCAAGCAGAGAAGAGTGGAGTATGTTTTCAAGAAGAGGTATCCCTACTTCCTGTTTATTCTCTTAGCACTCAGAGGATTTATTAAAGCAAAAAACCCCCAGAACACTGTTACTGCAAGATAAACCCTTTCTGCATTCCAATGATGAGTAGATTAGAAAAAAATTCACGGTCTAGACAGATTGGAGTAATTGACTACATTGGGGTTTAAGAGGTTACTACGTATGAATATTTAGGGACTCTAGGAGAATTAGACATGAATAGAGATGAAGACAACGGTCATGACACCAGACGGACCCGGATGCTTAGGATGGGGGTGGGAGGAAGAAGGGCACGTGGAAGACCTTTCATAATTGTATTGAATGATGTCTTTGGAAAATCTCAAGAAGTTTTAAGGAAATAATCATTTAAAGACCAATCTAAGAAAACCGGAGTTTTGTTTGAGAATTTTAGGGGGCATAATCAGGAAGAGTCACAATATGTGGTTTGTGAACTTAACAAGACTAAACTGGGGAACCGGGTAGAAAGGACTGTATTTACATAGTAGTTGGAAGTTCCTAAGAATAGGAGTAGAAGGACAGAGAGGGAAAAATACTGACAGGAGACTAGAGTTCTATCTATGTATACACCACATGTCAAACTAACTACCAGGGAACTGTTTACTGTAATTAATCTAATTGCATATAGTTAATAAGTAAGTAATTTGTCATAGGCTGGTGAAATGGTGCAACTTAAAGTGCTTAGAATATCATGGCAGGAGGAGAGAGCAAATTCATTAGGGAGAATCAATGTGGAGAGACTCAGGATGACTGCTCAATCGGGACAGGACTTCGGGAGCAGAAACTCGTATCGGAGGTGACAGTGTCTAAGTAAAGGACTGCGATTATGTAGTTGGAAAAAAAAATAAAGCAGGTTTGTGCTTTGGTAAAACAGGCTGGGGCTGGTTAGAACTAGGGCTCAGTTTATCCGTGGCCGTTGGAGAGATTATGAATGCTTTCATTACCTGCAGTGGTTCCTTTCACCTACTTGACTAAACAGGCATGTGTTTATGGTGAGTTTATGAGGGTGCTACTAGATCTTTTTAAAAATATGTGTTACATTGTCAGTGTCGAAGATCCCTGATTCGATTACTGCAATACGTTCTGTATCCATGCCTTCAAAAATCATACTAAGGCCAGCAAGTGGCGTAAACATCAAGGCACTGGATTCCACATGGCTGACTTCGCCGTTTGAGTCCCAGACCTGGAGGCTTGAAAAACATGCCAGGTGCATGTGTGTGCAGGCCCGAAATCCTGGGAGGAAAATGGAGAGAAGGAATTGCAGCATGGCCATCTCCCTGGGGTGGTGGTGGTGATGATTTTTTACTTTCGCTCTGTCTCTCTCTCTATCGCTTTCTAGTGAGCACATACACTCTATGACAAAAAGCTAATAACAAAAACAATACTGCAGTCCACAAAGATATACATAGGTTATAGGTAAGCCAGAAATCACCATTAAAAGAAAAAGAGTTACATGAGGGGACTTCAAGAAGTTTGTGGGAAAATGGAATTAAAGTACAAGTTTATTTTGGTGCAAAAAAGATTTTTGAAATCTATGCTTTGTTGTTGTTGTTTTCCATAAAAAACTTTCCCTGTGAACTTTTTGAAGATCTCTATAGTTTGGTCAAGGATGGGACTGCAAATTATAGCCCTCAGGCTAAATCAGACCCACTCCCTGTGTAAATAAGTTTACATTGGCAGATGTGACATCCATCCTAAATTCTCTAGGCTGTTTTCTAAATAAAACAGCAGTAAGAGTGGATGGGACAGAGACTATATTGAATGAAAAATCCTAAATATTCACTACCTGGCTTTTCACAGAAAAAGTTTGCTGACCCCTGGACTAATACGACCCAGATATAATCACTGTACAAGAGCCTGTTTATTTCTTTCAAAGCCTTTTTAATTTTTGTCAAAATATTCAGAAATCTCCCCCTGGTCACCTCACGTCTACTCAGATAAAACTTCTATGCCTGTGAATTTTCAAGGGAGTTTTCTTGAAGTGCCTTTGTTCTACGGTTGGAATATTCCTGCTTGCTGGAACTATATTATCAGTGCATGATGGGAGGATTTCTGTTTCTCAAGCTTTTTGCCCAATGCAATCTTTACCTTAGTGGTTTAAGAGACCCGAAAGTTTCCCTTTCCTCTTCTTTGCTCTCTTCTTCCAGGATTTCTCTCCATATTAAAAAAGAAAAATAAGTTATCTGAAGGATGTATCATGCTAATTAAAGTTTGCTAGAATTACTTTTTCAGATAAAATGTGATTATAAATAATTATGCACAATCTCTAAAGTTGGTCAAATTTACTTTGGTGTGATTATTCCACTCTCAAATGTTAGCGTGTATCTGAATCATACACAAGAAGGCCTATTAAAACAAAATTAATGTTATACTTGATTTTTGAATCAGTAGATCTGGGACAGGGCCTGATAATTTATACTTCTAAAAGCTCCCAGGTGATGTGGCTGCTTACTTGGGGTTGGGGACCATACTTTTTATTTTTGTGGAGAGATTTTTGCTACAGGGTACGTATGCTCACTGGAGAGACAGAGAGAGATAGAGACACAGAAAGTGAGAAATCACTCCTTGGGGGAAATGGTCATGCCATAGTCCCTTCTCCTCTATTCTCCTCTTGGGATCTTGGGCATGCACACACACGTGAGTTTAAGCCACTGGGTCTGGGACTCAAATTGCGGCCTACTATGTGGGAATCCAATGACGTAGTCATTACACCATCTGCTGGTACCAGGGACCATACTTTAAAACCACTTTTCTTTTTTTGTTTGTTTGTTTTCATTTTTGCCAGAGGGCTCATGTGCTCACTGGAGAGAGAGAGAGAGAAAGTGAGGAAGTACTCCCTCCCATTGGGAACAATTGTGCTGCAATTTCTTCTCCATTTTCCTTGTGGGATTTGGGGCATCCACACACACATGTTGACATGTTTCTCAAAGAGCTGGTTCTTGGACTCGAACTGCAAAGTCAGTCATGTAGTTGCTTCAAATGTATAAATTACAGTTAATTCAGTCTTCAGGCTAAGGAACTAGACCTGGTGGAAAGTCAAAGACTTGAGAAACAGGTACATTAGAACCCACCTCAGGCATTCAATGGGTGAGTCATAAAGATTTTTCTGCTTAGGGATAAAAGCAGATTATAGTTTATGTTTTGTTTGGATTTTTTGTTTGTTTTTCTCACATATGTGTTTATTCCCTCCCCCTTCAGGAGTCCAAACTGATCAAAAAATGCCAGTCCTTCTTGGAAGGCTAAATGATCCCAGAAAATGTCAACGTAGGATCTTTGCTGAGGTCTGCATTTTTATTTTCCACCAATTATGAAACCCATGTCGGATACTCAAAATAAAAATCAATAAAATATTTTTTCGACTGCTCTCAAAGTTACTCAAGAGCTCTTGCCGTTCTATGCTAAATCTTTCCTTTCCTACCCAGTAGTGAAAGCTACTCAATGTCATCTGGGATAATCCACTCTCATCTTTACTTTCTCATCCTGCTGCAAGTTTTCTCTTTCTCAGGAGCAACAATGGAAACATGAACTCAAAGGCTCTGAAAGCCTCAGGTAGATGTAGTAGGCTGCTACATTGAAACCCAGGATCTGAACCCTGGGGTCTCTCATAATGACTTCAGAATTGCACAGGGAGGCCTTACTGCCTAAGTATATTCCTACAGTGCATTGTCTGGTGAAATGGGTACTGTCCCTCCCATGTTACAAATGAAGCCACATAAGGAAATGCCAGATTAATGGAGTTTAGGGTGAGATCACAGATTATGGTGGTTAAGGGTATGGAGTGTAAAACTGTAGGTTCAAATCCTACTTATTTTTTCTATTATAGACTTTAGCAAATCTCAATTCTCCATGCCTTAATTTTCTTTATCTATAAAATGGGGCTGAAAGAATTTCTTTCTTTCTTTCTTTTTTTTTTAGATAGGTTTTTGCTATAGGGCATGTGTGCTTGCCAGAAAGACAGAGAGAGATAAAGAGACAGAAAGCAAGAAATCACCTCCCAGGGGGCATGGCCATTCTACAATCCCTTCTCTTCCATTTTCCTTAGCACTTGGCGAGAGTTTAAGCCACCGGGTCTGGGATTTGAACCGCAGTTGACTACATGGGAGTCCAGGGACATAGCCATTACGCTAAGTGCTGGTCCCAAGAGTAATTTCTTCATGGGGTTGTAATAAGTATTAAATGAGTTAATGTATGGGAAGTGCTTAAAATAGTTCCTGGCAAATGGTAACATAGTATTAGAACCATATGAGACTGGTGTTTTGTGGGTCAAATGCTGATCATTTCCAATGGCTCAATCTAATTGGTGTTGCTCTATTATCAATTTAGAAAGCAAATGGGTGCTATTGAAAGGCTTTGCCCTCCCTAATTGCATCCTATTCCTTTCCTTCATATGTAGATATCTCAACCTAAGAGTTGTATTTGCCGTTTTTCCACTTCATGAACTGCACTGCAAATGGAATTTTCATTCAGTTCCTGAAACCAATCTGAACAGCCCTAAACCAAATTCCATAGTAACTTTGTCTCAGTGAATATTTCATAGAACCAAGAGAAAATAAAATATAGTACCACACGGAGGAAAACCATAGTAAATAGTTTATTTCTTCAGCTACTGGACCAGACTTGTGAAATGGAGGCAGATAAATCTATATTATTTTATAAAAATATTCAGATAATTTATTCACTCATTTATGTATTCACTAATTCATTCCTTTATTCAATCAATGCTTATTGAGCACATCCTATACATAAGACACTCACAACTATAATGAAGTATACAAAAATGAATGTGACATGCTCTCCTCCACTAGTATGTGAGGTGATAAATTGGCTAACTAGCTTGATTTAACAATTCCACAATGTATACATATATCATTAACATCACATTGCACCCCTATATGTATATATATATATATATATATGTATATACATAATTAATATATATAGAATTATTGCTTGTTAATTAAAATTAAAATAAAAAGAAGTCACTAAGTGCAGCCTATCTACAGGGAGAGGAAGACTAGGCTCCATCTCTTAAAAGGAGTATAAAAACTTTACGACTATCTCTATAAACCACCACAGAGGACTAGCAGGTGCTATGGTGATTAAGGTGCTAGATCCCACGTGTCCTACTCGTGGTTCAAATCTCAGACTCGGCGTCTTGAAATACATGCCAGGCATGTGTGTGCCAATGCCCAAAGACCTGAGAGGAGAATGGAGGAGAAGTAATTGTAGTGTATCTTTGGCCCCTGGGGGATGATTTCTCAATTCCCCCATCTCTCTGTCTCTCTCTCTCTCTCCCCAGCAAGTGCACATACCCTATGGTCAAAACAAACAAACAGACAATATTAATCTACCATAGAAGTGATGTTAATATCTCATCTGAATAGCTCACTCAAACTTTTTTGTAGTAAAATTCTGTGCTTGCATGTTTTTGATACTTTTTTTTTGCTGACTTTTAAATTGTAACTTTTCTACTCCCTGATTTAAAAAGTAACACATAGCCATTATTAAAAAAAAATCTAATAAATATGAAAATATTAGAAAAATATATATATATATATATATATATATACAAATTTTGGTGTATACACATACATATATAAGTACACACAGATATATCTTTTATGGATAATAAATACCCTGAAATTATGTATGTGTATGTTCTTATTTAGATACATAGACTTTATCCTTTAATTAAAACTTATTTGGAAACATAATGTTAATGAGTACATAACATTCAATGAGGAAAATATATATATATATATATATATACAAATTTTGGTGTATACACATACATATATAAGTACACACAGATATATCTTTTATGGATAATAAATACCCTGAAATTATGTATGTGTATGTTCTTATTTAGATACATAGACTTTATCCTTTAATTAAAACTTATTTGGAAACATAATGTTAATGAGTACATAACATTCAATGAGGAAATGTTTCTCCCGTTTCAGCCTTTTTTCTATGTCTTGAACGTCTAGGCTTTTGACTTCCATTTGTCACAATATTTAATGATGTAATAAATATATTTGAAGAAGGCCTTTATATCTCTGATTATTTCTAGATGATAAGATCCTACAAGTAGAATCACAGGATAAACTTAACTATGAAATTGCTTTTAAAAAATTATATCCGTTTGTATTTCTATTAATAGTCAGAGTACTTCTCTCATCATGATTTGTTGAGTACTTAATTTTATCATTTCTTAATCTTTGCTAGTGTACCAAAACGTGTGTTTCATTTTTCCTGACTTTATGTTTTGTAGACATGCCAGTCGTTACTGTTTCTAGGGTTGAATTCACTGCTGCCTACTCTGTGAAAATGGATCAGGGGCCTTTAAATATTTCCTTTGCAGCATGCATGATGTGTGCTTTGTCAGCAGGGGGCGCTGGAGAAACATTGCAGCAAGGGCTGTTTCCTGATTCCCAGCTGACGGGCCAGGATCCAGGAACGCAGGCTTTTTCCTGCCATTGATCAGGCCAGAGTGCTGGCTGCCTGGAGGGTGCCGCTTTCTCCAACATTTGCTCCCTTGCTTGCTTCTCAGCTTTGCTTTGAGCAGGGATGCTATACTCTGGAGTGCCAGTGCAGACCTGTCCCTTGGATAAATTGTGCCCATCACATCTTAGCTCAGTGCAAGCTCACAGAGGAGGCCCCAGGTCCGACCAGAGAGGGCCTCTTGCTGAACTCTGTCCTGAACAGCTGAAGAAGCTCTAGCCCACATCATACACAGCTGTACCAGGTTCCCGCAAAGGCGGTGCTTCCAGCTCGCAGTCTCAGCACCAGCTAAAGCTGTACCCCCTTTTCTGTATGCATTCCCTTTGGAAAAACCCTGAGTCCCTCTGCAAACCTGCCCACCTGCCTTAGCTCTTCCTCGTTCAGGAGGTTATTCCTGCTTGCAGGGCACCTGTGGCCCTGCTCTGGCCTGGGCAACCTAGCCAACTCCTTGTACCTAGTGGGCCCACACCCACACGTTTTCCAGGGAATTCTGAAGCCCTCATTCCAAGATTTTAATTTGTGGGGTTCTCTCTAGCCTTAGGGTTTCTTTTAGAATTCTGTTTCCATTTTTAATCTTTACTTTCCTACCATAGCTTAATAATTCTTTACATGAAACTTCTCTGTTGAAGTTACTGTGTAATTGCTGTCTCCTGATTAGACACAGACTGGTACACTTAATCACTGTTAAGGTGTGACTTTGGGGGCCAGACAGTGGCATAGAGGTAAAACGTGTCACTCTGCGAGGCAATTCCACATGGGAGGGCTCACTGTTGAGTTCCAAGACCTCCTTGATCTGAGGCTGAAGGCTAGGAACCAGTCATAGCACTGAGACTCTATTGGAAGGGCTGGCCCTCTCTGTCTCTCTCTTGCTGGCTCATGGTATAAAGAAATAACCTCTCTCTCTCTTTTTAAATACATGTAGTAACCACTAATCATTTGCATTGCATTTACTCTTCTGTTATTTTTCTTTTCATACCACCTACTTTTTTATACCCCCCTCCATCCCCATGCAAGTGTCAATACTTTTTGTTTGGATTTGGTAGACTTTCAATACTTGAAAGATGACTCTTTTACCATATTGATGTCAGGTACTGGACACTACTTGAAATTTTAATAAGTATACTAAATTTTAACTATTACATTTGCCTTATTTTAGTGAGATGAGACTACTTCTTTATTCATCAATAGGTGAATGGATAAAGATTTGAGTCTCTATTTTATTTGGTAAGAGAGATTTCCTGTGACTGTATAGGCCATAATATACTTTCTCTTTCATCTAGTTTAGGTTTTCAGTTATTACTAAGAAGTAATAACTCTGTCTGGAATCTGTTTCATACTTGAATACTAATAATCTTTCAACTGTGTTTATTATATACAGCCTATTCCTTAGTATATGTAGTGTAATCACACCATTTAATAGAGGGCCTATGAGATACGACTGGAAGTAGTTTAGAAGATAGAAGGATGTTGCATAAAACTTCATTTTAGAACAGAGTTCATAAAAAAAATTGCAGATGATATTTGTGGCATTTTTTCATTCTCGGTGATTTTTTTTTCAGGTGGGTTTAGCAGACATCAAGTCCCTGGAGGGCTGTCTTGTGGAAGAGGAAGGATGCTGAAGGGCATGTCTCTCCATTTCCTGCCTGGCTTCAGCTGCAACTGCTTTGCTTTATCATTGTAGTCATTCAGCAGCAAGGAGATACCTGTGGCCCAAGTCTTGTTTTAGCATATGCACAGTATATGAAGTCTTCTGTGGCATATGTGTTTGGAAAAATAAAGTAAAAGAGTTCAACTAACTTAAAACAAGCTAACTTAAGAATAATTTTGAAAGTCATCAGTGGGACCAGAGAGATTAAAAAGAGAAGGGACTAGGTTGAAAAAAATTACCATTTGGATTTCTCAACAACGTCCACCATCTTTTCCTCCCCTAAGGACAGATAGCTTTGGAGTTACAGATAACCAAAAGTTAAGTACCTATGTAAAGAGACTCCTGAATTGTATGAAAATGCCGGTGTCTCAAGGAGCCATGAAATACTCATCATCAGATTCCACCATCAGACGATGGTGTAACGATGCGCTTCGTTTTATTTTAAGAGCTCACAGCTTTTACTTCTGAGTCATTTCTGAGTCAGTTGACAATGATTCAGTTCTCTTGAGAATTCAAGCTAAAAGAAGTTTTAATCTTCATGATATCTGAAGAAGCCATTTAAATTCAAGTTCCTTGCATATATTACTATAAAAGATATTTGGAATACCCAGCATGCAAGCTTATTTCAGTTGCTGAGGTTAAATTCGAGCTCTTTTGGTCCAACTGTGAACCCTAGTTAACCTCATCACTTCAAAGAGAAATAAGCTTTTTGGACATTGAATTTTCTACAGATTCAAGGTCATCTATATTTGTATGAATGCAGTACAAATTGTATACATTCATCGAATAGTAGTATCTCTCTTACTTTGTGGAAGTGTAAAAGCAGCAGTGTGGACTGGAGTGCTACACTGTTGTCTCTGTTTTTATTACCCTTCTACTTCGAAGGTATTTTTCTATAACAGCCTTTTCTGCATGGAATCTGAAAATGAGAAGGACAGAGAATTAAAACTTGGGCAATTTTGTGCACTGAAACTATGAAAGCATCAACCACCCAGTGCACATGCCCTTGACTTACCTCGTTTTTGTGTTTTGAATTTCTCTCTTTTCTTCTTCATTTAATCTTTGAAGAATGGACTCCAAGAAAGAAAAATGAAAGTTAATGTACTGAGCCACCTGAGAAAGAGAAAAAAACAAAAGAAAGCAAAGCATTGATGTGAGATGCTCCGAGTCAAGAGAGAAGCAGAAAACAGATTCAGGTTGATGATATCCATACATCACTGCTAATTTCTTCTGTGTCTTTATCCATGAGGAAAAGACGAGCGTTGTTTCCAGAAGGTCCCTGTATGAGCCTATGCAGTAGTGGAATGTCTGTCTCCTTTAGCCGTCTCCGTTCTGCAAATGAAAACAAGAATCAAACACAGTCAGGGGTTTATCTTAGGGAAAAGAAGAAAGGAAAAATTCCCATCCATATTCTTTCTTTAGCTCACTTTGACAGAAATAAGATCCCCAAAGAATATGTAATAGCAGGCACTCATTCAAAAAGTACATTGAAATTAGAACTTGTTTTTTGTCAGACATGCATGTGCTCACCAGAGAGACAGAGAGACAGAGAGAGAGGGGGAGAGAGAGGAAGAGCACACACCACTATAGGGCATGGTCACTCCACAATCCCTTCTCCTCCATTTCTTCTTCCTGGCAGGATTTGGGAGCACACATGCGTATGAGCCCAGTGTGTTTTTCCCGTCAACACTTGAGCAAATGAAAATTGGACTTTTTTCTCAAAAGTTGACTTAAGATCTCAAAAAATTCAACTTGTATTTGGTAAGAATCCACAGATAAATGTTTAGTTCCACTTATACCTTTTTTACAGCAACATGCCTCAATAATTCTTTATAATTTTTCATCCATTTCTTTATTCACTCATACAACAAATACTTAATGGTTCTCTCCAAGTTCCATTAGCGTAATTAACTCAATGTTGTTCAGCTCCAAAATCTTGTAATTATCCTCCATTCTCCTTTCCTCTCTCACTCCACATCCAATCCTTAGTCTTTCCATAAAATATATACTCAGAATGTTTTTGAGATTGGAGGTCAGTATTTTTGTCATTAACATTTCATTCATTTGTGGGCTTCATCTATTCAGTCATAAAAATGAGATAGAGAAAGAAAATTCCTTCCCATTTGGTATAGTACCAGAACTTTAATTTCTGAAAATTTATAGTATAAATACTCCTACCACAAAAGTGCTTTTGCTTTTGGTCAGAGTAGCTTCAATTAGAGCAGTCAGAACTGTTCTCATCAGCTGGGCTGGGACTTACCC